ACCACAACAGACAGTGGCTTGTTTTGGGACCAGACAGTTTATTAAATGTATATATCCTACGTAAATAACACACTAGACTATTACATAACAAAGATACTGTACGAATACACTAAACCAACGGTCCAGTAATCCAGAATAAATTACAAACACGAATAAGATGAAGGTAAAATCAAAACTGTCGATGGTGTGGGTGGGAGGGAAACTGAAACTTTCTTAATGCTAGAAATAAACTTGTTGCTTACTTGCTTGCAAGATTACTAATAACACTTGCACATATCTCAGCTAAATTTAGCACAATTACTTTAAAAGGTAGTGATTACTCGAACCGTATGTAAAATTTGGTCTTTCAGTTCTCTTTGACTGATTTTTATTCAGTTAGAACTGGTCAACTAAACATGTTTTGTTGGTGTGATTGGGGTATAAGTTTCCTTTGGGTTCATCTCTCCCTGAAATTACCACACACAGAAAACATTTTGTATCTACTACAAGCAAGAAGGGCGAGACGCGTCTTTCAGTAACTAACTATCCTTTATGATTCCATATTCTTTACTTAGATAGCGAAGTTTGAATCTAATCCATCAGTGTGTGTGTTTCTCTTGAGTACAAGAGCTGGCGGCCTGGGTCTGAACTTGTCTGTAGCAGACACAGTAATAATTTATGACAGTGATTGGGTGAGTTGATTTTAATAAAAATTGTCAGCCGGGTAAGGTCAAAGTATCGTCAGCGGTGAATAAAACATTTAATTATTGATATGATATCTGAGGATGCGGGGTATTGCCGTTCGAACGATCCTGGGTCGAGCCTTGGCTAGTTGCTTCGTCTGGTGTTCTTGGGCGAGGCAAATAACTTTTACAGCCACGAGAACATACCACAGGTACCAATAAACAATCAAAGAAACCTAAGGAAATATTAGGAGGTACAGCCGTAGGCTAAAAAATAGTTAGAATGTGTCTCGTACTTGTACAACAGGAATCGCAACACTCACTGTTAGTTCATGCCTCAAAAACCACGATGGTCTTTTCCAGCTATGTGAGCCAAGACTTCACTTTATAATTTATATAGGAAGTTTAACTTGTTAGATTAAAGCTGTTTGTTTTCGATTCTTCAGAATCCACAGATGGATTTACAGGCCCAAGATCGTTGTCATCGGATTGGTCAAACCAAACCAGTTGTTGTGTATCGTTATGTTACAGCAAATACTGTTGATCAGAAGATTGTCGAGCGAGCAGGAAGCAAGAGGAAACTTGAAAAGATGATCATCCATAAAGGTTACTATGGGTGGTGGTTACTTTCATCATTGCTTGATTCGTTGTAATTACTTTGTATTTCTCATACTGCCTGGAAAGTTGAGTAGCGGTGACAGAATCTAAGACGCTTTTAGATTGGTTTCTTGGAGCAACAACTTAATTTATCATAATGGATAGTTTTCTGGACCACCTGTAAAAGATCAAACTGAAGCGAAAAGATTTTACGAGGCTGTTAGGTTCTTCAATCATCGTGTTATTGGGGCGTAGGCAAACCCCATGTTTACACGGGTCATAGGGAACCAAAGACGTAAAAGTGAGATGTAAGATATGTTGAGATATCAAATCACTTATCATGCTCGCTGAAATTGTCGACCTTTATCTAAAACCTGCAAAAGGGTTACTTTAGAAACCACAACAGAAAAAGGAACTAATGACTTTGGGTTCAGGTATACTGTATACGTTACGGTTGGAGTAGTCATTTATGAATTCTGTTTTATTTTGTTTATTTGTGAATATCGTTTCGGATAATTAAGGTTTTGTTCTGGTTAATTACTGTTCACACACTGGTTCTGTCGATGTATGTTCATTCAATAATTCTGCCCTGTTATAGATTAGAACGTTTCACTTAGGAGAACGGTCTGTGTTCATTTGCAGGAAAATTCAAGGGTAACCGAGATACAGGGGTACTAGAAACAAAGGATCTTCGCGAACTGTTGGAGATGAGCGATCATCACAAAGTAGTGTCCAGCGAAGGTTTACTGATAAAAGATCAAGATCTAATGGCTTTGCTCGACAGAAGTGATCTTGTCTCCAACGCTGCTCTACAACGAAAATCTGGAAGACCCAAAAAAGGTCAAGAACACAATGGATTATTCCGTGTGTTGGCTACAGATATCCCTGCTTCCCAATGAGCAGAAGATCTATCGAGAGGAAATACTTTTTTTTTTTTCATCCTCAGTAAAAGTTCTCTCTTTCGAGTTTTTAGTGTCGAAGAAACTCTCATATTTTGACTATTTTTATGAGTTTACTTGATTTTGTTACTTTTCAAAATATTTACTTCGTTACTTAATTTTTGTTCCATGAGATATAGACTCCAAAGGAACTTAAACAGGGGTGAGATTCAGTGGGCGAAACTTGCTGGTTTTCACGTTTCTCCTTATACTCGAGTTCTCCCATTAATTTTAGATAAATGTTTGGAGACGTTGTGTTCATAGATTGTATTTATGGGACTATATCATATCTTTATTAATGGGAGAGTTGATATTGAATTAATAAAGTTACTCGTTATGCATTAACGTGAGGTTTTGTAGTCATCGTTCTTTCGACGTTAACTGAATGTGCCATCGCTCATCTTCTACCAGATCTGCCAGTCTTTTCACTTCTCTGCCTTTCAGGGATTTTGTTAAAGTTTAGAATTAATGTGAAGACCAATTCGTTTGAAGTGTACACTCGGCGACATGGAGGTAAAGCCATGTCGAAATTTTCGTCGCTAGACTTTTTCGCCAAAAGGGAAAGTCTTTTCGTCGCTATAGAGTAGCAACAGAGCAGTGGACACGTTAGGGTCCGAAGTTAATATCTCTATATCATGATACAAACGTTTCGCTGTTAATTTTTTAGACAACTTTGTTTCTAAAACAAATATAGACAGTAGAAGAGACTAAATATGGTAGTTTAGTGGCCAGGGCAAAAGGTAACGCGAGAGTTAACTTTTGACTTCTTATGTTAACATCTGTCTGGCTCCGTTCACGCGATCCTATAGAAAACCATACTGAAAGCTACTGGAGTAGAGCGATAGTACCAAATTATACTGGGTAGTTACCATGTAAAATCACAATGACTCATCTTAGCTGTAAGTCAAAATAGGGAAACAAATTTTCGTCATATTCATCCGTTACTTTTTCAGCCTCTTCGTACTCGTCAACTGGCACCTTCACTCGGGCGTCGGGAGAAAAGTCCAGGGCCCAGTTGTATAAAGGGCGGATAATGCTATCCAATAGATAAATCGGTATCCAGCGGATAAGTGATGGCAAAACGTATAGCTTTATCCAGCGAATAGATATTTATTCTGTGGATCGCGTTATCAGACCTTCGGTAGGGTCAAACAAACATTTAAGTTTGGTTTTAAGAGTGTGGGTACAGGTTCGTTATGCTCATAATTTAAACCTGAATTTCAATGTAAATCAAGGTATACCCCTTGAAATGTTATACACTTCCGTAAGAGAGCAATCAAACCATAACGAATACCACTGTAACTACTGGCTCTCCGCCAATCCCCATGAACCGGGAAGAGAAGAGACTCCTGTGATGGGGAAACAAAAGTTTCTGGCACTCGAAACACTATTTGTAAAATGAAGAAGTTTACCGAATAACTCTCAGTACAATATAATTAGAGATGGCTTCTACTGCTAGTCAAAATCTACCTCTCGTCCAGCTCCGTAAAAATATTGAAAATATACTAACTTGCTTTCACGATGTCGATCCCCAATGATAATAAAATAACTTTAAATACGAGGAAGACGGGTTATCACTTGCTTGGCAGATGACACTAATTAAAACATTTATGCGACTTTTTCTGGAAAACTCGCGCATGACTTTGGAATGTGAGTTTGAACAAGCCAGAAAAATAACTTTTTCAGTTTAACACCAAACATCGCTGGAAGAAAAGCAGGTAATGTTAGCTAATCTGTAGCATGTTTTCATCCTCTCACGTCTTTTTCTCCGTTGTAAAAATTCAATTCAATACATTAAAATTAATAACTATGAATAATGACTGCGAAAAAAAATGTTACTCAAGACCACGTAAATGCCTCTTGAATAACTTTGGAAATACGTGATTCGAATTTTACTTTCCAAAGAACTGATGTAGAGGAACGTTTAACAGCAAGACAGAAAAAAAGCGAGTTGTATTTCACACTAATATTTACAAAGCTACTAGACTATACTTCAAACTGAACCAATTCACTCTGTGTCATTGACTGAAGCAATTTCTGCCTGTTTTTCCATAAAAAGCAATTGATCGACTATGAAGCAGTCTCTGGGTTTATCGACAATCTTGGCCAGCCCGTCTTGTATGGAGTCTTCACTTCTGAGTTCGTTTTCAAAGCGGACTTGTTTAAGAAAAGAGTACACTCGACGGAATGCCTCGGGTCCAAGCAGCCTCTCACCTTCACTAAGTTCAAGTTAAAGCCAATTTTCGTGTCATTTAATATTTTACCAAAGTAAGAACGTAAGCAAAAAGGAATGGCGGTGGTAAACTGAACAATGTTGTCTCTAAAGACCAACAACCTGCAAGAGAACCGGTTTGCTCTTTCACAAAGACTCAACGTCGGAAATTCTCAGACTTAGCATTGTAATGGGTTTGTCTTCGTCCACACATTAACGACACCGTTTTACGCTCACATGTCTCTCATTACTGGTAGAATAAAAATTGCAAGAGGAGAGGAAAGCGTTGGAGGATTTTACTATGACCCACCACTCGTTCGAAAAAGGGAATTTCTCTTACTTCCAATTCCACACAATAAATGAATCACAATGAGAAAGGTTTTTCAAAAAATGTACGAAAAGTCGTTTTTTTTTCCCACCTGGAACGTTATCAATGCTATTATTTAGGGTGAGTAAGGGAGGTGGTTACCATAAAGGAGCAGTTAAAAAGGATACACCTTAAGTGCCTGGATTCTCTTGTATCTCCAAGTATCTGTGAAACCTTCACTTGGCAAGTCCCCTTCACTTAGTTTTTGGTCGTGTGACTCAGTCTGCTCTAACGCATCATTCATCTGACCAATCAGCGCACTCAAATCATCTTCATTCTCAAATTCATCTTCGCTATCATCGTTTTCAAAGTCATCCTCAAACTGCGAATAGAACGTCTCAGCTAGCTCGGCATCATCGGGAATTTCCGACACGTCAGTCAAACTCAAAGATGCTTCTGCTGTGTTATAAAACAAAGTTACAACATCAGCACCGATTCCGATGTTATATAAAGGCCGAAAAAAAAAATTCCAGCAGTCATCATATCCTTCTTGTATTAGCCTGCAGAGCAGGCGTAATTTTGGTGGGCGAGTACTCGTTATTATCTCGGTGAAAATTATATAGCTGCCATCTTTAATTTTTACAGTAGCGAAAGGCTGGGGAGAGAAAAAAATTCGTACCAAGGGGGTGGGCGACGGTCAAAAAGAATACTCTGCGAGCTTCTCCCCGTTAACTCACCCTAATAAGATGCCTACCCCGTAAGCCACTCTAGTATACGTTTAGGTTCTTCTGTATTTGCCTATCATTACGCCTCATTTGTATAACTGTTCTTACCTTCCACACAATGCTTTTCGTCTCTATTTTCCCGTGACATAACCGGCACTCCTGTCTGGGGTGAGGTGCGGGGGCTAAACTCCAGTGAGTCAGTGGCTGTTATGGTAAAGGCTGCGTCATTAAATACGTCCGGATGCTCCGCGACCCAGGGTAGAGACACTCGGCTCTGATAGTTAAGTGTAAGTACAGTAACTAAGATTATGTTACATTCCTAGTGATTGATAAAAGCAACGACATGAACATCCAAAAGACTATGTATTTATTCCCTCTTAAAAGCCAACACTTTATTCTAAAATTTATTTTAGATTGACTATATTTCGCCTTAAGAAATTTCAAGTGATGAATTTTGCGATTTTTCAGTGACACAGCTCTTCTAGGAGAGGTGTACAACCATACCCTAGTTGCGTTTAGGGAGGCTGTTCATTCTAATGATTTTTACACAGTCATGGAATTTGGCTGTCAAGAGAACAAAAAGATGGTTTGTACTGATGGTTATGTAAACCTCACCGAGGTAAGTCGGAGCCATAACAAGTGAATCGACAAACGAATATTGGTCAAAGTTACCTGATTTTTCTTATGAGATGAGTATCGTTGTTGAGTTTCAGCGACCTGGGCGGCGGTAAATCTCCTTCAAATACAGTTCAACAACAACTTTGATCAGAGATTAAAACAAGTAAAAAGTTTTCACTTTGTTTTTCGACAAAAGGTTTGAATTTCCAATGTCCATCTCTCTTTGACAATTCTATGCGGGCCTTTTCTTCGAGTGACCATAAAGCAAATCAATTAAGCTGAAATACAACACGAAACAATTTGACCAGGATCACTTCTACTGACAGGTTTGTAACTCGGTCCAAATACAAAATAAAAATCCAACTTAATTTAAATTCTCAATCTTACATTGTCTTTAAACTTAAGAGGATAAATATGTTGTTTATAGCTGGTAAGTCTTGGATAGAGACATCAGCCTTCAAGCGTGCGCATGTCGAGGAATGGATGCTACGTGGAGACCAACTAAGTGGACAAACATGCAGAAGTGTTTAATACTATAATAACACATACTTAACTCTCTCAGCCTCCTCATCTGCCTTTTGTTGTTTCCTAAGTTTCATTTTGTCCCTGTCAATAAAACAAAAAGAGATAAAACGGTAAACGAATGAAACCTCCAAAATAAATAGAGATGATGCCACCGCAGTGAGCCCAAGCTCTTTATGAGAAGATGATCTCATAAAGATCTCATCCTACAACCGCCTGTACTAAGAAGAAGGCAGAAGTGGGATGAGAGCGCAGCTAAAACTCGACGATATGGCAGAAGCTGCTACCAGAGAACAAACAACTCTATCTGAAGGTTAGAGTTTATTTCCTTCATTATTTAGGAAGTTATGGAGCTGAGCCTAAGCTCCCATACAAGGCTTTATAACACTTTCCCCTCATAGAGAGCTTGGGTGTCCTGTGATGCCACCACAAGCAAGCATTTCTGGTCAAACGGATGTAAATGTATGTTTAAAACAGTTTAAGTTTCATATCATGTTCTTCCAATCCTTATATCCAAGAACTGAAGACTTACAGAAATTCATCTAGTTAACCCATAGTGCCAGCAGATATGACATTACAAATACGTGCAAGTCACGTGTCAATAAAACTACATATTTTTTTCATCACTCTTCATTGAGAAACTGACTTACATTGGTGTCATCGGTCTTCCTGCAGGTTCTTTATACAGACATCCACCTTGCTGTTCAGTCACTCTTGTTGAATTGCAAGAAAGTCCAAGCAACCCTTAATGAGTGTTGTGCAACTTGTGTTGTAGTAAAGTTAAAAATGTACCCTGGGTACATACTAATTTGCCTGTTACAAGAATTCTTGAAGTTGATTGGTCATCCAAAACTAAGAGATAAGTTGTCTTCTTCAGGAGGGGGGGTGAGGAGGGGGGGGTGCTGGGGAATACTCCGCCAGGAAGTTTTGAATGAACAAAACTCAACACACTGACTAAACTACAACAGAAAGAAAATACCGGTATATAGAATTTGTTGGGAAACAAACAGAGCCAGAAGTTATTTTTAAGGTACAAAAATTTGAAATAATCACATTTTCAAATTTTCAAAATATGCAGGTTACTCAGTGTTGCATGCCTTTCTGTAAATGATACCACAATTTGACATGCTGCCAGTTTTGGTTCCATAAAGACAAAAAAAAACTGCACTAGGTAATGGAGGAAAAGGCAGCATACTTGTACATGTGATGCAGTACTTACTGTATGGAGTGTCCAAGTTTATCGTCTATTTGATGCTTTAATTTCTACGAAGAAATCAACAAGACTGTAGTTTGTATTATCTTTGCTTGGAGAGCCTACTTTGATTCATTCAAGTAGACAATTGGATGAAAAACAAATTTTAAACTCTTGCCACTGCTACCATTGATGTTCTTGTCCCATGTCATTGTGAAGTGAAATTCATGTACTACACACTCAGTTTGAAAACCAAAAGGGGATCAGTTTTGTGCTTTGTAAGTAAAGGGACCTTTGTTGTAGAATTAATTTGAAATCAATACTAATGCCTCATCCACATAATTTTCTCCTTCATTCTACACCTGCTCATTTGGGGTTAAATCAAAGTCACCAAAACAGTCTATACTCCTTACATATAACGCACACTGTAATACCCTTACCGATAAATGCTGAGCAATGTACTCATTTTTGAGAACTTCACTTGCACTAGGTCGATTAGCAGGCTCCTTATCTAACATCCTATCACAAGAAAAGAAATTCATGACATGATTTCTAGATTAGGTATCACAAAAGTTTTGAAATCAGGATTGGAACTGTTGATCTTTATCAGTTGACTAGACACAATTTGACCAGTGACACATGAGTATCTTCTGTTGTTGGATTGCTTGACTGTGGATAGAAGAATGTTCTTGTGCAGCTATCACAGTAACAAAATGCAATGAAAGTGTTAAATAAACAGAGTATGGTTCAGTTCATTTCCTTATGACAATGCCAGCAAATAGGGTTTTTGTAGAGACACAGCAGATATCAGGTAAAGTAAGAAAAAAAGATATTATCCTTGTGGCTCCATAGTCTTACCTCTCATAGAGAGTTTGTAACTCCTTGCTGTAATGTTCAGATAATTTGGGTGGGTTCCCTTCAACAATTTTGTACATCACCCCCATCAGACTCTAGAAATAAAACAGTTAGATTGCACACACAGTAAATTTGGCTCAGAAAAATTATTCTGCAGTCTTGCAACCAACATGTTAGACATTAAACCTATATACAAATCTATGAGCCAATTAGAGTTATCTACAATGAACGGACATTCAGCAATTGGCTCGCACCACTTCTTTCCAACCTTCCATCAGATGTCAAAAGCCTGTCAGGCTACTCTACACAAAGAAAAAGGTACTTCAGTGGAGAATGTACCTAAAGTCTGTGGTGTGTACCATGTAATACTGTCCAAGAGATCAATATTTTGTCATAGCAGTAAGCCTGTCTCAAGTTATGTCACATTAAAGGAAAGCTTGAAGGAGCTTTTCAACTCTGAAATACCAACCTCACCCTGGAATGCATGCTGTAGGTTACACAGCTCGTACAACACTACACCCATAGACCTGGAAATGAGATATTCCATCTTTAATAAGCTCTGGACTCACTGAATTTTGTATAGAATTTCAGACGCTTGTGTCAAGAAGGGGGTCCTGAGCAGATTTAAATAGGTTCAAACAATTTAATTACATAATAGAAGAAACCAAAGGACTAGTTTAAAATGTTAATCAAGGCTTTCCATTTAAAATAGATATTCAATAGGCAATAAAAAAAATCATTGCCCTGTTTCCTACATGTTGTCATTCAGATTGCTCTGTTTATGCAATTTTATTATGTGATTATTAAAGAGGTTGAATGTTTATGAGTCAGGAAACTTGTGAAAGAATACAAAAGTACCTTGTTGGGTTACATTACATGTGGATAAGCCAATGAGCAGAAGGGCTCATGACATTAAAAAACCATTCAGTAGATTCCAACTATACAAGAGGTCTCCTATCATTTAGGTGTCATCTTTGTGAAAAACATCAACAATACATTTTTTAACTCTCAACTGTCCTGATTTTTATTTAATCAGTGAAGTCCCAGTATCTGACCACCCCAAAACATGCCCACTTGGGTCCCATGCATAATTCTAACTGCAGCTCATTAAGAATAAATGGACGGTTTGATGGGGTGGAGGGGGGAGAAGGGGGTCGTAAGTTCACCTTAATAAATGGACACAAGTTCAAATGAACACAAAGTCATACCATATGTCTGATTTGTATTTGTAGCCTTCATGTTTAAGCACCTCTGGACTCATGTAGTATGGTGTCCCAGTGAATGTTGTAGCCATATCAGATGTACCCATTAAAATTCTTGAAATACCAAAGTCACCTGTTGAAACAGTAAAAAAATAGAATTTTTTTCTTTGTCCCATGCTTGTAACAAGATGAAATATCTTTTTCTACCATACTGTAGTTTAAAGTTTGAATTTTTCTTTATTTAAAAACCAATGCAAATCATTTTGATCTGATAGTCATTATAAAATACAACATATCTTGACAAGTAAATGAATGACAGTTAGAATAGTCTAAAAGCAGGCTGCAAAAATACAGCATGAGCATCAAAGACAGGAGAAATAAGCCAACATCCCCTATGTACTTTGCCACTGTCTGGGTTTTTGCACTTTGCCTCCTGTGCCATTAATAAAAAAAATTTTTTTCTTGACCCAAATTCTAGTTATACCTACCTAATTTTATGAAGTTATTCTTAAGGAAAATATTCCTGAAAAATTAAAAAGGATCTCAGTATTATGAGAAGCAGGTATTTGTATAATCTGTCACTTTTCGGTAGTTTACTTGCAGTGAGACATTAGAATGTGGTAAGTATAAATAAGGATTTAATATATGATGGACTGCTCAATGTGATGTAATATAATGGGAGGTTTGGGTATCAGAGATGGCATGGATAAAATAAAAAGATGAAATACATAATATGCTTTATATAATAATTAAAGTGTATTTAAAATATAAAGGTGTTATGCTGTACCGTGTCTTCAAGTCTCTGTGTAGAATCCGCCTGTATTAAAGAAAATGTCAGTTAGATTACTTATCATACAGGCCTGGGTTGTTCAAAGCATGGATAACACTATCCACTGGGTAAATCTCTATCAGGTGGATAGTGCAGCATGTTTTGCTAACACTTATCCCCTGGATAGTGATTTATCCATTGGATAGTGTTATGTGGCCTTTATACAACTGGGCCCAGTAATCAAAAAGTGTTATCAGAAAAATAAAGCACCATGAATGAATAGGGAGGGGATTAACTTCAAACAAACTTACTTTTCATGCATATACTTCACAGCTAGAACCAGTTGAATAAACCAAGCCAGAATTAATGACTCGTCAAATTTCTTCCCAGCTTCCTTCCAAGCCTTAATTTTATCATCAAGATCACCTCCCTAGGTAGGAGAAAAAAAAGCACAATTTTAGATTATGTCTATACTCCCCAAATATTTCAATGTGCAAATATCAAGTTATGAATTAAATGGAGAAGTTGGGAGAGAACTCAAGAATAGAGAAGATGATCCAAATGTCATTATATGCTAAGTAATCTCAGACAAACAAACTTAAAATCAAGACAGGTATGCTTGACATAAACATTTTAAACTCACCTCACAATATTCAGTAACAATGCAAAAGAACTCTCCATCAATGAAACTGTCCAAGAACTTGACAATGTTAGGATTCTTTAGCTAAAAAAAAAACTGTAATCTGAGTGCAAGTCACTGGGTGCTTTTTTTTAACAAAGACACTGAGAAATGAGAGCACTCTCTCAAATTGCTATTGCTACAATATTCTCGGGGAATATCACAAGTTAACCCCTTAACTCCTAAAAGTGAATAAAACAAAACTTCTTCCTATAATACCCATACATCATTCTGCAAAAAGGTCATGAGAATATTCAAACTCATCGGGTAGAGGCTGCTATCTTGATCTAGCACCAAGTGCTCATAACTAATTTACAAGGAAATGTGTTGCAGCTAGAGGGGAGAATTAACGATCAGATCTTAGGGGTTAAAGGATTAAATCAAATTTTTCTTACTGTATTTTTATGCTCATTGTTTACTGGATATACACTTAAGAAATTTAAGTTTTTAGTTCAGGGTAAATGTTGCTTGTTCTACATTGTGCCCTCTTGCATACATGTATCTCCCAATTAATATGAACTGAAAATTTAAACTTACATCAGATAACATTCTTGCTTCTCTCATGGCATCTACTGTTTCATCTGGCTGCAGTTCCCCAACAAATATTTCCTTCAAAACCTTCCTAAATGTTTTATGGAAAAAATGTTTCAGTTATAAAAAAATTCTACAAACCTGCAGTGGAAGAAGTTTGTTTAATAATGAATTTTGATCCCTGTTTCAAAGATTTTTTCAGTGAACTTTAAAGTTACCTCATATAGATTCATTTTTTTTTTTTTTTTTACCATGTCATGGCAAATAAGATCTTCTTTGCCCATTTCTTATGTGTAACCTTGGTCCATATTAATAACAGAGTTGAATCCTGGAGAATTTTTTTTACAACAACCATTTATTTCATTCAAACAAGAAGTGAGGATTCATTTGGTAATGTTTGGCTAGAAAAGATCTTACACGGACAGACTTGTCTCATATGTTACGCAAAATTGCTGAGGCTTCGCAATGAAAAAACTTTTCTTTTGAATCAGCGCCTTTTCTCCCCTTCAGGAATCAATAAGTTCTTCTTAGCAATCCAGTTGTAAATCAATCAGTGTATTAGTCATTGTCAAAGTTAAATATAATCCAACTACACCGCACTTTGTTCCCAAAGATTTGGTGTGTGAAAAGTCGCCTTCTAAAACATTCTGTTGCGGCAGCTTTTTCACCTTTTTTGACTTGTTCGTAATCAATCAAGTGCTCACTTGCGTTCTACTCACACAATGATTGTTCCTATAGAAACTGATATTATTGCCCTTTTTCAATATTACACATTAATACAGGGACTATGGTATCGACATTCCAGAATACGGACCACCAAAATTAAAGAATAACATTTGTTATTAAAGGTATGTAAACATAAACATAAACATAAACATAAATGATACCACACAAAGGATAACACTGCGGCAGCCGGTGAAAGTTTTCCGTCCGGTAAAGTCCACCAACCGCATACTTTTCGGACGGTTCTATTTGTTTGTTTTTTTGTTTATTTTTGTTATAACTACTAAGTATGCTACTCTTTATTTCTCACCAGATGTGTGGAAGAGTTAAGTTACAGACGAAGATAATTTTGATTCAAACAGGCGGTTGTTGACAAAACTAGTTAACATAACACACATTTACCATTCCCCAGGAGCTCTCACGTCTTCCACAAGATAAACAGTCCCAAAGCTGCCGCTTCCAAGGCGTTTCTCCACGCGATAACGGTTTGCAAACACACGACCTTCATCTTGACTTTTGGATTTTCCACCTCGAGGAATTTTCTTTGGCAGTGGCATGGTAAATTTCGATCCCTATCAAGAAATCCCTGATTTGCGGGGAAACGAACGATGAATCATCACGCTATTATGATTCCAGAGCGCGTAGATGAAAATAGACCACTGTTGACTACTTCAAGTGAGACTTACAACCACTCTGCGTATCTTACAGCTAAAAACAAATTTGCATATTACAATTCTTTGATTTTTTTTCCACACATTTTCCTAAACCTGGTCATAAGTTGAAAAGGACGCTAATGTATGAAACCCCCGCAAAAAAATTTAAATTATTGTTCAGCGGCTATTGCCATAAAAGAGGAGTGAATTGTGGGAAGAAGAACGAGATTGAGTGTGCTGGTGAAAACAACTGTGTTGGTGGGAATCATGTCGAAACATTCGTCATCGCAAACGCCTCGTAAATTAAAAATTGGCTCCGGATCAGTTGTTTGCCAAGAAGCTGAAATAAAAGGTGAGGTTACAATTGGTTCTCGAACGGTCATCCACCCTAAGGCTCGCATAATAGCAGAAGCCGGGCCAATTATCATTGGGGACAACAACCTTATTGAAGAACAGGCTACAATACTCAACTCGTCTTATCTTGACGACGATGAACAATCTGGCGGAAAAATTGTCTTGAAAATTGGAAATCATAACGTTTTTGAGGTCGGCAGCCAGTGTGAAGCTGTAAATGTGGGCGATAACAACATCCTGGAAGCTAAGAGTAAGGTGGGCCGATTCACAAGTGTTTCTCATGGGTGTGTAATAGGAGCCAAGTGTGAAGTTACTTCTCAGGAAACTTTGCCAGAAAATACAGTGATCTATGGACAATGTTGTAGTAGGAGAGTGCAAGGAGAGAGACCTGTACCACAAACACTGCAATTAGATTTTCTCACCAAGATTTTGCCAAACTATCATCATCTAAAAAAATCTAGTCGATCATAACTAAGACACTCATCTCTTGCATCTAACTGGGGTCATAATTTATTCATTGCTTTTAGCTATTAATCCTTGACGAAAGTTAAGGATTTATCTTGTTTTCCTCGCCCAAGGAGAACGCAGATGATATCTTTCATTTGGTTATTGAAGGTGGAATGAAACCGAGAGAACGCTATAAAAAACGATAATCATTTGGAATCTTAACATTGGTACCAATCGGAGTCAGTTCTTGCGATTGTTTGATGTACTTAACGAGATAGTTGAGAGGGAGAACAAATGTTTGACAGTTCAAAGCCTGTATGAAACCATGTTATATGCCTATCAGTTGTACAATATTGAAAAAAGGGACTATATAGGTATAATATAGAAAGTCAAAGGAACATTAATAAACAGGTGTTAGTTACTTATGTTGCAAAGTGCGTTTAACCTGAAATTTTTTCCTCAACTTTCTTTCACTATTCATGATCCCCTTGGGTAGAGAGGAAATCTGGAAGTCACCTTCAAGTCCCCAAGCCTCTTTTGAATTTCTCCTTACAATATTAATACAATATCAAGTAGACAAGTGATGAGAATAAAGAAAACATCAATTAGGGGATTAGTAGATAATCAAATACCAAATTCTCTTAGCTAACATCACAACAATTTTATGGCAGACATTAAGGAGAATTACTAAAGATATCTTGGGAGTTTAAAGGTTAACCCAGTCACTCCCAGGATTTAGCAAAAAGGAATTTCTACAAATGAGCAGAAAGGCAATGAAAAGGAAGAAAATTGTAAATTGAGATATTTTTCAATTTAATGACAAGTTCTTAAACCTAAAATTAGAGATGAATGGCAGAGAATTTATAATTATATTGAACTTTGGCCTTAATACCATCACTTTCTTTTCCCCTCTTCCCTGTACAATGATGCACTTTCTTCTTTGTGATTGTATCACATTGATATGGACTGAGGGAGATACTGTAATAAAATGCAGTTCAATTTCAACTCCATTGCTAAATACCTCCTTAGTTGGGGCAGAGTGAATGTTGTGTCAACTGATTTTTTCACAGAATGTAGCTTCTTGTGGTCATGCAGCGATCAGAAGTGTCAAATCTTTCCAGTGGAATACAAATGTTTTATTTTTAAATATCAAATTTTTTTAAGGGAAAGAGTTCACTCTCACAAGCTAAGACAAGCCAAGGCTCAAAAGATAAGGTCTACAAGGTCTCGTATTTAAAACTGTCAATGTGTAGAAAGTTAGGGTCACTGATTTTTCCTTCTATAAAAGCAATGAATAGGGCATTTGAACACCAATTTGGACCGGGAAAGGGGAGGGGGCAGGAATTTGAAAAAAAAAAATCTTCAAAACTTCAAATGCCCTGGTCGCATTTGAAAATATTGTTTTTAACTCTAAGGACACATTGAATATGTCTTGATTCATACATTTTATTGCATTTCATATATTCTTTCTTTTTTCACATGCAAACTATGAGACTACATCACAGTGTTTAAAGGGTGAATGGAAATCCATTTTTCTTTGAGGCATTTATATAATATAAAACATCTGGTGTTGACTCTGCTTGAGAAAAATTACATACTTATTCTACCCTTGCATTAATTTTGTGCAATTTATCATCATTCTTACCTATTTACTAACAATCCAGTTGTATACAATTGACTTTCTCTGTGAATTTCATTTAAAGCCACCAAGCAAACCTTGTGTTCCATCTAAGTTTTTCCCTAAGCTATCAAAAGACCTTGCATTTTAGTCCGTACAAGAAAATAGTGACACAGGTCCTTCAAGGTTGACCATTCAACCACAAGATTAGTCTTTGTTAACCAGGAAGTGACCAATGTCACCATGTATGTTTTCCTCAAACACATTGTTTGTCATTTCCAATTTGATGCCATGCTCAGGGTCACAGCATGCCGCAAAAATTTCCTGATCCTTCTTGACACAAATACCATGGCAATGATTGTTAGAGATGTAATTATCAGACAAAATTGCAGTGGTCTTCTTGGAATCTGACCTGGCCTGAAAATTAGTACACATATGAGGTACATCAGTGTTGATCCAGTAAGTGAATATTCTGTTCCTGATTAAACATGAATTTCCTGATATCGTCATACAGACAATTCTGCATGGAAGACTGACAAGTATAATCCTTAGATCTTATCCTGGATAATAAAGAATGAAGCTGACAGGAGTATTAGTTCATATGAATAAGTGTTTATCCATCTCTGGTATTCACCCCAGCATTTTGTCAAGATCTCCTGTCAATAATTTGCCAGTACTCATTCAAATACTTCAAGGAAGACAGATAAATGTGTCTTGCCTCAGACTACAATAAAACAAAGGTTTTAATAGAAGTTGTTTGTCAGCCTTCTACCGCTCCCTTTAATTAAAAATTATTCACTGAGGTGGAGGTGGTTAATGGTCAGTAATTATTGAGCTGTAAAGTGGCAAACTTAATACCCACCACTAATCACTGACACTGAGGTGAACAGTTTTATTTCATTTTGTCTACACTTAAACAGTGTATAATAAAGCATGAAAATAATTAAATAGTTTCTTTAAATCACTATTTGCTGGGAACATGAAGAACTGAAGGGGTCAATTCTTGTGTGCAATTCATGTGAGCTTTGCATACTCTTGTTGCAATTTCCACTTTTAGCAGTGAAATTTAACTTCAAGGAATTATAGTACAGACCTCCAAGACAATGGCTCCAGTGGCAAGTTCAGTAGACACATCCAAATTCTGACCAAATTCTCCATTATCAAACAGTTTGCTATCTTGTAAATCAAGTTTTGCACCAGAGGAAACAATAATTGCTGCAGACTTAAGAAAAAGTAAGGAGATAATGAATTAAATTTAGTTGATAGATATTGTAATTGCTATCATATCTCAAAAATAAACTGCATCAAGTATGGCCCAAGTATATAGCACTTGGTATAGCTTTGGGGGAATCCGTCAGGTTTGAAAAAAGTCTCCCATTTTCACTAAATAAACATTCACAAGGGCAAGGATATCCAATTCACATATACTTTGACCATGTTGGTAAATTTTAATAATTAATTCAGTAACTACATGGTGAGTAAACTGCTGAATAATACATCAGTCTTTTTCAAATTTTGTGTAAGAAACTTCAGATAAGTAATATTAGTCACAGATTCCCAAGAAGTGGTTGACTTAGGCCCAGTTACTATAGAGGCACTGTTCAGTAAAAGAACTCATGCTGGAATTACAACTGAATTCTATAGAGCGACAGAAATTGAGCCAATGGTGAACTGGTGTGACTGTAACATATCAGATGAAACTTACTCAACAACACACAAGATCACTAACTCCATCATCCTGTTTAAGTTTTGTGTTAGAACTAGGACAAACATGTGATGTTATTCCTTTCTTAAACTACACATGTAAGATAAAAACTTAAGTGTATCATTCACATACAAGCTTGACCAAACTTTGACAGCCCAATATGGTACTCTATGTTGTCTGCTAAGTAGCAGCTCAAGTTTAACAGTGTGGGCAGAGTGTTAAATTTTTTTCCTTCAAAAACTCTACTTCCATTGTTTAAAACTGATCATCCAACAATAGCACACAAATGGAGATAAATTATCATTAAAAAGTAAAATGGAAAAACATACAAGGGAACATTGGCTCAGAGCTACACCTTTTCTATGATTGAAGACTAGGAAATTACCATCAGGCTAACCTTGGCACCATGAACTTTGCATTGCCTCATGACCAGCTCTCCATTTTCCACAGTGACACCATTTGTCTCACATCTCATATGACAATCATCAAATGTAACCCTGCCACTCTTCACGAGCACTAATCCCTCATTTTCATTTCCTTCTTGTTCAAAGGTGATATTCTTGATGCTAATGTTAGTTGCACAGCATTCCATCGTGTATTCTTCGTTATCACTGCAGAAGACTTTCATTCAAAATGACTGGTTAGAATTTACATTTTATATTATTGTATACTGACAGATGCAAACATTAAAGTCTGGTTATTTAAACAAAGTTTAGCCATTTTTTAACAAAACCATGTCCTATTAAACAATCCTCAATATAGCTGAACCTTTTATCTGAAATTTATTTTTGTGACCAGAGTCAAGAGGGCCAAAAGACAACAGTGGAAGCACACCTGTTTAATAAATTAACCCTCTCATGTAGAAAGCCCGAGGACCACTGATTGCATAAACTGTATAATAGCATTAATTAAGCTTCCTAAGCTCCACTGGCCCAATTTATTCCAGACCCACAACTTCTCACAGACAGTTATTTGGTATCTCTTTATACTCTTGGCAGGAGAGAGGCTGTGTGAGGTGAGGTGCCTTTTATACAAATGCACCACTTTAACCTAGTGAAGGTTCAAGTCCAAGTGCTTTTGATTTAAGGTCTATTACTAGGCCAGCTTATTTTAATGAAAACACTGTTCATGCCTGACTTAGAGATATCAATAGTAGCTTGACATTTTGATAACAAGTTCATATAATCTTTTTCACAGTTTGTATGAAGTACTGACTGAGCTTTTAGGTAACTACATTCACAGGAGCCCATAACCATAGCGCCAATAGTACTACTTACACAACTCCACTTCCACAACTAAGAACACAAAAAGAAAACCCTTAATATCATCTAACATCCTTTCCACACCTATGTGTGAATTTTTTTTCCCTATTAGATTACCAGTAGCTATTTACCAACAATTTCGGAGGGATTTCCTATTCCTGTGATATGAACAGAATCTGCAAGTTGATATGCTCTTCCCTCGAGTTTGTATTTTCCAGGATAGACAACAATTGTATCCCCATGATAATAGCTCTTTAGTGCCTTTCCCAAGCAAGGGTAATGCTCCACCACTGTGTTATCTGTTAGACAGTTTCCAAAGGAAACGTGTCACAAGCACATCTAACATCACATTTAACAGGTGTCTCTTTGTACAATATTTTATGTGAGTATTGTCATCAAGATAATCCAAGTATAATTGTAATGTAAACAATATCAGTTTTTAATAAAATCACATCACAAAGTATTCTTACTAACTACAGTGTGATTGTAAGAAACTTGCTTTCAACAATATTCCTAGCTTTTCCAGTCCATCACTGTTTTGCTCTGACATAGGGCTAATGCTTGAAACATCAGCTTTTAAACTCTTTACTGTGGCCATTTTACAATATCAAGTTGATAAAAGTAAATTATCTTGTCATACTCCCCTACCCATGCAGCACCACAGCTTCTTTTCATTAGAAACTTACCCCCTTCATCGCTGTTAACTCACAAATCACATGAAATCTGCCTTTGCATACAAATTAAGAATGACCAAAAGAAGTTTCAATACCACGTTTTCTTTACAGATTTGATTACCTTCATAGAACTTGACCATGCCAGCCTGTAACTTTGGTGCCACTATATAAGTAACAGGCTCATCTCCTCTGGGTCTGTTACCCCTGGGAGCCTGCTGCACCAGTTTAGGTGACACAGAAGCTAAGAGGTACCTCATTTGTGGGTTCTCTATGATCTGCAGTGAATGAACCAGTGACTCGCACACTTCTGACATCTGTGCACATTTGAGCACATCCATTTCATCAAGCTCTTCATCAAGATCACTGACTGCAATTTTTTCCTGAAGCTGTTTCAGCTCTGCTAACTTCTCCCTATACTGGTTATAACTATCTGTCCAGGGAAAAAGATCAATCAAGACCTTCATGTACAGCTACACTCATCAACCATGATATCTTTGTTGTTTGATGAATTAAATAGCTTAATTTTAAAAGCTTTTTGTACTTTTTTTTTATTGAGAAGTAAAGAAATTAATTGCCAGACACCCATATTACTAATATTATCCATGCATAAACCAATTGGTTCTGAATTAACTTTCAGTACTGTTGTCAGACCACCACGAGGATACAATTAGAAAATCAAACTAAATACCCATGCTTTATAACAGTTCTCTGAAGGAAAATGTTGTAGATCACAAAGTTTTCCTTTTCTCTGATTGCCCACCTCTATAGTTGTTGACCAGATCTCTAGGAAGGTTTCCTTCTTGTATATCATAGTAGAGTTGAATTCTTGTGTCTAAATGTCGGCCGGCATAACAATACTCTCCATCATCGTCCTCATCCCACTCTCTCCAAATGTTCTCATAGAAAAACCTTGACAATAACCAGAGACTATTAGTAATGTCTCAGCTGTGAAACCTAATTTAAGTTTCTGAAATTCTTACTAAGAAACTTGATAAAAAACAATAAGAGTATTGGTCAAGAGCAGTTCTGTAAAACAGAACAATAGCTTCAAAATTAATCATTGCATTTACATTTAATTACATATAATAATGTTAAGTTAGATTTGAAAAATCTCTCAGACCAATAAGGAGATCTATGAAAGAGCAACAGATCACACACACCACACACACACACATAACAAACATGTACCTGACATGCTCAATGGCCAATGTGGTTTCATCATGTTGTCCAGTTTCATCATACACTGGGCACAGCTCAGTTAGAGGAACACGATTGCCGTGACAGCAAAGGTATGCATTGACTTTTTCAGTGTCTAAATCATTGAGGCAGTCTGTGACCACTGGTTCACATATACTGACTTCTGCCATAATGTCACTGGCATTGACATTTGACACCTGTCAATCACATATAGACTATTTAACAAATAGATTCCAAGTTGTCGTACGTCTGTTCAGTAATAGATCACAGATGACATCAAAATGTGGTAAGAACAAAAGAGTGGCTCACTGATGTTCTAACCACATTTTGTAGTTTTTTTTCAGTTTGAAAAGTATGACTAGGTATGACTAGGTATGCCGTGTACCGTTAAACAAATTCTAAACAAGGAAATAAATAAGGTACCGGTAATTCGACAACATTCTTCATTACAACTACAGTCGACGAAGACAGCGTGTAGAAAAAAAAGCAAGCGCTGTGTTAAATTGAACACGATCTAGTTTACTTTTAGCCATTTTGATAAGGAAAACATAAAAACTGCTTACCTCCACTACAACGTCAAAAGGATGTAGTTGTCCGCTGGATTTAGGAGTACTTCTCCATACTGCGTGCCAGCCACTCGCCTCGACATTTCGACCAATGTATTTCGCTATTCTATCGGGAACTTCGCGCGGTTTACACAAGCCCAAAATATCATTTTTATAAGCTGCTACCCGAGTTTCAACGGACAAATCTGCAGTCTGAAATATCATCGGTAATTTAGTACTCGACATTGTGCAAAATTATGATTTAAACTTGGCGGGGAAGATGTGACAACTGTAAAGCCAAAATGACCGCTCAGCCCCAGTGCCTTGACTGTCCACAGTATATCACGGTACACTTCATTACACATACACAAAAACAAAGTCCGGATGCGTGGCGTTGTCTTTTTTCTCGCGAAGAGAAAACGTGAGCAGTGATGAAAATTTTAATAGGAAAAGAAATGGAGTGCAATGCTGAAGTTAAAAAAAGATGTGGTGATCATTGGTGCTGTTGCTTGGGAATCATTAGCCTAGTTGCAACACCTCGAAAAAGACAAAAGACCGCAAACGAAAATACTACCAGTATACATAAGATCTGGATTATTCAAACAAATGGAAAAAATCGTCGTTCTATGATATCACCTACTTTTTTTAAACTTCATTTTCAAACAGTTTGCCAAAAAGTGGGAATCAATTTTAAACGCCTCAAGTGCAAGAAAGAGTTCAAACATTTCTCCGAAAAAAAGGGGTCAACTGATACAAACTGTTTCAAAACAGTTTGCCAATGATAGGTTATTTACATTTTGAACATATATCAAAGAAGTGGCAAAAGGTTTGAAGTAAGCATTCATCGTCATTGTCGAAGTTGGTCATCAAAGATGGTGTTTGACCTAAGCCATTTTTTTAAAGAAAAGGTTACTAAGCATAGCCTTTTTGATGCGCAATTGTCGAAAATTTATTATTTCAAATAACCAGTTTGCATATCGAGGTTACTTTACGGGGCCACTTTTTGGCGGGTTTTTTTTAAAAAAAAAAAAAAACACACACACACACAATGCACATTCACAACTTTGCCTCATAAAAGATACCTTGCCTTGCAACCCAGTAAATCAGAAACAAACTGTCAAGAAGTATTCCTGTCCCTCTTACAATCGTAAGTCGATGAGTGGTCCAAGGAATTTCCAATAGCAGTTTCCTACCTGCTTATTTAAATCCTGTCGCTATTTTATATCGCAATGCATCATTTTCCTCGTGTGTTCTTGGACCTTACCACTGTGAAAAGTCGAGCTTAGTTTGTGCAGCAATCACTCTTTGTTGTAGCGTATCAGCAATCGTATCAATATCAAAGTAAAGAGTTCATTAAGTCCAAAAAAATCAAGCTGGAATGACAAATGTTAATTACCTTAACCTTTCTTTATTATCCATTTAAAATTGGTAAGATGGTCACAATTGTGCGCTCTCGTGGTTTTCTCGGAAACCATGCACACTAGTCAAAATCTCGTCTTCGGAATGTACAACAAGCGCAATGCCAATCCTTCTGAAACAAAAGAAAAAAAAAAGGCGCGTCAATTTTCCTATCATATGAGAAGTTTTATATAAAGAATTGTATTAGCCTTTTAACGAGAACAACTAATAGAAAGAGTACCCACTCTCTAATAAGCACCCTCCTCACGAAAAATCGCCCCCCCCTCCCTCACTTTCTTAAAGAGTAGGGATACAAGAAAAACCTGTTTCTATTGCCATTAATTTTTTTTAACTTTTTTACGCTTGTACTTCAGCGGCATCAGGAGATTAATATACTCCTCTTAATTAAGCGCAATGGGAGCTAGGAGCCCCCCTTTTAGCCGAAATTTTAATTAAGCACCCAAGTGCTCACCTCGAAGAAATGTTGCACGAAAAAGAGTTAATTTCTGAAAATTGATTTGTTTACTCGAAGTTCTACAGAAAGCAGTTCTATAAATTGACTTAAACGATTTGCATCTGTAAACCACCAAATAATTAGAATTCCAAAATTTTACTCAACAAATATTTGCACATTAAAATGGACTCCTGAAATAACACAACCGAACAAAAATGCACATTTACGAGGTTTACAGTCATTTTAAGCGCCTTTCTATTGCCAAAAATCAGGCAAAAATTTCTGCTTGATATTTTGTGAAATGGCGCGCGCGGGGTTTTTGCCATTTTCTTACCGAGATTCCAGTGTTATCTATGTGATAAAGTAAGATCAAAATTCAAACAATAAGGGAACAATGCCCAAGGGTATTTATTTTTTCCGCTTTGCAACTCGTGGGTGGATTTTTCATTATTTTTTTTTTGTTTTTGCGGTCGAGTCGATTCCTTTTGGAAGCCAAAAAAATTAATTCACGTAGTAGCTCACTTGTGCTTTTTTTCCCTAAAACGTCGATGCATCAAGAAAACTCAAATTAAATGGAATTATACCGTTGTGGATTACTTCTTTGTTTACAGACGAAAATACAAGGACGTGCCCTGATTGACAAGTAATAAAGATAATAGTCTTCAGGAGAATTAAGATGTTAACCATTACGAGTACTGTCGCCGTTTCCGCTGACTATCCAGCACTGTTATGAACTGTGACAGTTCTTTTATCAAAGTGCGTTGGGTTCCATCCTCAAATTTAAACTTAAGAACCGGTGTAAATGAAGTTGTGGCCCACAGAACAGTTTATGATAATGATATTCTTTTACGGATCTATTATTCTAGACTAAGGTTTGAAATTTCACAGTTATTTTCCTTGTTCTGTCAGTGTTCAGATTAAATCTTCTCCCAACTCTTCCCTTGACGGTTTTTATCGATGAGAAAATAGTTGAACAGGAGGATAGCTTTTGATCAGTGCTCTTCTTTATATATAGTTAACACTTTAAATTTGTTTATTGAGGTGATTGACGAGATAAGGCAAATTGAAGGTAAGATGAGGTTGAAGAAAGTTGGTAAGCGATAGATTTGGAAAGATTCATGTATTCTGCAAGTTTTAACAATTTCTGGTATCACATCAGACTAGACTACACCGGGTTGTTAATTCAGGCATGATCGACAATCTTGCAGTATTGGGTTAAAATATTCCGCAATTTTCATGCTCGTGCTAGCAAGTGCTGAAAGTGAAATTGAAAGCGTCGATCATTAGGCGGTGGAGACATGTTGCTTGCTGGTGAATTTTCAGTGACATGTAACACAGTCGTCAAAGCTTTATCCTTTAGCTCTGTCTCTACGCTTGCATTCAGTGCCGTTAGTAGCTTATGAGTGACACATCTTGAAAGAGTCGATCGGTTTATTCCAATATACCTGAATACATTATCTGGTGATACAAAAGCCTGAGAAGTTGTGCAAGATTGATCGGTGATTGAGCAGTAACGATGATCAAGATAATTTTTGAGTTGCAAGAGAGAATTTTAACTGTGTAAAGCATTATGCATTCCTGTGATTGGCGAAAATTCAGTAAGTTGATTAAATTAACGATCAATGATTAATTTCGTCTCTTTTGCCACAGTTTTATGCGAGGGAACATAGCCAAGAAAAAAATGATATACGAAAATGTGTTATTTGGCGGATTTCCACTACACCTTCTTTGAAGAAAATATTTACTTTGCGCGCATAATTTTTTATGTAAATTGAGAAGGAAAAATACTCTTAAAAAGTCAAGACGTCACTATGACACAATTGTTGTGTTATGAGCTGCTAGTGACAAAAGGCACAAAATATTTATCAAAAAGTGGCAACAACCATGTCCACACCGGTCACGTAATGGATGGTTGTAGTTTTCCCAGCTGTCGTTAAAGAAAATGCAACACAACAAAAAAAAAAAACATAATGTACGACATGCAACTCTTTCCGGTTTGAAACGTGACAGAATGCAGAGTGAACAATTAGAAACCCATTATAAGTGTTCATGCTGTTGTCATAGATACATTGGGAGCATTGAATTCATTTTGACATAAATTTAAAATTTAAATGAGGAACTAAAAAAGAGAGAAAAAAAAGTCGCGTCAATTTTGTTGCTTTTTGTTGTTGCAACTTGCTTCATTTACCCGAACAGTAAGAATAAAGACATGACGTGTGATTCGGTGTTTCCTACGGCATTACTTTTTTCAAATTCAACGGACCGTTTAAGTTTACATAAACGATGAAATTAAAGAATTACGCTCTGAAGGACTGAGCGCCACCTATCTCAATACACAATAGAAGGGGTTAACCTCGTACCCAGATCCTACCGTGTAATTGTAAATGAAATAGAGGCGCTTGGCCGAGTAAGGTATGAGACTAGAATCGGGTAAACACTTATCATTTTCCCATTAGAGTTGTCGTCAGTTTTAAGTATTACGCTTCGTCAAATTTCATTAGGAACACCGAAGTTCAAACGGCGAACAAATTTACGAGGAGGGGGGAGGGGTGGTAATATTTCTCGCAGCAGTTGTTACGATGTTACAGATAAACACTTCAACACTCTGCTGAGAAACCAAGGCAGAGCTCCACAGCACTCTGGGAACGAGGCTGCCGAGAAATGGCTACCCACATCTGAGCCTCATTTCTTTCCGATGTTAAGCAATCGCGGTAGGGAATCATTAACAAACATCTCGCTAAAGTCGCTCTTTAAGACACGTTAAGCTAAAGTTAGTTTCTTAATTTCGAGTCGCTAAAGCTGTTAACTAAGGCCGTAATTAAGATACCCATATTCCAAAAACGAAGAACGTTTTTCATTAGTCACTGTGTAAAGCTTCGTAAAATCCAGAACACAAATATTGGGAAACGGAAGGTAACAAAATATCTGCACGAGCAAGTTTGTTACGTATCGTCTGGAATCTCTTCCTGAAATACTTTTGGTGTATGGACGACTTAAATTATTTTTTGTTGAATGTTTCTGATGTTTTCGCATTTTCATGCCTTAATTAATCTCATTTTCGATTTTCCTACAGACTAAAGCAGTGACACTTTTCATGCTAATTTTTTCTCATTTAATGGGAGTTTAGCTCGTGTTTGAAATTTTGAAGGAAAATTATACTCCATACTTATGTCTCCATAACTAATTAAAATTCAAGATCCGTACTGACTGGAAAAACATGACGAACAAATTGCCTATTTTATTTTGTTCTGATAGACCCAGACATGGCAAAACGATCCGAAGGTTTGTTGCTTGTCGTGTTAATAACCTGCTGTGTTTTGATGTCGTTGTCGAACGCTAAGCCAAGACCAAAGTCAGATCGGTGCCTAAAAATACGTCACGGGAAAAATTGCACAGACCAGGATGACAAGAATATCACTGAATGTTGTCTTAAGAAATATAAACTGGGCTTTGACGTTTTGCCGTCCAGCTTTAATCCCTCTGTCGAAGACCCGCCATCTTGTGCCCTTGACGTGGTGAGTAAGGAGCTTAACAGGAAACTTCAACAATAACAAACTTTTGCTTGGCCCTATGTTCATATGTTGAATTGTTCATCATCGAAAAAGATCTCAAGGTCAAAGTAAAAAAAATCAGTGACTTGAAACTACATAAAGTTGATCTCCTGCAACTTATAATTTCTTTCATATCTTTTCTAGGGTTTGGCTCAATGCCTCCACGACAGCAAATGCTTCCGCAAACCGCTAACCAGAAACCTTCGCCTCCTCATGTTCAACCAACTGATTTTCACCAACAGAACAGGACTGTGTACCCGAACAAACTTTAAAGAACTCTTAGAAGAAGCTAAGACAAGTTAGTGGCAAATTTATCAATGACTGATAGTATTAAAAAGAAAACTTTAGCCATGGTCATCAGCATTCCAAAACCTAAAGCCTAACATCGCTTAATTTACATTTGGGGTAGTTGTTTCGTCTAAAATATTTTAAATTTCAACTCTCAAAGCGACCATCTTAAAGACTGAACTATTCAAAAGTGAAGCTTGTTCCCCGAGCTAAAATAAGTTGATTCCTTCTTTAAAAAAATTGTTTTCCTTATTTTCTCTGGATTATAAATCAATTTGAGATCCTCAACTACACATTCAAACGGTCCAGCGGTAAGTATTTGTTGAATAACTCATATTTCTTTTGCAGAATCCGGTGCAGAGTTCCTCCAGAAGTTGCAGGCAATCGAGGAAATGAGTAAGTGGAAATATCATTTAGTTTATCGTCTGAATGGTTATTTGATTTTATCCAGAGTATATCAACTGATATTCCCTTGATTTTATAAAGTATTATTAGGAGAATATCAACTGTTCATATTCTCTGGGTTTTTACTTGTGATCTGTTGGGGAACAAACGCACAGATGACGTCGCTATCAACAGTATTTTGCTTTTTTATCAGAAAAAAGAAAACACGTACACTCCATGTTCCCGTGGGTATGTACAGTAATAGATCACAGTAGACGCCAAAACGAGGTGGGAACATCAGTGACACACCGTGTCACTCTAGCGTTGTTATCGCATTTTGACGTCACCTGTGATCTATGACTGTACAGACGCTGTTAGATGTAAAATTTACTCTAACACTCGTTGTCTTGTTGCCTCTTTCTTTATTTTCTCTTCTACACAAGTTATTACAACGGGGACTGGTTCTGATCTCTCGAGGCCAAGGTGACACTTACGGAGCTGTCAATCTCTACCCTTCGTCATACTTTTACACTTAAATAGCGAATCACTTTGGGTTACGCAGGACGGAGTTCGCATACTAAGTAGATACTAAATTGGGAATTCGCCATGGATTTAGCCTAAACACGAGAGTAAATGGATAAAAGTATAAAGGAGGGTTATTTCCAGGAAATTCTTGTGCGGGATCAATTTTTATAGGGTAGTCATTTTATTAGTAATTATTTTTTTAGCAACATAATGAAAATATACCGGTATCTAGCCGCAAACCGCAGTTTACGCAAAAAAATCTGTCTCCATGTCAATTTCACGGTCACAATAAGGAAAAGGTGACCAAACTCTATCTGTAAGGTAAGACCGCCAAAAGGAATAAGAAATGATCAACTGGCTTATTACAACGTTTACTGAATGGCTTATGCAAATATGTCATTTCCATTCCTTTTCTAACACCAATATAGGAAACCCTTACAATGTTTTTAGGTTAGATATATTTCTATTTTTATCGTTTAACAACGCACAGCAACATGCAATCTATTTGTTTTTAAAAATATTTTTGTGCACGAAAGGAGAAGTTTGACCCAGAAACCATTTAATTTCTATCTCCGCCGATGGAAAGTACATGTTTGATTGAGAAATCGACCGCGTCTGAAGATTATTAAGAGTACCAGAACCTTTCGGAAATTGTCCTAAAAATTAAGGACGTCACCATTTTAATTTTACCTAGCAACTTCGCACTTAGCTTGCTATATTCAGTATTTTTTTTTATTGGACAAGTCATGTAATCGAAGCGCGTGATGTCTTCCTAAACAACTGATCTCGGTTTTTCATATCTCGCGTGTGCTGCATGAAATTCACGAAACACAATCCAACAATCAATGGAATATCTCGGGGAAACCTCGGTCGGTGAAAGCCTTTTGAGTGAAATACACATGTCAAGTGAGATGTCAAGACTTCACTTGTTCCGGAACTTAAGTGGTTTTATTTCACTCTTTGTATCTTTGAAGTAAATCTCTCTTAAGTTTTTAATTTCCATGTCTTAAAGATCGGTTTGAACAATCAGGAACTCCACCGAAGGCATTATTGTTTCAGACGATAACTATTTACAGTAAGAAGAGTAAGCCGCTATATGTGAACCACACACTGTGGTTTTGTATGTGCAACTAGATTTCAAGATACTCTTTCCTTTTTATGACAGCGTCTTGAGTGGAATCTTTGCTCCTTTGAAGACAGTTTACGAATGTATATGTAACTCTTCGAAATCTAAAAATGCGTAAGGAAGCAAATTTTGGAAAACTCTTGAAGGGCGGTTGAAAATCACGTAATGTCTTACACAAACTTCTCCTTTAAAAAGAATCGTAATTCTAAGACTTTCTAAGGTTCTCTTCATATTTTTTTGTATATTTTCACCTCAACAGATGGATTTGACCGTAAAATTTGCGCTACAAAAGTGTATAGGAAATGTGGCAGTCAATTCAGCCAAAAATTAAAGACTAACCCAGGATACGATGTACGTAAGCTGTGCAGAGTGTTTGCTGAAGAAGGGAGTTGCACAATCACAGAAGCTGAGAATTTTAATTGTAAAGAATCCCGACTCCTCAAACGGTTCAAAGAAAATTCCCTTGAACCAGCTTCGGTTGTTTTAAAAGAAATTTGTCCTTCACCCTGAGGAAAACTCGCCGGTTATTGAGCTAAGAGAGTTCTGAAAATATTAAATACGATTTTAGTTCGGCCAAAATAGTATCCTCTTATTGATAATGATAAAGTAATCACGGTAATGATATCAATACTAATGACAACAACAACAATCACAGCAACACTAATGACGACGATAACAGTCATGATTGTATTCGGGGTAGTATAACAATGAAACACTCAGCCCTATTAATGGCCACACAGAGGTAATATTGAATCAATTTTTTTGCAGCATCGCTGAAAATTAGCTCTAAATATGCTTTCTAAATGTAGTTATTGCAGCATGTACCTAGCTCAGCCGTGAACGCAATAAATGGATGATTAAAACACTACTGACATATGTCGGATGCATTTTGTGTCAAATAGTTTCGTGATTCCTTACAACCCATACTAGTAAATCACTGTGACTTTTTTTCCCATCCGAAAGTATTTTTCTTTCTTAAAGTAGAATCAGTGTTTCACCGATCTCAACAAAGAAGTCCAGAGGGACACACAGATTGAACATATGATGCATATGAACACACAGATTAAAAGTTTTACAAGTTTATTACGTTCACGTGGGATATTTGTCTCGATTTGTAAGCAGTTGAGTGCATTGTTCATCCACATATTCTAAAACAACTGTGCTTCCACTTAACACTGGGCAATTATCTTGCGTCTGAAAATGTTCCAAAGGATTTTGTAAGTCTAGAACATCTCCAGAACTTCCGTGGAACAGTCGTAGCTTCTAATAAGATTGAGAATTACAATATTGCAATTAGAGGCTGATTTAAGCGTAAAGGCTCGAAAACGTAAAGAGGCAAGCTTTGAAATATATATATATATATATATATATATATATATATATATATATCTGGCGACAGGTAGTAATCATTGGTGGGTTTCCATAATGCTTCCATAATAAACCACTGGGACTTTACTCCTTCACACCCTTTAGATGGGATTTAAATAACAAAGAAATGGATTTCGCAGTAGACAATCCATTAATTGGCTCTTCTTATCCACTGTTTCCATGTCGAATTAGAATTCAGAACGTTGGTTTTGAGGAGGGAGGAAAACCGGAGGTCTGGAGAAAAACCTTAGGAGCAAGGACGAGAACCAACAACAAACTCAACCCACGTGACACCAGGTCCGCAAATCGAACCCAGGCTACAATGGTGGGAGGCGAGCGCTCTCGCATTTGCGCCATCCCTTCTCTTCTTCATCCTCTCTGTACGGTATTCGATACATTTCCCATGGTACTGACAAGGAGAATTTGTTTTTAACCCATTAGGAGCTTCTTGTGTTAGTGATCATTTCCTTTATTCTCATGACCTACATTTGATTCAAGGTGGCTACCGTAAGGAGAAATTAGAAACCAGTCACTTTCAGGGGCCAAAGGGTTAAAATAACGAGGATCATCTTCTCTAGAACATAACAGCATTGTAAAGGAACGGGGAGGGGAGGGGATGAAATAGCAATGTGAATCATGTGACCCTTATGGGTGAAGTTCGTAAGTCCGGAAGACGAAAACAAAATGAAGAAAGATCAAGGAACAAGAGGTTGGACGAACAGGGTTTTTAAACCTCGATCAATCAGTGATTCAATCAAAACAAGCAACAAGGACGCAACATTAAGTAAGCTCATGCTTCCTAACATTTCACACGGAACAGTATTAGGCCGTTAGACAGTTCTTACCTTTGCTACTGCCTTGTTATTATCATTTTTCAGTCTTGCAGTGACCGCAATTTTGTCGATGACTTTTCCCACCGTCCAGTACTAAAGTTCAAACCGAAAATTACTGAAAAGTTATGACATTTTCGTTTTTCTCGCTACATTCACATCCGTTGAGCATGAATACTAAAGTATCCAGTAGTTCTCATTTGGCAAGTACCATCACACTCAGCGGCTAATAGGACTGGAGAGTTCAGTGAAAAGACGCCCTTCATAGTGAACACGTAAAAGTAATAAGGTCTCCCTTTATCTCTCTCTGCATGATTCCTCAATCTATTGCAGATTATCATTTAACCAAACCGGCCCCGCGCACGCAATCCCAGAGAAAACCATAATGAAACTTAAAGTGTGTATGACTAGATAGGCTGAAGTGAGTGGGCCCAGAAAAAGTCATCCGGACTTACACTCACCAGCCTTTGTTGAAAAAACTTTAAGGTAAACAGAAACGAGAAAAGAAGTCGTGATATACTAACACAATAAAGAAAGAGGAAGAAAAAACACTGTACAAGATAATAACGTAACAATCAAAGAAAGAAAACAATGTACGAGATACTAACGCAGCAAACGATCAGAAAAGAAAAGAAACAGAGCGCGAGAAAATAACCTAACAAACAACCTGAAAAGAAAGGAAACTGTGCGTGAAATACTAACGTAACAAACCAACAGACAAGGAAACAGAGCGCGAGATACTTACGTAACAAACAAACAGAAAAAAAAGTAAACTGAGCGCGAGATACTAAAGTAACAAACAAACAGGAAAGAAAAGAAACAGTGCGCGAGATACGAACGTAACAAACAAAAAAAGAGCAAACAAAGCGCGAGATACTAACGTAACCGACGGAAAAGAAAGGAAACAGTGCGCGAGATACTTACGTAATAAACAAACAGAAAAGAAAGGAAACAGAGCGCGAGGTACTAACGTAACAAACAAATAGAAGAGATAAAACAGTGCGCGAGATACTAACGTAACAAACAAACAGAAAAGAAAAGAAAACAGTGCGCGAGATACTAACGTAACAAACAAACAGAAAAGAAAAGAAAACAGTGCGCGAGATACTAACGTAACAAACAAACAGAAAAGAAAGACAGTGCGCGAGATACTTACGTAACAAACAAACAGAAAAGAAAAGAAACAGTGCGCGAGATACTAACGTAACAAACAAACAGAAAAGAAAGAAAACAGTGCGCGAGATACTAACGTAACAAACAAACAGAAAAGAAAAGAAAACAGTGCGCGAGATACTAACGTAATAAACAAACAGAAAAGAAAAGAAAACAGTCCGCAAGATACTTACGTAACAAACAAACAGAAAAAGAAAAGAAAACAGTGCGCGAGATACTTACGTAATAAACAAACAGAAAAGAAAAGAAAACAGTCCGCGAGATACTTACGTAACAAACAAACAGAAAAGAAAAGAAACGGTGCGCGAGATACTAACGTAACAAACAAACAGAAAAGAAAAGAAACAGTGGGCTAGATACGAACGTAACAAACAAACAGAAAAGAAAGAAAAAAGTGCGCGAGATACAAACGTAACAAACAAACAGAAAAGAAAGAAAAAAGTGCGCGAGATACAAACGTAACAAACAAACAGAAAAGAAAGGAAAACAGTCCGCGAGATACTTACGTAACAAACAAACAGAAAAGAAAAACAGAAAAATAAAAAAACAGAAAAGAAAAGAAAACAGTCCGCGAGATACTAACGTAACAAACAAACAGAAAAAAAAAAACAGTCCGCGAAACTTACGTAACAAACAAACAGAAAAGAAAAGAAACTAAAACGAACGTAACAAACAAACAGAAAAGAAAAGAAAACAGTGGGCTAGATACGAACGTAACAAACAAACAAAAAGAAAAAAAAGTGCGCGAAAAAACGTAACAAACAAACAGAAAAGAAAAAAAACAGTGCGCGAGATACTAACGTAATAAACAAACAGAAAAGAAAAGAAAACAGTCCGCAAGATACTTACGTAACAAACAAACAGAAAAAGAAAAGAAAACAGTGCGCGAGATACTTACGTAATAAACAAACAGAAAAGAAAAGAAAACAGTCCGCGAGATACTTACGTAACAAACAAACAGAAAAGAAAAGAAACGGTGCGCGAGATACTAACGTAACAAACAAACAGAAAAGAAAAGAAACAGTGGGCTAGATACGAACGTAACAAACAAACAGAAAAGAAAGAAAAAAGTGCGCGAGATACAAACGTAACAAACAAACAGAAAAGAAAGAAAAAAGTGCGCGAGATACAAACGTAACAAACAAACAGAAAAGAAAGGAAAACAGTCCGCGAGATACTTACGTAACAAACAAACAGAAAAGAAAAGAAAACAGTGCGCGAGATACTAACGTAATAAACAAACAGAAAAGAAAAGAAAACAGTCCGCGAGATACTAACGTAACAAACAAACAGAAAAGAAAAGAAAACAGTCCGCGAGATACTTACGTAACAAACAAACAGAAAAGAAAAGAAACGGTGCGCGAGAAACGAACGTAACAAACAAACAGAAAAGAAAAGAAACAGTGGGCTAGATACGAACGTAACAAACAAACAGAAAAGAAAGAAAAAAAACGAGATGCGCGAGATACAAACAGAAAAGAAAAGAAAAAAGTAAAAACAAACAGAAAAACAAACAAAAAGAAAAAAAAATATACAAACGTAACAAACAAACAGAAAAGAAAAAAAAAGTGCGCGAGATACGAACGTAACAAACAAACAAAAAAAAGAAAAAAAAAAACGTGCGCGAGATACGAACGTAACAAACAAACAGAAAAGAAAGAAAAAGTGAAAAGAAAGAAAAACGTAAACAAAAACAAACAGAAAAGAAAAGAAAAAAAGAAAAACGTAACAAACAAACAAAAAGAAAAGAAAAACAAACAGAAAAAACAAACAGAAAAAGAAAACAAGATACAACGTAACAAAACAAAAAAAAGAAAAAAAAAAAAACAGTGCGCGAGATACTAACGTAACAAACAAACAGAAAAGAAAACAGATACGAAACGAACAAACAAACAGAAAAGAAAGAAAAAAACAAAAGAAAAAAAAAAGCGCGATAGATACTAACGTAACAAACAAACAGAAAAGAAAACAGTGCGAGATACTTACGTAACAAACAAACAGAAAAGAAAACAAAAGAGAAAAACGAAAAACAAACGAAAAGAAAAAAACAGTGCGCGAGATACTAACGTAACAAACAAACAGAAAAAAAAAAGAAAACAGAAAAGAAAAAACAGTGAAAAGAAAAAACAGTGAGATACTAACGTAACAAACAAAAACAAAAGAAAACAGAAAAACGAAACAAAAAACAGAAAAGAAAAAAAGTGCGCGAGATACTAACGTAACAAACAAACAGAAAAGAAAACAAACAGTGCGCGAGATACAAACAAACAAACAGAAAAGAAAAACAGTGCGCGAGATACTAACGTAACAAACAAACAGAAAAGAAAACAAAACAGTGCGCGAGATACTAACGTAACAAACAAACAGAAAAGAAAACAAAAACAGTGCGCGAGATACTAACGTAAAACAAAAAGAAAAAAAGAAAACAGTGCGCGAAACGAGAAAACGTAACAAACAAACAGAAAGAAAAAAAAACAGAAAAGAAAAACAGCGAGATACTAACGTAACAAACAAACAGAAAAGAAAGAAAACAGTGCGCGAGATACTAACGTAACAAACAAACAGAAAAGAAAACAGTGCGCGAGATACTTACGTAACAAACAAACAGAAAAGAAAACAGTGCGCGAGATACTAACGTAACAAACAAACAGAAAAGAAAGAAAACAGTGCGCGAGATACTTACGTAACAAACAAACAGAAAAGAAAGAAAACAGTGCGCGAGATACTTACGTAACAAACAAACAGAAAAGAAAACAGTGCGCGAGATACTTACGTAACAAACAAACAGAAAAGAAAAGAAAACAGTGCGCGAGATACTAACATAAACAAACAGAGAAGAAAAGAAAACAGTGCGCGAGATACTAACATAAACAAACAGAGAAGAAAAGAAACAATGCGCGAGATACTAACATAAACAAACAGAGAAGAAAAGAAACAGTGCGCGGGATACGAACGTAACAAACAAACAGAAAAGAAAGGAAACATTGTGCGAGTTATTAACGTAACAGAAAGGAAAGGAAAAAAGGCACAAGATACTAACGTAATTGTCTTTTGTGTTGTTCTCACCTTGGAGAAGTACATTGGATATTCTCGTTCTTTATTACCAAGAGGCATGAGAACTCTGAGATAGATTCGTTCCTCCTAAGAAAAAGGAAAGCAGACTTTTTCTAACATTGGGCGCAACAAAAAGGCAGAAAGTTCGCTGATGGGTCTGTCAAGTTGGCTCAGGAGTGGTCAGCAAATGATGGAGCAGCACGACAGAAAAAAAATCAGTTTTCACAAATAATCGAGGGGTTAATGATTCGAGGCTCAGTGTTACAATCCTGGAGGTCATCTCTAGAGCTACAACTTATCCTGGTTTCTGTAGCATTAAGGTCCGATTCTTCAAACAAAGTTCAGTCGTTCTTTACCAAAACTGCGCCTTGAATAATCCTCAATTTAGTTGGACCTTTCTGTGGACCTTTCTTCGTGAACAGTGTCAAGTCGGCCGAAAGCTTACAGTGGAAGGACATTTATTTAACAAAATCGACCCTCTTATAAAGAAAACCTGAAGCGCACTGATTGTGTTAAACTGTGGTCTGGGTTAGACCTCGTGTACAATAACCGGCTCCAAGTGACTTGGATTATTGCCAACCATACTGGACTAGATACCAGTCCATTAAAGGTAACTCCTTACGCTATGAAGTTACCCTTACGTTTCCTAACACCTAGCTAAACACCGGACCTCTTAATGTTGTACAGGGTCAAGGGCGTCCTCAATGGTAGTAGGTTACACTCAGATATAACTGCTGAGCGTGGTAAATCTAAGGTGAAGGCAACCCTTAAAAGCTGACCAGGACAAAGAAAAATTTAAAAGGAGTCAAATGCTTCTAGTTTTGTATCTGATTGGTTAATGTAGATGACATCTTCTTGAACCAGACAAGTGAAGCATTGAAGCAAAACAAGTGAAATCATATGGAGTATTTCTGAACCTTGATATTATTAAAAATGGCTCTGTATGGACTTGACCTGACAAACCTGAGGAATTGAACAATCTCCAGTAGCTTTCATCTTGATCTTCATCAGAGCAACTTTAGCTGCGCGGCTTTCATTTCTCACACCCCCACGACCTAAAACAAAAATGGTACCATCACAAAGATGAAGGTAAATCACACAATACTCTTCACTTACCACTGAGTAATAATTGTACATATATAAAGGTATATAAAGAGGTAAAAACAGCTTCAGATGGGGAATAGGGTGTAGACCTTTCTACAATCTTAAATCTTACAGTTTGACAAAAAGTGGTACAAAACAGTGCATTTCTTCTCTTTATAGGACAACTTTCCAAAACACCTTTTGCATTTATGGATTGACAGAATTAATGTATGGGGCATAATGAAGAAATTATAATTTTACTGGGAATTGAAAAGGGATACAGAAAAACAATAGAGGACTGTAACTAGAAAGAAGCATTTTTCTAAACCTATCTAGAATGTGAGTTTGCACAAGGAGAAAATAGTCCTTGCAAACCAATCATTGCTCCTCAGTGTTCCAAAGAAACCCACGTACACTGAACATCTAATTCTCTTAATCAATTTACAAGGAAATGTGTAGTAGCAAGAGGGGAGAATTAACAATCAGATCTTGGGAGTTAAAGGGTTATTGAGGTGATGACTTTTCCCTCACATAAGACAGATGATAAGGAGACCCTAGAAACATACCTTTCTTTTCTTTGCAAAGATCTTTTCCTGTTGAAATGTTAAAAATAATGATTATTTAACCCTAAAAACCCTTAACCATTTACACCCTGAAATCGGTATGCATATTCTCCATACTGTTCTGGACACGTTTCCCAAGTTGCTGACAAGGAGAACTTGTTTAACAATCAGGAGCTTCTTTAGTTGGTGATTATTTCTTCTATTCTCATTACCTTAATGTTTGATTCAGGGGTGATATTGTAAGGAGAAATTAGATGTTGATCAGTCTCAGGGGCCAAAGGGTTAAGAACACAAGAATAAAGGAGATGATCACAAGTAAAGAAGCTCTTGATTGTTAAACAAATTATCGTTGTCAGATTTTTAGGAAATGTATAGAGATCAGTATGGAGAATATGCATAATGATGTTAGGGAACAGAGGGTTCAGGCATTGGTATACATTCAAATACTGAAAAGGAGGAAAAAGGTAAGATTAAATACTCATACTCTTGTAGCAGTTATTACTTTAGATTACTTCACAACTTTGCACAAATGTTAGACTTAAGAAATTTCTAAATCTCCAGTGAAGGATGGACAGTATATGGCCCAGCGCTGGATTATTCAAAGCTGGATTAAGATAACCCAAGGTTAAGGTGAAATCTGACTTCAGATCTGAAAGCTTTAAAAGAAAATTCAGTACAATTCTCTTTGTCTACAATTTTACTATTGGATATCCTAAAGAGAATAGAAAAAATTATCTCATGAGGGCTTGTGAACAAAGAAATAAAGAAACCTAGATTAAAATGTAACCCTGGGTTAGCCCTAACGAGACTTTGAATAACCAGGTCAAGGTGGTTTATAAAATGATGTCCCTTAGGCTCTATACAGCTCTCCTTCCATGGATCCCTTCTCTACTAAGGTTTTGTGGAAATACTCCTCAGATAAGATGCAAACCAGTTAGCCCCTCACATCATCTTTTCAATAGTCATTTATTACATGTCCTGGATGTCACTTTCTATATACAGTTAAACCCCTAAATAGAGGTGAACCTTTAACAGAGGTGAAAATTACAGTAAATAAGAGGAAGATATTTTGGGATTTTGAAAAGCAACCACTTGATACAAGGTGACCCCTAAATACAGTGCTGCTTAATACAGGTTCAGCTGTAATTTTGTATACAGAACCTTACTCTATCAAGTGACTTTACCAATGATTTGTTGTATTCTTTGTTCAGGAGTCACTCTGGGTTGTTTCTGAGGGAGACCTGGGCACTGGTGATCAACCTGATGCCTATGCCTGTGATAAGGAACATTTCTGGTCAGCAGTCACTCTTACAAAAGACACACAAAGCCCAAATGTTCTTCATCACCATCTTGGTTTTTCACCAAAATTTGAAGGTCTATGGAGGTGAAAAATCAAGACTGGCAAGTTTACTGCTCTGCTTTGCATGAAAATTCAAATAAATTATTCATAAACTTTGAGCTTCTTGTTACAAAATGCCTGTAATAGCTTGAGTACAAAATGGTAAACACCAGATTTTATCCCTTTGGAAAAAAAAATGAAAGAGGCCTTAAGGTGTGAAGGAGAGGTTTGATCAAGCTTGTGGAGGATGCATTACTAATTTTGTTTGTACATCTGGACATATACAAGTCAGCAATTCTTCTTGAAGTTGTCTCTTTAAAATATACATCATTTTTCAAAATTAATCATTATTTCAGTTATTTCCTGCATTAATTCAAAGTTTGTTACTTTTTTTGTCATTATTGACTGATACATGAAACTTTGTAAATTCACCTGAGGCAGTAGTTTTTGTGACAATGTTCACATAACACTGGAACCAACTCTCTACTGTTGCACTCATTCAGTGAACACTCTAAGCAACCATTTGAAACTGAAGTCTTTGATGGATCTCCCTGTAACAAATGGAAATTAAATCTTCCTTTCATATATCGATAACACTTTAAACCACAGCTGTTAAACATGATAATTATTGACCTCGCCTACACTTGATGACTGCTGCCATGTCTAAAATAAAGTAAGGTACCCTAACAACAACAATGCAGAAAAAAATCACGGCGCTGAGATCAGTTAACTCTTTCACTCCCACAATCTAATGAGATATTCTCCTTAGTATCTGCCATACAATTCTTATGATGTTAGTTTGGAGAATTTGTTATTGGATCAATTAAAAATCTCCTGATCTTTACTCTTCTTTACTCTCATCACTTGTCTACTTTATATTGCATTGACACTGTAAAGAGACATTCTCTCTTGATCACTCATGGGAGTTAAAGGGTTCGATGTTTTCATGATTACTTTTCATTAATAATCAAAAGTTTTTCTCAAATCCATCCTTCAATATGTACAGGTTATATACACATCAAACTATATACATGTTTTTGAACCTTAAATTTTTGATCATCAACAGTGCAGTTGTGTGATGACTTTGAGCGATGTTCTAAACTGTGAAAAAAAAAAAACCTGTATCAGTTTCTATTTGTATCAAATATCAAAATCAAATCTTAGATCTGATAGTAAAAAGTGCAAGGTTTATTACAGATAATACTGAAATCTTAACTTAACCCTTCAAACAGGACTATAAAAATGTGTGCTACGTTTAATACACTTTATAAACATAAATTACTTTTAATGAAAAAAGTACGGTAATTTTTTGCCTTAAACCTTTCAATGCAATAAAACACTATCTCAGTTGACGCTAAACATAAGAATTACTCCAGCACTGATGAACACACCATGTAATTCATTGTATTTATTTAACTAAACGTTGCTATAATTAATATTTTTAGTACAGCACATTTTTCCAATGCCGTGATTGTTCACGGGAAGCGTTGGTTTCCAAAATTGTTTGCATAGGTATTAGATTAAATAGGATAAGCAGAATAATGATACTTACCAAAAGGTACCAGAGCATCCATTACAAATAAATGGAAGAAAATCTACGCAAAAAAATAAGAAAATTCTGTTCGCTTTGAAAAAGTTTAGCAGCTTGTAAAAGAAAGTACACATAGAGTTCAGGGAAATAACCTACCAAGTTGCTTACAAATCTCAACATCACACTGCTTTCCAAAGTCAGGGAATTCTGCCATTTTAAACAGACTAAATTTGTAAGAGTTTGCAAATCTCCAAGTTTCACTAAAAATCCGCCATGTTGAAATAGCTTCGTAACCACGCTTTTACTCAGTCCAGGCTTCTTTTCACAAATGGAACGCCTGATCGAAAAGGCTATAAGTATACTTTGCTTGGAATGAGTCGGCAGAACGCTGGTTAACCCACGTGGAGCGTCTGAAACGTGCTAGTTCATATGAACTGAAGTTACGACGAGATGTTTATTCCTAGGGAGAATAATACTGATGGAAACTGGGAAGAATTTACCTTAATATTGGTGAGTACCTGACTACGTACTTCTGCATCAGAGAAACGCTTCAAAAACATATCTGTACCACAGTAGGATTCAGAGGTGGTTGTACACATTAAATTTTCGACACGGAACTATTTTAAAATACGTGTTTTTATTGGTGAAATGCTATAGAAAAGCAGATACGTTGTGTTAGAAATTATCTATTATGTTATGCGTTTTGAGTCATAAAAGGTTAAGACACACTAAAATAAAGTTAATAATGTACCTTAGGGTTTGAAAAACATTTTCATTTTCAACAAGACGAAAAAACGTCTTCAGGTCATTACTAAAGTCAAAACTTACTATCTTTTTCATTTTATTTCTGTTTGATTCTCAAAGCCAGCGGTTTCAATAGGAAATGTGGGCCAGTTAGCCGTGGATCTGGTAGTTTCTACTGTTTGTCCAGATGGTTCCCCCATTGGATATCTGTATGATTCGTGTGTCTTGCCTGTAGTGGGGAATGATGCCTTTACTTTGTCAACAGAAGCTCCTGGAAAACTAAATGTCAGTGTTGAAGGTTTGTACAATCAACTTTCCCTTTACCTTTGATATTCCACAATCTTATTTATTTATTTATTCTCCTTTGTACATGCTGAACAATCTTTGTAAATTAGTTATCAAAAACTTGGTGGTATGTGTAAAATGAATTTTTATTACCAGTTTGATTGTTTGCTTGAACTAGAGTCTACATTTTATTACTCATGAACTTTAGATAACATTTGAAAAAAATACCTTTAGGGCATCCTTTGTTAAAGGGAAGGGTTCTTGTGTAGATGACTAATTGCTGTGTTAGGGATTGTTGGTATGAAACCAGAAATGTCTGTGAAAGAATGTGAAAAAGGTGCCTCATAAAGCTCCTCATGGAGTGTTCCATATAACCACATGCAAAGCTTTGGTTGACATATGTTTTATTTCTTTGGCAGTGTACAAAAATGATGATCTGAAGTTTATTGTAGTTCAACAGAGAGCTCCACTAGTTAAGGTAAATATTTGAGTATTACGGAGACAACTGTATACAATGATTATCTTTCCTTAAGGTTGAATTGTGACCAGATGCTTGATGTGCTTAGAAAACATACATTTAAAATGTATGCAAAGTACAATCATGTTTAATGACAAAAATTTGTCTTGATTTATTTACTTAATAATGTTATTGTATATATGATTTTCAGAATTATAGTCAAACCTGTATTAAGCAGACACCTTTGGGGAATGGTGTGGTGACCGCTTAATATAGGTTGAGCACTTGATCATGTTTTATAGAATAGGTGTATTTGCCCCCGCAGGGTTTTTGGCCCCAGAGGGCCAAAAACCCGAGGAGGCACCTTAGGACTCCCCGTGTAATATAGAGGAAGACTGGAGAAGAGAGAATGTGGGTATTTTCGGTAGATCATAACCAGAAAAAATCTCGATTTGATTGCTTGCACGGCCGCAAGGTATCAACGTTTTTCCCGCAAATGGTCATGGGCTGCCAGTAAAAAGACACGCGCGCGAGGACTTTTAGGATCGGCGTCTTTGACACGAGATATAGAGGAAGGCTGGAGAAGAGAGAATGTAGGCCCTCTTAAGGTATAATGTTGTGTCTAATAACTATTTAATAATATATTGTTCTTCAATGCTGTCTATAAATTGTTCTCCAATGCCACCTATAACATTCCAATGTTAAAACTCACCCAAGTCCCTTCATTCTGCTTCTTCTTGATCGTGAAGAACAAACAAATCCTAAGTTAAACCACACAGCAAAAAAAAAAAAAAAAACCCCAAGCACTTCCCAAAACTACATTTTGTACACTTGTAGTATTTTGAGATCCAAAATTACTAACACCAAAGTACTGAGCCGCAATTCCGTAACAGCATAACAGAAAAATTACACAACTGTAAACAACAAGCCCAACTCCAAAAAAAAAAAGAAAATGGTACTGTAGGGCGGGGGCAGCTCTAGTGAGAACTATAACTAGTATAAAAAAGACTACAAGAAATGCCATCTTATGCCATAATTTACCACTTAATTTCAGTCCACATGTTGCTTGCTATCAAGGAATCTTATCATCAATGTTTTAAGTGCTTGAGCTCTGTTAAAGTATCAATTTGTTGCATACCAGTAACTGTAGAATGATATTACCATTTATTTCAGGGTCGTCAGACTGAGTACTGCAAGAAACTTGTTACCTGGATTAAAAGTTGCAACTTCAAACAAGTCATCCTTGTTTCCAGTATTAGTGCTACAGAAAGAGTTGATGCACAGATTGAAGGGTAAGAAATTCACCTGTCAGACTAGTTCCATTTTTTAATCAATTATTCTTTTATTTTTACCATGTGGTTAGATTTATAGCAATCACATCATAATGTGTATAGAAAGAGAAATTAAGGAACATTCCTTCTTAAGATGTCATAACATATACAATTTATACTGTACTTCATCTGAGTCACTCAAGACATCTCAAAGATTTTTTAAAATGGTTACTGTCGTCATTAACAACGCATTGATTAAATTACAACTTAACTAATGAAGATGGCTCATGTGAAGAAAAGCAAATTAAATTAATTTGAGTTCAGATGACACCTAATGGAACACTCAACTCAACTCACTCAAATTTTTGTTTTTAGCCATCATTGCCAGCAAATATGGTATTTGACGGGGTAACTTTAGAAAGATAAGTGTTTTGCCAATTCTCAGAGCTTCCTGTTTTTTTGTAAATTCAAGAAAAGTTAAATTACAATTTGAAGCTAAAATAAGCAACAAAGAAAGATTTGAAGAGAGTAAGGAGAAAGTAGAAAGCTTAAATTTTTGATGTTACAATCATTGTACTCAGTTTTTTTTTTTTTCAGTTCTCCATTGAGATACCTTGTAACACCTGCAGTAAAAAACCTCCTTCCAGTATTTGATGAATTGTCATGGAAGTCATTGGAAAAGAGACCAAAATTTCCTCATGTTAACACTGAAGGTGGGTGACAAATTTGAGTGTTTTTTTGTTTCTATCTTTATTTCTGGATTTAGGTTAATTTTCATTCAGCTGCCTCTTCTGTACCTTCCTAAACATAGTTATGGCAAAAATGTGTTTTGAAAGATTTTTTCAGGTCTGCTAAACTTCTGCTCACTTACTTGTCATGGTTTAAGGGGGTGGGGGTGTTTGCACCTTCTACCTTAACCCCTGTGGAAGAGGCAATCCATTTTGAAGACTTTTACTTGACTGCAGAATTGACATCATGTTAACCAATAGCACAGTGAAACCCACAACATCATAGGCAGTATACATCACCACACTGAACCTTCTAAATAGCAAGCTCTCACCTTGGTTATTCACAACACCGTTTTGTAGAATTCTTAACTTTAAAGTTTCATTATGTGAGCATTCAGTAATGGAAGTGTTGGGGATACTTTAAGTAGTGATATTTCATGAGTTTTCCTCTTTCTTTTTCAGAATCATCAGATGAAGACAAAACTTTCTTTTTCCCTGGAGGAGGATTCACAAAGAAGCTTTATGAGGCTTGGTAATGTTTTTTTACCCTTAAGTTTTTTTTACAGTTTGAAAAATGGGAAATAATAATGTTATGGGATAGAATATCATCTTTTACCATGGAAAAAGGTGATGAATTAATTTTTTTTAAGTGAGGTGCATTTCAACTGTCTGAAAAAAATGAGGGAAATCAATGCATCATTGTCAAATCCATTTTATGTTTGTGTTTTTAGTTGCAGAGATGACATCCCTCTGACTGTGGTATTAACATTTTGTTCAGAAGGGGATAATATATCAGATGCAGTAAATCTCTTTCTTTATCTTAATGCCTGGCTCAAGATGGTTCCCAAAGAAAAGGTGAGAGATTAATTCTAACGTTAACAGCATGTTTTGAGAAAACATCCCTTTAGTTGATTGTGATTTATCCACAAGATTCATGCCAACCAATCTTATAACAACTGGGAAATTCAGATAAATCATTAACTTTTGATATCTGGTACACCCCTGTAGTTTAATAATGGCTTACTGAAGCTTACTGTGCATTCTTTTTCAGGTTGAAGACAGGATTCTAGGAAAACCAAGTGAGTTTTGGGGACATGTTGTTAATATTATATATTTTATGTCCAATCATTGACTGTCACCTCTGGCAAGCTCAACTCACCCTATATACTTGCATTTGTTGTATCTGTAAACTCTCAGGCAATCCTGAACTTTGCCAGAGATGTCACACCTCTGTTGATTGCATAAGATGGCTGTAGGTATACAGCTATGTCATTGCTGGTCTCAATCCATCCTCTCATGTGGGAACTAGACCATGAGCCATCTTATACCTAGTAAGTTTACTATGCTGATCTGGCCTAACGAGGCTGGAGCAGCCATCTAAGACTGCTACCTCAGTGGCCCACTTTTGACTTCTGGTCACCATTGATAATAATGGTAATGAGCACAATTTCGTCAAACATCTCATTATCACACCTAATTGAAAGAAAATGAAAATGAAACTGGTTGGAACGTTTTGTACTGGTGACAAATAATTCAATAGGTAACATTCAGAACTGAGGATGGTGAAAGCATTACAGATTAGTCCACACAAGTTGTTGATAAATATTGCATAGGAAAATAATCAGGATATATATTTTGCAGGTGACTTCAATTTTCCAGCATCCTGGCGCTTGATGTTTGGTTCACCAGTCCATCCAGATGGAAATCTATTTTGAAGAGTTGCACTTTAAACAATCTCAATAAATATGTTGATTTAAAACTCCAACAACCAACACTGGATGGCCAGTTGTGAAGAAAACAGCAATGCAGGAAAAAGTCGCCGAGCAAATATACCACTGACAGTTTTTAAAGTGAAAAGAATTCTCAAGCAGTACAAAAACAATGACTGATAGTAGTGCCATGAAAACAGAGTCATGTAAAAAGCTTGGCATGGATTTAGTTTTCCTGAGCATTTTACTTAGGGTTTAATTCCTTAATAAGTACCATTTTAAAAAAAATAATCATGTTTGATCAAAACTGACCTCTGGAGTTTGATTATGGCTCTGTCAGATTTAAACCCCTGAAACCCCTTAGAGTGACCAGTATCTGAACCCTTTAACTCCCAGATCAAATTTGTACTTCTCCTTACTGTCAACCATACAATTTTTATGATGTTAGTTCAGAGAATTTAGTATTGGATCAACTAATTATCCCCAAATTTACATTTTTCTTTCTTCTCATCACTTATCTGGTTGATATTGTATTGATATTGTAAGGAGAAATTCTGTTTCAGTCACTCGTGGGAGTTAACGGGTTAAATCTCCTTACAGAAATACTGCTGAATCATTTTTTAAGATCATAAGAGTAACTATAAAAATGATTGCCAACCTAAGAAGCTTTGATTGTTGAATGAATTCTCCTTGTCAGCACCAAAGGAAGTGTACTTGTGGAGAACATGGATACTGATCTTATGGTGTACAGGGTAAACTGAAGAGGAATTTCTGTGGGTACGGACAACTTTTCATAACTTTCAAACTGTTTCTGTGGAACAATGATGGTCTGTCAAGTGTGTGTGTACAGTGCATTCAAACAAAGAATGAAGCACAAACATTTTTTGTTGGAAAATATATTACTTTCTTTGAATGTTCAGAAAATATGTAAATTTGCTACACTGAGACATTAGATTCCTAGCTGGTATATATTAAGTATTAATCTAACAAGATTGTCAGCTGTATTAGGACTTTACTGTTAGACCTCTTCTCTGCATGGCGCTAACAGAGCTGAGCAATAATTCATGTTTCTACCCCTTTTCAATGTCTTAAAAGTACTTCTAGAAAATAATAATTAATTGTGACAACTCTCTAGTATAAGAAAATAACTTTTGATCTATTTGGACTTAATATTCATTTTCACTTTTTGAAATCTCTATGTTATGTCGCACTTGCAGAGCAAGAATTGTCAATACTTAATTCTCCTTTGAAAAATAAATTAGTACCTCTCTGCTTTGTTTCATCTAGTATCAATATGACAAAACTATTTATTGCAATTTTAGTGATTGCTCTTCTCACCATATGGTTTACAGTAACCCTTAATTCAGTTTCTAAATAAATGTCACAGCTAAATATTAAGTTGCAGTCCTCAGCTATTTGATGGTAGTTAAAGGTGCACAGCTATTAACATTGACTGAACAGTCCTGCTATGTGTGTGTGTGTTTTACTTGTTTTTGTCTTTTTTTCTTGACTATAAAACTGCATTATAGCCTGTTTTGACCAACTATACATTAGCTGTATTGGATTATTAAGGGAGAGTAACTCCTGTCACCACTGATGTAGTGCCAAAGATTAACGACTATGCACACTCCCATCTTTTTCTACTGTTTTCCAGGTTCTTCATAGGAAATGTTTATGCTTCTTTTCCACCCTAAATGCTCAACCTCTGTGCCCATGATAGTTTCTTCCTTCCTTGTCTCACCAAACAATCCAAGTATTTTAGCTCCAAAAGTTAAGTACACTGAATATGACATATACATTATGTAATCACAAGTTGTGTCCTGGCCCTTTGATGACCTCCTCCTCTGATGAACTTTATTTCTTCTTGTTTGATGATAAAACTTCTTGTTTGAGTGTAAGAATGATTGAATGCCTTTGTTTGTGTGTTTGAACTGTCATCAACATTCTAGTTGTGCATCATACCTTGAATGGATACCTGCAAACATAATAAACAAGCTGACTCGTCAAGGTAGCAAATAGCCTCCTGAAGAATATGGATTGCACAGTATGTTTCTCTTCCATAGCTGTGTACTTAGAAGAATCATTGGCTCTTGTTATACTAATGTGAAATACCCAGCTCTTTAAAGCTTTTATCAAAGCTACACTTCACAGGTTCCCCTCAAACAAAAAGTCAGTGACCTGTGGCACCTGGGTACTGCAAGAGCACAATCCTGTGTCTTCTAAAACATGTCAGCGCTAACATTATTATTACAGCATCCTTCAAACATATGATCAGAACCCATAAACTCATCCCTTTCAAATGTTACCTTCATATGACACAAACTTATCTGATGTTGTTTACAGTTGTTGGAGAAGAGGGGGATTGTTAGAAAGAGCTCAAAGAGTTAGCAAATACTGGTATAGACTGTGGTGCTGTTTAAAACCAGATATAAACTTGCATAATTGTAAAAGAGCTATTTTTTTCCTACATACACACACTATTTATTCTATAAAGTATAATAAAAGTGTGTATATAAAATGTATTCAAAGAGCCACTATGAGAATCAGCAAATCAATGGCCATCTTTATTCAGTAATATCTAAGGAATTAAGACTTATGGCAGCAAATGTACAAAAGTGACTGAGTTATTTAAATTACATGAGAACTCATAAGCTGATCTCTAGGCTGTTAATCAGGGAGTAAAACATACCATAACTTGAGGGAATTCTTTTATCCAGGTTTGGAGCCATACACTGGCCACCAACATGGCCAAGACTTCCACAGTTGTAGCATGACACATGGCATCCATTTAAGGCTGGAAATTTCCTTGGATAAATACTTGAGCACGTCTGGGAGAATAGGAAACAAAATTTACCTCATTTATTCACAGAAAGGGACTGACAATTCTTTTACACCATCAAAGTGCACAACTAGACAGAAAACTTGCCTATTTTGCCAAGATAGAAAAAAACAGCAATTCTTAACTTACCTGTTAAAATTTTGAAACAGGTGTAACAGGGAATTGCAGGAGGAATTGTTTTGTCCCCCCCCCCCCAACCTTACTACATATTAAATCTCACCTGCCCTCATTTAAATCGCAAAACTGAGGGAGGACCTTTAGCATATCTACAACAAGGCTGTGGAACCAACTACCCATTAACCTAAAAAAAGGTGACAACAATTGCTTCTTTCAGAAAGGCCTTTCACCGACATTTTCTAGCAAGCTATGATGAAGTAGAACATTTCAGTCCAAATGCAATTTAACCTGACTCAAGCAGCATATTTTATTTTATCTAGTTTTTAGCTTATATATTCTTTATAGACCTGTTGACCAGCTTTATAACCCTTGACTACATTTTAACTCTAATTATGGTACTTCATCAGTTGAATTACTGTTGTGTATTACCTTCCTTAAATAAAGTTGTTATTATTATAACTATTATTTTTATCAACCTGTAAAAATTTCCAAATTTCTCAAGCACAAGACAGTTAACTTAAAGTTATACTTAAACTGGGCCACCTGTGACAAAACTGAACAAAATTCACAAACCTGGGTTGCGGGTTCAGATAATATGTCACTTCCACAGTCACTGGCACTGTCACTTTCACTGACGCTTCGTAGGAACTCACAGTCTGAACCGTAACTTTGAGCTAGGTTCACTGGAAAGCTTGAAGGTGAAGGAAGAATGTCTACCAATGTTAAACCATTTGATGTGAAGCAACCTCTTGTCCTGTGCCAAAAAAAAAACCACTCACTACAGGCACTGTGTAAATCTTATTTCAAAGTATTAATTAAAAATAAAAATGTAATACACTTCTATGTTCTATTTTCTTAAAAACCTATTACCCTGCAGAACTGACTAACACATGCCTTTTATATCCTTGCATCTTCAGTACATTATTCAGGAAAATGCCAAAGGGAATGGGAAAACTCATCAATAAGAGGATTTTATCTTGAATAAGACAGGAAATTATCTTGTTGATTGATACACAATCAAATAATTATGGCAACTGCTGGAAAGAATGCATGAGTCAGATGATTGAAGGGACAAAAGATTGTCAGATTTTTAAATGGACTCCTTCACAGTCATTAACTGGAAAAACTAAGCCCAGCACTAATTTTAAATAATCAAGGGCTGCACAGCTGTGTGAACCTGCACAATTTTACATCAATTACTAACAAAAGTTTTACTAAACTTTGATGAGACATACCGAAGAACTTTCAGGTTCATTTGAAGCTTCTTTCTTGCTCCTGCTGTTAAGCCAAGTTTTTCAAAATCTTTATCAGAAAATTGCAACATCTACAAAAGGAACATAGTGTCAGCTAAACACCATATTAATTACTTCAACAACAATTTTTTCAGTTAGTAAGCATAAAATGTTTGGCCCTGCTTAAAATTTTGTTATGAAAATATCAATGTAGTGAAATACTTGAAACTTTTCAAAACAATTTAAGCTACAATTCACCTCATTAAAGGTCTTTCCTTTAAACACTTCCGAGTATTTGTGAAGTCTCAAATTCCTGAGCCAATCACAAACATTCACACCCTGGCTGTGTTGCCTCAAAGTCCAGTTTATGTTTCCAGAACAAGATCGTTGTGAAAGTGATGGTGAGTTGGCAGGAGACATGACAGGTGAAGTGATTGGAGATGGAGAAGGTGAAGGATAAGATGCAATGGGTGAAGATGGTAGAGTTATTTGCAGCGATGTTAAGGATGGAGGCAGTGAATAACCATTAGTATTTAACATGTGTAACATACTGTTACTTGGCTGAACAGCAGATTGAAATGGCTGTTTTACAGGCAGAGATACCTGTGTGGATGTCAAAAGAGATCCTAAACAAAGAGAATAGAGAAAACACCATCACATTAGGTATACTTGGATGTTGTTAACTGGATCAGCAATAATGACACATCATTAATGAATCTGAACATTAAAAAAAAAAGTATCCCCACAGTCAATTGAACCCTAAAATCCATTCAGTTTCCCTGACAGTTCACCAGCTAGATCCCATCCCCCACATTTTCAAGCCCAACACAGTTCTCATTAGATCACAACCACCACTTTATTCCTTTGCAGGAGAAATAACCCTCTTCAATTTTCTTCCCATCACAAATGTGGCTTGATTCATATCTCAGCTGATGGAAATTACTAAAAAGTATCTGGGATTTAAATAAAGTAATTAATTGGTCAGTAAGCCTGGATTTTTGTAATTTCAAGTCACCTCTGACAATCATTTTGGTTACTTGTATCTGATAAACATTTTCATGAGTATCATGGAATGAATCAAATGAGACCATATGGATTGTGTAATAGTTATTTACCTTTGAAACAGAGAGAGGAAAATTAAAATTGTTACCTGATGTTGAAAAGGATGATGATGAAGGCAACAATGTTTGTATTGGCACCATCTTAATAATTCCATTTTTGTGATGTTGGTCACTGGAAACAGATTTTTCACTTTCCTCCTTTTCCTTTGAGGTTTCTGAAATTGTTCACCACTGCATCACCAGTCATAGTTCAATGCATGACAATGCACTATTTTACCTTAACCCCTCATAACCCCTAAGAGTGATTAGCATCTAATTTCTTCTTACAATATCACTCCTGAATCACACATTAATGTCATGAGAATAAAGGAAATGATCACAACTAAAGAAACTCTTGATTGTTAGACAAATTCTCCTTGTCAGCACCTTAGTAAATGTACAGATATCAGTATGGAGAATATGAATACTGATGTAAGGGTGTAAAGAGTTAATAAAACTCTCGTGATAATTAGTCCTTTCACACATGAATTTTGATTACGTAACTTTTTAACTAAGAGTAAGACTTACAACAAGCACCAGTTAAGGTATATGTTTAAATAATAAAGAGCTTTGGTCCAATAATGTTGTAGAGTTGTGACAGTCACATATTAAAAAATCAGGCCTCCACAACTTACCACAAAGGATGGACTTAACCTCATTTCCATTTTCATCAATTTCAACAAGAGATTCTCTCCCCACAATGCAAGTATCATTGTTCTTGGAAACATTCTCTGCAGAAGACTCGCTATTTGTTTTTTTCTTTATTTTTGTGCTTGTGACATCTGCACTCTTGACTTTATCTTTTCTACCAAGTGACTGTTCCCGCACAGCTTCAGCTATTTTATGAGGTGATTCAAACTCATTTTGCTTGTTTTTACAGTTGGATTGTTCTTCTGTTTTTGCTACACTCTTGTTCTTTTTGTTGTCTGATTTTCTCCTGATTCTTTTTTCACTTTGGAAAAATTTTACTACATGATCACAACCTCGAACAAACTCAGGAAGACTGCTAAACAACCTAAAGGATGAAAAGAATCAATGTTCTCTATAAGTTGAGAATAACTATTGTTGCTGCCAAAAATCATATTGACATCATTCATTATAAATTCATATTTCTTCTTTCCAATCGTTTTTCATCAAGTTCTTTTTTTATTTTTCTTGTGCAACACTTTCATCAAAATTCTGTTTCTTTTTTTTTCTTAATTCCTTTTTGTTCTGAAAATTTTTTGTGTGTGATTTTAATGGGTGAATCAGGCTTTTTCTGTCACAGTTGATAACTCAGAATATTAGTGGTTATAAATATATTACTAAAGATAAAAAACTAGACCAAACCTGGTATATTCTGAAATATCAGGGATGGGCAGTTTTTCTCCTTTAGGTTCTGGCTTGTTAAACATTCTGATTCTTCCTACAAAAAAATTTCAATCAATGATAAAGTAAAAGGAGCAAGAAAGTGAGGATGATGAGTATCATGATGTGATGCCATGTTTGAGAACTGAACTGACAAGACCACAGCAGTTGTAGGTAAATGCTCTGGTCACTGCATGATTCCTGTTCATCTCATAAAAACTTAATGAACACATCAACACATGTACTACTTGCATTTTTGTGCCCAGCATGTTGGCAGAATTGCAACAATGATTGTTTCCAAACATCAAACATCTGCTATATATTCATGCATATTTAAAGTAATGAAATAACACTTATCAATTACACTCTCATACTCTTTTGAAAATTTAATAACTTAATAAAAAAACTCTCACCAGGTAAAAAAGGGAGCTTCCAAGGATTGCCACTTGCATCAACTTTATTTGGATACATTTTGCGCAGCTTTTGATTTCAAAACAGAAATATACAATCAAATATGGGGAATTTTTTTGGTATGTCAAACCAAGATGAGCCTATCAAAACATATTAACCCTTTAACTCCCATGAGTGACCAAAACAGAATTTCTCCTTACAATATCAATACAATATCAAGCAGAAAAGTGACGAGAATAGAGAAAAATATCAATTGGGGATTATAACTTGATCCAATACCAATTTCTCCAAACTAACATCACAAGAACTATATAGCAGACAGTCAGGAGAATTATTAATGAGATCTTAGGAGTTAAAGGGTTAATGAAAAAGTGTCTGCTTGTTAAGGCCAATATCCCTAAAATTAGGTTGCTAAGTGGTTCTTTGAGTAATAGACTTTGTGCACCAATTGTTTTTTGTTCACTACCCTGGCACCATATTTTAAAAAGGTATGAAATTCTGCAAGGAACTTCTAACCCTTTCACTCCCACAAGTGACCAAGACAGAATTTCTCCTTACAATATCAATACAATATCAAGAAGGCAGGTGATGAGAATAGAGAAGAATATCAATCATGGGATTATTAGTTGATCCAATACCAAATTCTCTGAACTAACATCATAAGAATTGTATGGCAGATAGTAAGGAGAATTACTAATTAGATCTTGGGAGTGAAAGGGTTAAGGTATAAAATGTGTGAAATCTCCTGGGCAGTGATACTAACATAAGATGAAGAGGAAGTACAAAGGCTACATGTCATAATAATAGTGGTGCAGAATTGTTTATATGTTCAAAGTTTCTTTTTCAAACCTGAAATTCACAAATGGTTTACCACTGATAAGGAAAGTAATCATGTAAAGAAAGTAACATGTCTGTTTTATTATATTGCATGTTTTAGCAACAGTAAAATGATCTCAAATTTCAAGCAAAGATGACAGAGTGCAGACACACATTCCTCAAAATATTTTTCTTCTAAAGGTTGTCACATTCTGTCAGAGAATTATTCATTTCTCTGGTTTCCAGGGAAAACTTGATCAGCATTATGTAAAATGTCAATTTTCCTTCACATGACAACAATTTACTAAAGAGTTATAAAATATGGTATAAAAGTAACAGAGCAGACCAGTAGTTTCATGAGCCTTGAGGGCATGTGTTCATGTTTATCTTCAAAATGTGACCTCTAAATGCCCTGTTGTTGACAGCTGAAAGTAACACCACTTCACTCTGAAGACAACCCTGGACAAAGTTTCTTAAAACAAATTGCACCCTCTCAAGGTTGGAATAATTCTTTCAAGTGGTCCAATTTTCCTATTACCAACTTTGAGTGGGCAAAGGGGAAAATATTTCAACAATTGTGACCACAATGTAACATAGTCTGAAATCAATCTGCTGTAAATATGTGTGACTTGCTTTCTTTCTTGGTTTAAATATTTTTAAAATCAATTGAACATAAATTTTCTAAAATTACTTTTTTGCACTACAACAATTAGGAAACAATGACAACTTTCAAAAAATTTCACACCATGAAAAAAATTTAGACCACAAGATAAATGTGGCAGTTGACTAAAAACTGTTCCCCCTCTCACAAACCAGCAGAAACACAATACACAAGGAACGGAGGGCTGCCTCAGTAAACAAAACCCATGTTTTTGTAACTGAGATTACTAATGTTGCCTTAGCTCTACCTTTTCCCCATATAAATTCTGAGATTGGAGATCCCACCACAATTAACATGGAATTCCCAAGATTCATAAAAATAAAATAAGCTTATAAAAATTTCCAAGCCAATCAGGTTGTCAAGCCTAAATGAAGAGACCCTTGGCATGGAAGATTTTAGCTCAACAAGTGCAATTGTCCTGGCTCTATGTCATGTGTCTGTAAGGGATTTCATCATATATCTGTACCTTGCATTGGAAGTCAAACATCTCCTCATATGTCCTGTGTATAGTTTCTGTAGTATTGTCTGACCAAGAAACCTACGAAGGACAAAGTTAATAGAAGACCCTTTGTATGCTAAGATTGCCCTGGTACTAACTACAGTATATCATTAAGCAAATATTTACAAAAAAATATCAGCCAATATGATTAAGAAATAAAACTTTTCAAAAGCTAATTGGTTTTTGTCGTGCCATTTTCAACTCTAATACCATTTTTAAAAATTGTACATTTTAAATGGATTGACTCTGCATCAAGTTGTCACCTATTACCTTTTATATATGTTTGGGCAATGTCATGCAATTACTTTCAGTGTTAATAGAAGTCAATAAATATTAGTTTCAATGGTCTTCACAGTTAGCTCATCTTGAAAACAAGTACACCTTAAATCCTCTCTTAGAACCTTTTAAACCCCAAGAGTGACTAGTATCAAATTTCTCCCTACAATATCACCCCTGAATCACACATTAAGGTTATGAGAATAAAAGAATGACCCCAAGAGTGACTAGTATCAAATTTCTCCCTACAGTACCACCCCTGAATCACATGTTAAGGTTATGAGAATAAAAGAATGACCCCAAGAGTGACTAGTATCAAATTTCTCCCTACAGTATCACCCCTGAATCACATGTTAAGGTTATGAGAATAAAAGAATGACCCCAAGAGTGACTAGTATCAAATTTCTCCCTACAGTACCACCCCTGAATCACATGTTAAGGTTATGAGAATAAGAGTGACCCCAAGAGTGACTAGTATCAAATTTCTCCCTACAGTATCACCCCTAAATCACATGTTAAGGTTATGAGAATAAAGGAAATGATCACCAACAAAAGAAGCTTTTGATTGGTAAACAAATTCTCTTTTTCAGCACCTTAGGATATATATAAAGAGCAGTATGGAGAATATGTATACTGATTTTGGGATGTAAAGGGTTAAGTGTCTCTGTCATGAAGAGGTTAATCTTCTCAACCCATTTATACTTAGTCCCCTTTAGCATTTTTCCATCTTCCTATGATTACATTTATAGATTTCTTTCAATTCAATGACATCTTTATTGCACAATTAAAGTAGAATATTAATCAATAACACATCAAAAGAGGTTTCTAATGTATAATCCAATGATTACTTAAATAAGTTCTTCTATAATTTTTCTTATAAGAAGTTACACAGCTTCACATCTCAGCTGAAATCTGTACACTACTAGTGTCTAAGTAATTATTGATTGTTGAACCTTCTTTTTTTAACAAAACCCTATATCTACAACTTTTGTCATTAATTACCTGTAAGACATAACAATGATCGTCACGCTTTCTTGGATCATGTTTTGATCTTTTTTCCCTCTTTTTCTCCACAGCTTGCACACCTTGCACTTTAATCTCTTTCACAAAGACTGGAAGTTCTGAGAAAGAAAACAAAAACACTGAAATCATGTTTGCTAAGGGAATTAATTCATTAAAAGGAAATATTTTCTGAAATAAAGCCTCGACAGTAATTCAACAAGTACCTAAACAAATTGTGTTGATGATAACAACAAGAAATATTTTGTAATAAAGGAAAATCCTGCATAAAAATTGGACTACCTAAGTATAATTTTTGTCAGAATGGTTCCTTGTGTTCCACTAAGATGGTTCCCATGCATTCTTTCTTTATTTTGGATGGACAACTGTTTCAAATACAAAGAGTTTGCAAAAGTGATGGAATTATTGTATTTTGAATAATATTTAAAAGAATTTTTCCCTTCACAGAAAAATAGTGGAAACAAGTAACTAATTCAAATGATAATTTTTAAATGAACTGTTGATTTTTGACTAGTCAATTGTTATTCTCTCCCAGTAGGAATTCCATTTGTCAACATCAAGACATTTCAAATAAATTGGCCTCGTATTTCATTAGCTATTTATCTACTTGTTATTAAGTTCTTTGTTTTTCTTCCAAGCACTTCATTGCTATCAAACTTAAGATCAAGTAAGTTATTACTGAAAGACAGGTGTTAGATAACGTAGACCACACACACTGCCTTTCTTTTTAACATCTTAAGAAAATCTCTCATACAAAAATGTTTTCACAATATACGCTAGGACACTGCAACCTCTGATCAAACATTGTTAAGAATAAAATAACATGAAAATTATATTTACATTCATCACACTAATATGACTGTGAAAAAAAAAAAATGGGGCCCATCAAATGACAATAATAATAGCTTTGACAGAAACTATCCATCATGAATTTCCTAATTTCAAGTTCTGTACCAACAGTGTTTCTGCTTTATCTTTTTACAGGATGCCAATTATGAAATCCATTGTTTGATGACAACTTTCTACAGAGGCTTGACAACAGTCCTGTATGATTCAATGGATAAGTTAAGAAATATTTTTAAGAACTTTATAACTACACTGGTTAATCTCGGGCGCTGGGACATCCAGATAAGTCTGATTATTTTCAACAAAATTAAATCAAAGGTGACATGTTGTTAATGAAAACAACGGCAGTTGTCATATGGCAATCGTCATACCTTGATCATATCCCAGACAAGACTTCTGTACTAAATATCATTGCAGATTTCTGCTTCACCAAAAAACTATACTGATCCATCTTTCCTTTGCAACATCCATTCACAAAGTTCTCTATATATAACCCAGTAATACCATGTGATTTTATGTCACCAAAAGGTTGTGCAGGGAATGTTTGAAACCATATGAGAGTCCGTGACGGAAACATCATGACATCATACGGTTAGTGTCAATTTCAGTTAAAAATAATCTGTAGCGTACTCACTCAGTAGAAAGCTGACTAACATGTGTTACAAAATAGACTCCCCTACAGACTTCCTGCTGTTTGAATCCTTGAACAAGGGCATCATTAACTTCAGCTTAGTGGCAAAAGATACGTTACTTTTGGTTAAGTGAGAGTGTAAAATTATGTAGTAATGAAGGTCATGACATTCCTTTATGATTAAAAGTAGTGATAATCAATGGTAAAACACAGTGGGATGAGCTGTGCTCTATTGGTAAGAAACCAAAGATTGATTTTACCCAAACTAAAAAGCTCTTTCAACATTAATGCAAGAGTTGGGAAAAATTTAGATGACATATAGAGCACCAAAACAAAAAAATGTACGTGTCATGGAAGATGAGAGATTTTTTAATGATTCACAATGAATTCATAAGGTTCTTTGGATGAAGAATTCCACACAACTTCCCCCGAACGCTAATATAATGACGGACACCAAACGGCTTTCATGAATTGAAATGTTATTGGATACAGAATAATTTTACTTCGTGTTTACCATTCTTTGAAAACACGAGCTTCTACGTATCGAATTATATGGCTTATCAAAGCATCTTTGTGTACCTTTTTGCTGAGAAATAAGCTTCGGCAGTTAATGGAAACATCTCGAACGACCCCTGGAGCCGACCAGCTGAAATAAACCGATTCTTGTCTGAAAACCGTTCCACGGTTAAATGACAGAGGAAGGAAGAAAGTGTCACATGTCAAACTTAAAAAGGAAGACTATTATCGGCTGTTAATTTGCATATGTTTTGATTTTCGCCACGATCGTGATTAGAAAATAAAATCAACGTGAGAAATCACCAAATGATCACTACGTCGTTATGATCAGAAATTAGCAAAAAAAAAAAAAAAAAAACTAGAACAGAAAGACGTCGAAATAAATTGGATTAGCTTGGATGTAAATTTTTAGTAAACGTCGGATCGTCTTCAATTCAGCTAAGTAAATAATTACCTTTAAGAGTGTTATCCTTGGTCAGGGAAGAATCGCCGACATTTGCACTCTCAACCTTAAGGATTTCATTTACGGTGGCTTTCTCTTCCACAGATTCTTTCTTTTGTTTTTCTTCGAACAAAAGATCATCTCGAGCATCCTTCTTTGCTGAAGCATCTTGGTCACACGAAAAAGTCGAAGAACCACTGCTTGCTTCGGAGACAGTCTAACGACAAAAAATTAGGAAACAATCAAAATCTACCTATTACCTCAGGAGTAAATTGTAAAATAATGCTAAGGCCCGATGCTAATTATCTGGGGAGCCGGAAGGTATCTTAAAGATTTTCAAAACATGTAGCAAATGGAAGGTGACCTTTATGTAGACAAATATCAATGTAAAAAATATTTTTAAAACGGTTAAAAATTCTGTAATAAAAATTGATTGAATTAAACGTTAATTTTACCTCGCTTAAATCTGATGTATGATTTGCCGATTGTTTGAGCTGTTTTAATTTTGCAGACAAGGTGTGTTTTTGATGAAATGAGAACGCTGGGTGGTGAGCGGACATGGTGATCAATAGCGAGAGTTCAGTGAAGAATTCCTCTTCTCCCAGACTCGATGGCTGAAAGTCATTCAGAATTCCAAACAGCACCGAAGCTGCTTGGCGATTGCTTGAATGCAGCAACGCTAGCGAAACACACAACCTCCGACGGACATGAACATCGTATAAACATGTCAGGCAGCTCAGATCAAACGGATTGTTCGCCGTACTCTCGGGTTGTCGGAACGCCGGGTAATCTCTCTGGACCTGGGCTTCAATAAACGTGCCTAAAAATCGAATTTCCCACGGCAGGCAGCAGTCTAATAAATTGCACATGAGGTCGATACGATCATCTCCATCGAGGCTTTTGAACCATGATATGACGCTTTCTTTCTGAATCATTGCACAAATGAGTGTTCCCAATATTGCGCCCTCCAACTCAGGAGCTGAAATGTTTATGCGATGGGTAAGTGAGCATCACTGAAAGAGTATTTCAACACTACCCCTGTCATTAGAATCAACTTAGCGGTCACTAGACCTCTGTGCTAATGGAATGGTGGGAACGATTAATCACCCTTCAGCCAAGAACCAATCACAGACTGCGTTGTTAGGTACTAAGCCGCATTTCAACCAATCAAAATCTGCCTTTTGACTCCTGAGATCGTCAAAAGTGCATTATGCGTCGCATTGTGCAACAAACAGGAGACCTATTGACAAAGTTCCCTAGGTCAAATCGAGCTAAAGGAGCGTTTGTATAAAACCACACCCTGACTGTGAGGCGAATTACATGAGATGATTTCCTTGTTTGGGAATCTTGTTGCGTAAGTCGCACAGTTGTTTAAGCTTAATTGTAGAATTCCGAGACATCCTCGTAAGAGAATCCCCACTAACGCAAAAGCGTCACTCCAGTAACCTTTGGCATCCGCTCAGCTGTTGTTCCGTTACGTTTGTCGTATTTATACTTCTGTTACTAAAAACTGCTAGCAAAAGCTGCGCATTACCTAAAAGCTGAAGGATTTGCACGAAAACTGGCAACTACAAGAGAAAGATGGAAGACATCTTGTCTAACTCTAAGCCTTTAACAGTTAGTAAAGAGGGCGTGATAGAACCAAGAGCGAAAAAAACCCTGGAGGCTTGGAGAGGCGTGTTGTTTTGAAGATCGCCGAACACTTGGTCCTTGACACGAATTCCGAATTATAACAGTTCTTAAGACTTGGTCATTGACACGAATTCCGAATTATAACAGTTCTTAAGATAAAATTGCTAGGAAGAAATTTCCTTGCGCCACAGTCGTATTTGTTCTTTCTCTTCGTGATTCCCATGTTCCATGAATTAAATTTAAATGCAACACTGATCTCTCTTCGGCTAGATTGGGTTTTGAGGGGGAGTTGCCCAAACTGTTTATTATCGACCTCGCCGTATCTTGAGCTCTCAGGCATAACTTTCCCTCAGTTTATTTTGAAAATAAACCTCAACTATAAACAACAAAGGTTTGAGGAGTCTTGATTCTATTATTCTAATTACATTCTGTAACAAGTGCCAATGTCAGAAGATGAACAAAACCATCAGTATTGCTGGAATCCTAACGCAAACACATTCGGAAATAGCTTTTTGAATCTTTCCGCCAGAGCGGTAAATAGCATCGGAAGTTTTTTCACCCTGAAAACCCAAGAATTTGTCACTAAGAAACGACTCAACACGAAACACGAACTATGTGCTGAGACAACAAATTGCAAAATCTCGTGCATGATGATTGTGCTTGGAAGAAACTTGAGCCAGACAGAAGAGTTAGAAGTATGATCTGAGGGCTCGCTCATCCTCAACCTGCACTTTAACGCTCTGGCTCATCTGACGCTCTGTTCACAGTTTGCATGTCATTTCAAAATGTTCAGCAAAGCCTTGTTTACATAATACTTAACATTTTATTCGGTAAATTAGCTTAATTCACTGGACTACTTGGGCTGACGCAATGTAAACCGATTTAATAATTTATAAACTGAGTTGTATATTAGTTACTCATTGAATTCCTTCACGGAGGCTTGTACAAATGAAAATTGTCATAAGAGTGCTAGCTATAGAGACGCCAACATCCATATCTTTGTAGAGTAATTCTACATAGTAGCCAGATGATTCGAAGCACTGATAAAGTTGCATCTTTTTTAGGTCATTCGTGGACAGTTATTGCACTGCAACATTCGCAAAAAAGCAATAGGTGGTGATGCTTTCAGCATTTCCAACTTGTTCAATGCATCCGACCAAAAAGGAACTCGCCTTTAAAGAACTTTGATCCTCCGTAGCGCAGTACTTCGCAGTTGGTTTTTCAGTTTTGTTACCTTATGTCATGCATTATTTTGCGGTTTTAAAATGACAACAATACGAGAATTCATCATTTGCATCCGATCGGATCAAACAACACATATTTTCATCGCATGAGGTTTACTTTTCGAAAACAACATATTTATCAAATACCACCTAAACAACAATGCCTTCATTACACAAAGAACTGGCTTTTTTCGGGGGGCATTCTAGAAATGGATACCTAATCCTCTAGGAATTGTTTACCGAAACTATTTTTTTTACAGTATTCAGTCCTATTTTTAACGAAAGTTCAATTTGATTTTTTAAAGAACTTAAGACGGATAGTTTAAAAGAAAGACGATGCATTACAACAAATTGTAATGAAATAACTTTATTTTTCATTTAACTTTAAGATTCTCTTTTTTCATGATAAGAAAAATTAATATTCTTTTGAAAATTCGCCTGATACAAACTATTTTTTAATTTGCAGCAGGAACAAAAAAATGAAATCTTCACGTTTTGTGGGCCACCGTTTAACAGTGTGATAAACGTAACATACACAGCAGTAGAACTCCATTCAAGTTTAGGGCTCTATGTGCTGGAATTCTGGAATTTTGTCAATTTAGACAACGAACCATTTCAATCGAGTAAAAAGTAGTCTGTTGTCTTTCAAAAATAACCTAATTCGCGCTGTTACGACCTTTGTGTTATCTGTATATCGCGTGATCCAATCCTTACATCACATGTTTTTTAATAATGACCATCCTCCTCCGTAATGAAAGAATGAATGTCTTACAAACACGCAACATCCAAGAATCCAATTCTCAGAGGTCAAAAGTTATGTTGCCGTCGCCTGTATCATTCACGTCATTGTCGTGGGAATGCGATTAGAACATTCGAGAGGCGATTTCCTAGTAGCATGAAAAAGTCATTTCATTTTCGATTTCTTAGTCGTCTCACTTTTTTTCTAATTCGCTAGATTCAGCTTATCGCAAGGCAGATAAAAAATTCAATATGCTGAAAGTGATAACAGACAATAATATTCATTTACCTGTCAGATAAAAGCAGTTAATCTTTATTACTCTTACTAAAAAATTCTTGATACTGAAATCTTGACACTTTGAAACTCCCACTAGAATTTCAATTGAGTAACACAGTAACGAAAATTAAAAAACCAAACCACAACCCTGGTTTTTTTTAGCACTGTAAGGCTCTTTAATTCTGCTTGTTGTAAATTAGCACTAACGGTAAAATCTTCTCTCTAAGACAGAGAGGCGCTAAGCTGTAATTGGTTTTTCCAAAATTAGCAGCTTTGTCAACTTTTAGTGAGGTAATCATCGAAAATTTATGATTACCAATAGGTAATAGTCAACAAGAGCCACTGGATTATGATGCAGAGGAATTAGTAAAAGAGGGAGTTTCACTTGTTTATTTAGCGGTCTCAGTCAGCTGAAACAGGTCACGTCTTCTTTTATGATTTGATGGGAAAATGAGTTATTCCCACAGCGAGCACGAATGGTGGAACTCACTCACAGCAACAAAGGTTCATTTAGTATTTCGTGATCGTGGCTGTTCGTGTTGGAATAGCTTCCTTGGTGTGTTTTTTTCGATGAAATATATACTCTGAACATTAAAAAAAAAAAATTTAAAAAATATAAAAAAAAAACGTGAAATTTTATCCCGTTGAGATAATATTCAAGACAAAAGGCACCGCCAGTCTCGTGCGCAAATCACTCCATGCCGCTGAAGGCTGAAGCTTCGCTGGAGCTACGTTCGGTGTGAAGTTCCCTACTCGGCTTTCATCATTTAAGAATAGGGAGCTCGTCTTACTAAAATGAGAAAGATCCATTCAATAAAGATATTCTCAACTATGTGACACCGAGCTGTTAGTGTATAACTGATGGTCGATATTAACTTTGAAAGTTCGACGTTATGACCGTTTTGAAAAAGTTTGAGTCTTATATCAAAGTTTTGAAATTGTGTACAAAGAAACTGACGGTGTTGTGAATGAAAGCGGGCTGAAACTCAAGTTTCAATGCCCACTGTTATTTTTGCCAGCGTCATTAACGATTATTTTTTTAAGTAACTTCAGCTCTAGGTAGTTTTAAACTGTTAAAGCACTCTTTGTTTGGGGGATTCCTCCACGTCGTTGTCATCACCATGGTGATGAACTGTTACGTAATCAACGACTCAAATCGTAAATAGAGTCAAAAGTGGGATAAACAACAAGATTGAACACCAACATTGGAATTGCAATTCAAAGATATTCTCATAACCATAGATTCTTGATTATTACCAGCCTGCGGTACACAGTGGTCGTGTCAGCTCAGAGCTAGAGCCCTGATATGCCTCTAGTACCGTGCGACAATCGCATGATCACTAATTCCTTACATTTCAATCAATCACTGCTGGTGGGTGAAATCACGCAACGTGCATCTAGCTCACCTTCGTGGGTGGTCTCTGTTGACTAAACGTGATCAGGCAGAGATACTCTGTGGTTCACGGGGCATAGAGGACCTTGATTCAGCGGAGCTTTTTCTCCTTTTCAGTAAGGCTCTGTTATCACTTTCATTTCCTCGTGAAGTACACCTCCCTCCCAAAATAGAAATTGCAAAAGTTTTAGAATGAGAGTTACGTGGAACATTAAAATGCTTGACATAGGCAACAACCAGTCACAGAACGAGTAACATTCAACAATTGCATCGAGATATAGACAGTTTATTTTCAAAAAGAAAAGAAAACAAACCGAAAGTTAAATTTATTAACATGATACCCTATTAAAAACTAGCTATGTTTTTGGAGATTTGAGCCTCTCTCAGATACCCCCCGCCAACCCAAAAGGTATAATAATGGATGTTTCACGAGTTATCGCGTGACTTTATTTTTCTACATACAGACAGTTTTGATTAAGGAAGGATTTTATCTTCACCTGTGGCTTAACCAACATCGTTAAGAGCTTCTTATATTTCGACAACAAAAACTGTTCATTTTTATACGACGGAGAGAAATTAAAGGTATTGACAGACAAATATGCTCTTTAATTTATGACACGAGTGAAGATCGAAGTAATCATTCACTTTATCAACATCGTGTTGAGAGTGTCAAAAACATTAAGTCCTTTAAACAAAGAGAGGCATTGAAGAAACCATTGACCTCCTGTAAAGATCGGTGAGATAAAATACAGAAAGAGAGCGTCAGTTTGACCGACAATTTGTCGTAGATAGGATTACAAGTAAAACAACAAGGTAAATATACCAAATTGGATTATAAAAAAGAAGTTTTCCTAATCAAGATTCAAAAAGTCTTCAAATTACGAGTTCTAATTTTATTCCAGAAACAATAACATAAAATATTTTCCTAAGTGTCTTATAGAATAAGGCAATAAAAATATTCGAGTGAGGTTAAGATGTAAGTTTTCATAAGATTGTATTCGAAAACCGCATAAGTGGAGGACGATAGGCAATAAACCAATGAGTTGTAAATTGATTTCGCGTTCCTTTGAAGTCTACTGTTGTACAACGAGTTCTTTTCTGCAATGCTATTTGCAATATCTGGTCTCACGACGGATTGCATTCCTTAGAGCTTTTTCAGTCAGCTTTTCCAGTCAGCTTTTCTAGATCGTTCGTTAAGCTTTTTCGAAAAGCAACGTTTGAGGTCTTTGAGACAGAAGGATGTCTAGGATGTCAACTTAATCAAGTTGCGAAAGCAGAATATGGATATTTATAGTAATAATACTAACAATAGAGCTTAGCGTCGAAATAAAAATTTTTTATACAACTCTTCAGTTTCTCGGTAGGCAGGTTGTAGAAGTTTCGTTGTCTTCAAACCTTCTTCCCGGCGTAAGGCTGGTTTTAAACAGAGCTTTTGTCTCTATCATGCATAGTGGGGCGGATTGGGAAAGTGAAACCTGCGGTGTCGTCCTGTTAACGTACGTGACTACAAGGCGACTCAGTTGATCGATAGTCATCAGACGGATGGTTTATCAGTGCCATCAATAGACAGATGATCAGCCGATCAATTCAGTAGATCGCTGTGGGAGTTTATCACGCTAAATCTCCCTACAACTGCTTTATCTATGCTTCCGATATTCATTCTGTTCTTAAACTTTATACTGTAATGAAATTTGGAATAAAAATGCCCCCTGTGTGATGAGATGAAAAGTGGTTGTTGTCTCCTGATATCACAGAGTGCTGTACTACTTTTGACACTCAAATCTTGATTTCCCAGATGAAAAGTTCCCCGAGCTTCCGGCGCGCGCGCGCGGTTTCTTTTTAAAAAGCTCTTTAAGTCGTCATCATGTTAGCTACGCAGTCACTGCAGAACTCTTTGACTTAAAATTTGAAAACAAAGTTTCTTCATTCAAAAATCGCTCTCGTTGCTAGAATGGGAAATTTTTTTAGTCTTGTGAAGTCAAAGCCTAATTGTAAGAAGCTGACTTCTCTATTAAAATTATTTTTCTGACAAGGAGATGACTAAACTTGATGATACATGTTTTTGGATGTTTTAATTGTTTGTAGATAAGAAGGAACTCAAAGAATGGAAAAGAATGATGGAAAGACAACTTGCAGAAAAGGCAAGTGAACTGAAAGAGTCTTTTCTTTCGTTTTATAGAGCAGACTTCTTTTTTTTTTTAAATTGACCGTGTTATTTTTATGGAAGGGCAACTCGGCTAAGCTCGTGTAATGCAGTTTTCCGAACGTACAAAACGACTTCATGGGAAGATACAGCCACTGCGGGCAAGACAGTGATTATAATTTCCTCTTCTGTGCTTATAAAATTCAGCTTAAAGGCCTCCATTTCATACGTCTTGAATTTCATCTTGATGTTTTAGACCCGAGGGGTGTAATGATAAGTCAAATTTGCGCGTTGCCGGCGGAACATTCAGGACAGGGAGAGTTATTCCTTCGTCACGGTGAATCATTCGTTCTGACGAAGTATTCGCTGTGACGAAGGGCTAACGTTATAAACACTTTAGCTCTGAAACACTTTACGGTGGCCAATATACATTATCAACTCAGTTGATAAAACCAAACATGATTATCTCGCATTTAGAACGTCAGCTTTTCCTTTGTCAGAGCGGTGGGAAACAAGATTTGTTGGGAAAACAATGCTCTGTGCCAAATACCAGTTTTATTTCAAGAGGTTAATTAGCTATAATCAACTTACTACCTCGTTTCCTATTTTCTCAGTCGACTATAATGAAGATGTCTATTTGCAACTTTATTTCTTTTTGCAGAACAATGCAATAAGTAATCTGAATGAAGTTCTACGACAACAGAACAAACGTATCCAACATATCCATAACAACAACCAAGAACTATTAGACGCCATTGAACACATCGTAAAACAGTTGAAGGTAAAGATCGTTCCTGAGGTTATTCAAGACTTAACTTCAAAAATGATAAAATTAACCAACTGATTTCAATTTTTTAGGCAAAAAGTAATGAGGCTGAACAAGATGAGAAATTTGAGATCTCCGACAACCGCACCCGTGTACTACAGGTAAGGACAATTCCTTTCTAGACTGCAGCTTGTTGACCACAACAACAACAACAATAACGATAACAATAACAACAACAGAAACAACAGCAACAACAACAAACACAGAAAAACAAACACACTGACGAATAACAACAAAAACAAGCACGACAAGAACAACAACAGCAAACACAATGATAACAACGAGAAACAGCGGCAACAACGCTGAATAACAACAAACAAACAACAAACAACAAACAACAAACAACAAACACAACAACAAATATTACCAAAAATACAACAGCAACAAAACGTTCACGTAAAAAGTGCAATGATTTCGTTTATAATTTTTTCATTCTTAAATCATTTTAAAAAGAGTATCAAAGGATTTTCAATCGTTAACGAAGATTGCCGAACAAAAGCATGCCGGAACTGTCTCTCAAAATTCATTCATAATACCGTTAATCATGGACACCTGAAAGGTCGAGGGCAGGCTCTTTGGCATAGCGCTGAATGAGAAAAAATTTCTTTTCATTTTTATTTTTATTTTATTTTAGGGTGGGATAGGTAATGAAGCTGCTCTGATTAGTCAAAAACCTTCAGCTCGTAATTAACTAAGTTAACGGAATGTTCGCGGTTGTTTTAACAAAATTCTGAATGCATTTCTTTTATGAAATTGAGTTAAACAAACCCCGCATAGTTTCAGGATAACTGTTTAACCAAAAAATGTCAAGAGTACAATTTTAATTCACATATCATAATGTAGAGATCAGTCTTGTACTCTGTGGCGTTGCAAATTCACAATAACCTCTTAAAAATGAAATGAATGATCATTATTTAAACAGAGCCGTGTTTCTGTTCTGACTTCGAATCTGAGAGAGGCAAGCCAGCGAATCGAGACGCTGGCATCAAATTTTGAAACGACCAAACATGAACAAGAGGATAGGTCGATATTGATTTCCTCTGCGATTAGTGAATTTAAAGAATTGACTCAGAGAATTACAGATGTTGGTATAAACCTATCACAGCTGGAATTTAAAGTTCTTCAAAATGAGAAAAAGGTGAGGTAATCTGAGGATATCAAGTTTCCTTCATAGTGCTAAATCGTACGTATATGGTATATCAAAACATATTTCAAATTTGGCAAACACTATAACAGAGTCGATCACAAAATCTGACAAAACTTTACGACTGACTAAGTTTTAATCAGAAAAAATTGAAAAACCTCCAGAGAAAAAAAAATAACTAAAAATCTAAAGATAATTTGGCATCATTAGTTGTAGAACATTTTGTATTGTATTGTTATATGTATAAAAACAGCCAAGGTGTCTCATGGAACTTGTATATACGGACTCGCTTTATTTTGAGTATTTTACCTGGAGACGCTCAACTGACATGTCGTAGGTTTTTGCAACTTTTTCTTGAGACCGGAAAACGTTAGAGGCAAATATTTTCCAGTCCAGCGCTCTTACTCAGTCGCTAAGTACACATATACTCTTGACCTGTCAATCATAGAGTAGACTGTACAAATCTGAAAGTCTGAAAGTCAAACTAAACTAATTTTTCGGGAGTCAAACTTACATATGGATTTTCAGCTCGATACATTCCGTCAAAAATCAAATATTCCAGGTTAAAAAAAAAGATAGGTTAAGCAGTCCTCCTTGAGTATGAAAACAGAAAAACAAAACATACAAAAACGCTGTACTGATTTTGAAACTGCTGTATAAATCTGTCATTCATAAACCGTAACAACACTGTCAGCAATAAAATGCTACTTGAGCACTTTCTGTGCGAAAAAATAACCTGCATCATCACCCTCTTCTTTCAGATTAATCAGGGGATAAATGTTAAAAAGCGAACGATGCTTGAGTCCTTGTTACAGGAGATTAATGAACTTGAGGTAACACTGATTAAAGTGATTAAAGTGAAATTGAAATCTTGACATTTATCCTCAATATACAAGGGAGTTTAAAGTCATTCAGGTTTTTTATACATTTAACTCAAAACTCTACGACGCGTCTGTGATTTTTCTCCAAAGCTTGTGCTTCTCTTTCAAACAATCATGCCGTTTGTTAACTCTCGTTTTCCCTCGCTTCCAGTAGTTTGGTTGTTTTTACTATGAGCACTCATCGGTTTGTTGTGATATCTTAGTTTCTGGTTGATCGTTTCTTTTATTTCCCAATCGAAATGCACTCTCAGCAATATCCACGGCTCCCTTTCTCCACAGAATACCCTCTAGTAGACCTGTTTTCGCCTAATTGTAGTTTCTCGGAATCCATCCATCCCAGTTTAACCCCAAGCGAAAAGAAACAGTTCATTACAAAACACTCTTTTCAGAATGAAAAGGATGGCCTGCTAAGATTTACTGAGGAGGCGCTTGGCATTGGAGATGAGGACAATAGAATGAAACTTTATGAGAAGATTAATGGCACTCTGGAGAAAGTACGGTAAGGTGCCGTGCTCTCAGTTTATGTTGGCTTGAAATGATTAAAATGAAGCTGGTGCTGAGCAGTATGTACATATTTTTTTATTTTTTTGAGTCGGAGGAACACGAGGTATGATTATGGGTGTTTTGAGAGGCCGTGATGTAGCTGTGGTAACCTAATATGTCAAAAAGAAAATTTGGCTTTTTTTTACGATTTCCAATGAATAAACGTTTCCTTCTTTTAAAAAAGGTGTTTCCATCGCTTTTTTTAATTTTCTTTTTAGATCTCTCAAATATTGAAAAACTCATTTGAACTGTAGGATACTGGCACAAAATAAATATTGTAATCGTTATGTTTATTGCTATCATCATCATTATATAAACTACGATCCATCCGAGATTTGGTGCAAAAAAATCGATACTGTTTTGAACCCTCCAAAACAACGTTAACATTGACGTAGGTGCTATAATCCTTTAACTCCCAAGATCTCATTATTAATTCTCCTTACTGTCTGCCATACAGTTCTTGTGATATTAGTTTGGAGAATTATGTATTGGATCAACTTATAACCCCCTGACTGATATTTTTCTTTATTCTCATCACTTGTCTGTTTGATATTATATTGTTATTGTAGGGAGAAATTCTGTCTTGGTCACTCATGGGAGTTAAGGGTTAAAGTCTATCTACAGTGTATGTTGCGCCGTAGATTGTCAATTATAAACGTCTTCTGAATAAAAGCCATTTTTATTCTTTTTCCTCTTATTTATCACACTTCTTTGTTCTCTTTTTCAGTCGCTTTGAAGGCTCTCAGCAAATCGCAACATCCTTATGAAAAGCAACCACATCATTCTTTTTGATAACGATATGTCAACAATGTGTGCTTTGATTAATAAATATGGTAAAAATTAAATTTCAACTCTTTGCGCTGTTTGGGATTAACGGACGTGTTCTCAGCGAATAAGCATGCCGAAATTTTGCATGCGTAATATCAGATCAGTAATATTAGATAGGAAAAAATGTGTGTATTAATGGAGTCTGTCTTTCATTTACATCGGTTGGCTGGACTCATAACAGTCTATAAATAGTTGTCTCGATAACTGTGTAAGCTCGAAGGAAAAAAACAGATGTCCCTTCTTTGCAGCTATCAAAATGTAAAGTATGGTTTGAGCCAACAAGTTAACTTCTGGGTGTAGTTTTTTTATGGCCTCTCCAGATTTTCTATAACGTTTTTCAGTGAAGCACAAACGATGGCTTCTTGAAGAGGAGGAGACAAAGCTTGGAAATAGACTCAAAGCGGTCACAATCTCGTCCTCTGAGACTGCAACTAACGGCGCCTAACCACAACAGTGCTCGAATTCAAAACATCAAAATAAACATTCCACTTTACTGCGACTTTCAGAAAAAGATGCTCTGAAAATCCTACAATCCAGTACTTAAATCGTAACCGTCATACAAAATTTAGAAATGACAAAACTCACCAGATTTTCTGTAACGTTTTGCAGTGAACCACAAACGGTGGCTTCTTGAAGAGGAGGAGACAAAGCTTGGAAATAGACTCCAAGCGGTCACAATCTCGTCCTCTGAGACTGCAAATAACGGCGCCTAACCACAACAGTGTTCGAATTCAAAACATCAAAATAAACGTTCCACTTTACTGTGACTTTCAGAACGAGATGCCCTGAAAATCCGACAATCCAGTACTTAAATCGTAACCGTCATACAAAATTTATAAATGACGAAACTCACCAAGTCGTGGAATGGCCAGACCTTTTTGGGACCTAAATTAGTCAGGGCGGAAACTTTGAAGGAAACGTGAACTTTCCTTAATTAATGAAAAAAGTGTTTTAAGCCGTCTCGACAAGATTCCGAAGAGCCCCATACTTATAAGAACAATGGCGAAAACAATAGGTTACTTCCGAGGCAAATGGTTTGTTCAAGACTACACTGGGGTTGTCGTAATCTTTCCACCGTCTCCGACGGCACCCGACCTCAACTAGAGCGTAACATAGAAAAGTCGCGTTGTTTTTCCAAATAAAACGTGAATAATTCGCTGTCAGGGTTTTCGTTCACAGACCACTTAAATTTTGGGGAATTAAAGTTGCTGTTTTGCAGAAAAAGGCTTGAAAACGTACAAGGTTGAAAACTTATGCGCTGAGCTACTGCTGTGCTCATTAAGTTCTTTGTCTCGTCAAGTTCTCGTTGCTTTCTCTGTTGTGGTTTGCCTCAAGTGCCTTTTGTCTCGCTACCATTCCCAGTTTCTTATTGCTGACCCGCCCGCATTTCTCAGTGTGTCCTTGTGAGTTGTTTGTCAACCCTCCGTTTGTTCATAGCATGGCGGGTCAGCAAAAAGAAATGGGGAGTGGAGGCGAGAAAAAAGCCGTGCCGAATGCAAGGTTCGGTAATTTGTTGTTGTATCAATGGTTAGTCTTAAATGTCAAAGATCTCATAAGGTAGTCTACCCATGGGAAAACAAAATCCACATCGCAGTAACCGACAAGTAACAGCTATATGAAAATTATACAAAAAAATTAATACTAGCATTAAAACGAAAGTATCAAAAAATGCAAAAGAAAAAAAACTACAACAACAATAACATTTTGCTGAGAGAGCTATCCAAACTTGAAACCTGGTCGGCTAAAAATGTACTGGGCAATGGGAACGCCTACCATTGTGGCGTTTCAGCTCAAGAACGAAAACCATTGTCTTAATATTATCTACAGAAAATAACAGTCCAACCATTATTGTTGATAACATTTTGGTAATTTTATTGACCCTGAGACTGAAAAAACTAAAAATTATCTATCAAAAAAAAAAAAAAAAAAAAAAAAATTTCAGCAGCAAGTCAAAATCAGGCTAAAACTCTTTAGAGCCCACACATTAAGAAAAACGATGTGTAAACGAGTTTACAGGGCGAGTTTTCAGCAAATGAAACAATAAAAACCCTTTCCTTCTCTTTAATCAAAAACCGTAAAAAATAATTTCATTGTAACAAATTTTGGGCCAGGTAACAAAAAATATCTTTGTGCTTGCAAGCATGAAAGGTTTCAGTCAAAGAAATGCATATTGCAAACATAAATTGTTAATCTGAGCTATCATTCAGAGGAAAGTTAAATACTCTCTCTATGAAGATTTACTGACTCTACTTTGTAATACCCTGTCAAGAAGCCCTGGAAAGTAACAAGCCCCCTGACCCCACCCCCCTCCTTACTACAAGCTCTGCAGTATTGGTGTACATGTATGTTTATCACTACTGTTTACATATCTATTTTCTTTTTCCATTTTCCATTAGAAGTGAACTCATATTCATCATTTTTATAATCCATTAAGAACTCTTTTCTCCTTTTAGAAATAAACTTATAAAGATTCTCACAAGCTTCACTTGGGGGCTGCACCCCAGCAAGCTGTGCAAGGCATCTCATATAGTCCCACTGTTTCTCACCCAGAAAGTGAGCATATTTCTTCCTCAAACCGGAGGCAAGTTTTTCTTTGAACTCCTGTTCTTCTTCAGCATTCATTTCCTCTTCAGATGGCAATTTAGTCTTTCCACTCAAAACAGCTGCAATGAATTGAGCCTGAAAGCTGAACACTGGAAATGGGCAAATCCTCAGGCAGAGCCCAACAAATGACAACGTACGATACTTTGTACTGAAAACGTGTTTGTACAGAGGTGTGACCCTGTTATCACTCACTTCAACCCCACAGTCACTCTGAAGGAACGGGAATGAGAAGTTGTAACCAGTACAGAATAAAATAGCATCCACCTCTTTCTGTTCTCCATCATCAAAATGAACCACCCCATCAGATGATACACATGACATTGGTCTGCATTCCTCCACATTGTCTGGCAGTTTACAAGGAAGATGTCCTTTATGACTAAGATACACTCTTTCTGCCATCTTAGCAATTTCCAGGGAGATGTCTTGACCAGAAGATGAGGCACCAAGAACAACAACATGTTTTCCTTGGAAGGGATGAGGATCACGATAATCATGACTGTGCATCACCAGTCCACCAAAATACTCCAGTCCAGGAATACTTGGTATAAGAGGATCAAAAAAATGCCTGGAACCAAACATTATATGGAAGTTGTTAGAGGATGATTGCAGAAGTATATGTCACAATTCATGCATCTTGAAAAATTTATCCCCTTTCTCAAATATTTCATTTGTGATTTGTATTGATCTTCTCCCAGGGGACCTCATTAAAGTTTTATCCTTTTCCACAGGTCATTATATATTATAAGGCTTTTCATAACATAAAAAGTGTCTGTCACAAAAGTTAACATTGCCCTGGATTAATCTGTTCTAATGAGTATGAAAGGAATGTTACTGGTGAGAGTTCAGCAAAAGGCAACTCAACACATGAACCATTAGATCCAAAGAACATCCAAAACATTCCAAATTCAAAAAATAAATTCTGACTTTAACATTTTTTAGTACATTATGATAACAGAAAAGTTTCCAGTCAAAAATGCCCTTAACTAGTTCAACCCTAGACAGTTTTTTTTAAGCTAAACATCAATCTAAGCCTCTTGTTTTTGGTTATGAAATAGTGAAGAAAAATTCCAGGAGGCTAAAAATCTTATATGTTATATCAAAAGAAGATAGTACAAACCAGAAACCAGGTAAAACAGATCATGACTAGTGTCCAACCACTTTTGTTAAAGAAAATAACACATATTTAATTTAGTTATTCCATGTCTAAACTCTCTAACTCTCAAGATCTCATGGCTTATTTTCCCCTCTAGCTGCTACAGATTTCCTTGTAAATTAGTTACAAGTACTTGGTATTGGCTCAAGATAACAACTTCTACCTGACAAGTTTGAGTATTCTCCATACCTGTTTGATGGATAATGTAAGGACCTTATGGGGAGAAGATACATATTTATCATTTCTGGGAGTTAAAAAGGGTTAGGACATCATTGAACTTACCCAGAACACACCACCACAGCTTCAAATATGCAACTCTTGGATTCTTTAGTATTTGCATTTGTTATGACAACTTCCCACTGAGGATTGTGACTGTCTTCATTTGTGATTGGATGCACACTGGTAATGGTAGAGTCAAAACTTATATATTTGTATAAATTGAAATGACTGGCATAGTCTTCAAGGTATTTGAGAACTTGTTGATGACTAATGAAAGATCTCCATTCTGAGGGAAAAGGAAAATCAGGAAAGGCCATTACTTCTTTTGGGAGATTAGTCCTGAAAAACACAATTGTAATAAATAAATGAGCAGATTTAAATTAGCTATTTGTTTTCTGAATTTCTTGCTAAACTAACTTCTCAGTAAGACAAAAATATTGCATTTGTGGTTTGCTTAACTAAATGATTAATAAAGATGTGAATTCAGTCAAGTTATATATGCTATAGGCCTGAAAACAAGTAAAAGACAAGTTACACGGAACATAACAGATAATAAATCTCAAGCCTAGTCATAAAATAAAGAAAGGTGTAAATTTTTTTGTCTTGTGTGTGGAACAAAGAAAACAATTCTGAGACTTAATGAGGAATCAAACTTAAGAGCTTGGGATTCCACACTCTACTGCCCTACCATTGAGCTGGAGAGAACTCTATGGGGAGTTATGAGGTTAATTAACACATGTCCAGCACACAGCTGGTATCAGCTAAGTCAAAAGCAACAATGAGTAAACAAAATACAAAATGATATAAATTTTGAGCTTTGTCACCAAAATTAAAACATGTTATTCTCCATGTCACAGGTGCTAGACAAAGAAAAATTCTAAGTCCCCAAAAAGAGGTGGAACCCAGACCCATGGACTCCATGCTCTAATGCTCTGTGGCTCAGCTATGGTACCTGTTATAGTTCTTCTCGATCAAGTGTTGTAAAATGAAAACCACAGAAATCACAAAAGATAATCAGACGGAAGGAAGTTTATAGCCAATCTTAAGTACTGGAAATGCAAGGGACCAAGCCACAATTGGTTTCAGTTTGGCAAAAGCAAAGTAAAGCAAAACAAAGCAGTCTTGGACTACTTCTGACACTTCATTGGAAACTACTGTAATATATAATGCTGATCACAATCAATCATGCAAGGTAATTTGGCAAACATAATCAGTAGTAAAGGAAAAGGAAGTAGGGGGGAGGTTTTTTGTTCAAGAGGGTACCCTTATTTTTCAAATTTTGGCTAACTGAAGGGTTGTCTTTTCAAGGAGGAATGCATTAACTTGAGAACTTAATTATAGCTTTTCAATAGGCAAAATAAGTGTTGTGACGTATTTAACTTCCATACATTAGTTCCTAACAATCATTATTTTGTGCTGACTTTGAGAGCAAAAGAACTCTACACTCTGGGATACTATGCAACAATCAATCTCCAGAATCTTCTAGCCTAAGGGACAATGAAAATTAAAACATCTCACTTGCATGCTGACTTTGAGAGCGAAAGAACTCTACACTCTGGGATACTATGCAACAATCAATCTTCAGAATCTTCTAGCCTAAGGAACTATGAAAATTAAAACATCTCACTTTCACCAGCCTATGTGTAATAAAACATATTCATAAGTTCAACATGAAAGAAAAATTAATTACTTTCTTACCTGAGGTTTCTGTACATGCTAGAGTAAATGGGAAGACCGCGTTCGTCTGTACCAGTGTCTTCATTGAAGACCCACGTTCCTCCCAAAGAAGAAGCTTGCTCGAACACAGACACGTTGAAAATATCCACCTGACTTGTAAGATGACGAGCAATTGCCAGACCAGCGCCTCCAGCGCCAATAACACAAACACGAAGAAGCTTCATCTCCGATGAAATTGGCCTTCAACCTTCACGCAAAATTTCGCCGATAGCACACCCGAGAAATGAGGTAATGAAATTGCTGGGTTGAGCAACCGCCTTGAGATGATTACGCAATGACTATTACTGATCTACCGGCCATTTTGAAACTGGTCAGTGAGGAGTCTGGGAAAGAATTGTAAGGGAACGCTAAAGTTTGACCCGCAAAGTCTTTGGACAGGCTGCTGATTAGCGCTAACCTTGGGTTAAATTTTAATCCGGGTTTATTTATTCCTTTGATCATAAGCCTCTTTTAGACAATTTCCTCTATTCTTTTTAGGGCAACTAACCAAAATTAAAGACAAAGTTTCAAAGTTTTCATATATGAAATAAGATTTCACACTAGCCCCTAGGTTATCTTAAGTCAGTTCTGAACAACCCGGCCCTCTGATCTCTTGCCGAGAGTAAAGAAATGAGAAAACAGCAAGGAAAGGATGAGAGCGTTTTTGAGTTATTTTTTATGTATTTTTTATATATATTAAACCCCAGACGTTAGATGATTCATCATTAAAACTTTTAAATATTCTTTATATATATATATATATATATATATAAAACTCAGTTATGCATGCATTCTGTTGGTTCTCAGATGATCTATTAAGGACAGACAAAATGATGTCATCATTAAAACATTTTAAATTCTTTATTTTAAAAACAAATTTGAATCTATTTGCGTCTGTTAAATTACATATATATATATATCAAAATGTTGCGATAGGGGAAAACACACTCAGCCGAGACGTATACTTTTTTTGTTCCCTACAAGTCTGTTTCGTCTGCGATTGCTCAGACGCAGAAGAAAGTTTCAGATTGAGAGAGAGAGAGAGAGAGGATATTATTCGGTAGCGAGAAGATATGAATTTTATGTTCCAAACTTAGTTATAGTTTAACCGGACATGAAAGACAAGAACCATCTAGGATTATTAATAAATAACTTTATTTACAATGAAATGGTAATACAAGAGCGAGTACAAAATAAATATTATAATATAAACTAAAATTGTTTAGATAATACATTGTATCAATCATGTGGTCTTTAAATAAGGCGAGGTACACTAAACAGGTACTAAACATCTACAACTAAAATGTTGATTTTCATTGTGTCTTGAACCTAAATTTGTCTGTCACTTCCAGACGAACTGCTAAGTAAGCTACGAATTTGTCGGATTCCCCGACGGAACTGACCAGAGGCTCTCCGGAAACTAAGCGACACTTTCCGCCTAACTGTTTTGATAGACCCTTTCTTTCCCGGTCGTTTTCGGGGAATACTGCATCCGACATTGGGCGATGGAGTAGGACCAAGCTCATATAATGGAGGATTGTCCGGTGAGACCGACTGGAAAGTCGTTTCTTGAAGCTGCTTGTAGATTCGCTCATCGAGTTTCTTTAAGAAGCAGTCAGATGTGTTGGCACCAGTTTTAGCTTTAAAAGCTTTCACTCGTCGTGGGGCGTTCTTTTCTTTATTTTCTGGCCAGTCATGGTTCCCCCCACGATTAAACAGAATCTTGAGGCAGTTAATTCGTTCCCACATGATGGCTACATGTATGGGTGTTAAGCCTTCTGTAGAGGGAACATTAGGGTTACCACCATAGTCCAACAAGAGGCGGGTGAAACGGAGATTGAGAGGAGAGTCCAATCCCACTGCAACATGGAATGCACTTAATCCATTCACCAACAAATTGGGGTCGGCACCCCGCTTTAATAACGTCACAGCGCGTCTGTGGGGGAAAATCGCAAAGTAAGACTTATTACCATGAGGTAATTGAGACATGTTGGTATCTTACTGTAAGTAAAGACTTGGATAAAAAATTGATAAAGTTATACTTACCTAATATTTTCGTTTTCTATTGCGCACTTTAGCTCATGCGATAATCTCTCAGTGTCCACAACGCGACCTTCATCACCGCTAAAACAGAAAATCGTAAGTGTAGTACCCAAGTGGTTGACAATGCAACACAGAACCAAAAAAAAAAATTCACGACAACGATGAGACCTCTACATACAAACAAATACTCAGACAAAACATTCACGCTGTGGTTGGATAATGTTAAACCTTTATAGTATTCGTCATTGTAAACTCTATTATGGGGCACTGAAATGGTAGAGCATACGTTGCTCTTTTTTACCTGTTCTTGTTGTATATTTCGACAACGTTTTTCGAAGATTGTTTCTTTTGGTAGTGAGGGACGCTTTCTTTCGGCTTAGCGTACGAACGGTCTTCAGACGACACAGTGGTACACGAGTGTGATGTTGAAGGTGAAATTGATGATGGCACTGACACTGAGACGGATGTTAGAGATGACTTCTTTGAAACTGATTTTGAACAGTCCCAGGCCGGAGCATCTTGTGTGCGGGGTTTTTTTCATTGGTATTTTCCTTCGCTTTCCTTATCTGGAGGTAAAAAGGGAGTGCTTAACACTAAATTTGTGAAAAATTGGCAAGAAATACTTCGAAACTCAACCTCAGGTAATCTCTTCCACTTTGTTTGTATGCCAAACTAAGGTGCGCATCTATTGAAAAACATAAATAAAAAACTCTAAGGGCCCTAAGCGATGGCGCGAAGAGGCCTTAAGAGCCGAATGATCCGCATGCGTCCCCCCCCCCAAGCCTTGCTTAAGTTGAATTTAACTTCTTTTTGAGAAAAAAATATTATTGAAGGAAGTGGAGGCAATCCTTCTTGACACAGTTTAGTAAAGTTAGAGATTTTATCAAAAATAGAAGATAAATGTGATATCCACACGCGGCATTGCGATGTCTTCTGTTTATTTACCTTTCTTTCCACCTGTTTGAGATAGTCACATTGTTTACACCTACACTTGTTCATTTCCCATTCGTTGCAGGCTCCCTCAGGTCTGGCAGATGGCTTCGATGGATGGTCTTTCACTCCATATTTTAGAAAAATAATAAAACATTATCGCATATACAATCTCCCACTGCCATCAATTGAAAAGGTCACCTCTGAAAGCACTGCTGCTTTATACCGTATTTTTCCATCAATACTACGTTCCAGACATTTCAACTTTCTTGTAATGTTCCAAAATCTGAGGTTCATATAGATTTGATAAGCCTTTTGGGAATACATTTTCATGTCGTGTAATGGGGATGTATCTATGGATGTGTAACCCTAGACCACGTTCATCTGCCAGTGTCTTACTTCAAAGCTTTCGTTTATATTTTTATTTCCATAACAATATTTTGTCCATCAATAAAACTTTTTCCACGTTTTAGGCATCATTCTTTTGCTTCGACATGTTTGCCTAAATTACAAATTTCGGTTTGTTGATTTTAAACTCGCTAACTTCTCACATGTACGATCTCACGGCCTGTAAATTGATATTCTTTATTTCGACTGTCTTGAACAAACTAACCTTTCATTCCCACAGACACCTTCCTTTTTGTCTTCAATCTTCTCCTGAAACAAAAAGTTTCAGCTTTCAGTCTGAAAGGTCTATGGTAAAAAAGGTTCGCCCCCTTCTTTACTAGTTCGCCCCAAATCTTTCAAATCGTTTTCTTACAGCAGAACATATTCTTCTGAAATCATTATCAGGGGGCGAACTCCCAAAGGTGAAGGGGCGAAATTGCTGTGGCGAGAGACCTCCAGATTCCTTCTACCAACGTTACACAGGATGTATGTAAGGATATCTACTCTGCAAGCGGAAATCCCAATTAAGTGTCGCCTAACCCTAACCCTAAGCAATGTCAAAGGTTGCATTGGTCATGCCTGAACAGATGCAATACTAAAATGAATCATTTCTTGGTCTATTACGTATTCTTGCACTTGGCTAGGGTAACGCTTGTTTGCTTCAAGTTTTCATTGATCTATTCATAGACCCAACGTTTCAACACTCCTGTCTAGTGCCTTCATCAGGGGTGATCTAAACTCTACAGAAAGAGGTCTTTTTATACACTCTCTAATTAGCTGCTCTTTTTTCTGACGAGGTGTGAAAGCTCTTTCAAACGTGTGCCAGATTGACGTTTGATCTGTCCGATATACATATCACAATCATTGCACGGAATAGAATAAATGTCGTCGGTTGGTTGTTCTTTCGTGACAGCATCCTCAGGTTTGGCAAAAATATGCCTCAAAGTCTGAAAAGGTCTTTGAGAAACTTTAACGTTGTGGCTATTCAAAATTCTCATGATGGGTTCCGTAACACCCTGAATGTAGGGAATAACAGCAAAACCAGTCGCTGGTTCCCTCTCATCGGGAGTACTACTAATTGTAACTGGTTTTCGGCAGTTACGGAGAAAAGTTTTGGAACAGCCATTCGTGTTTAGGACATTAGAAACATATTTCCTTTCCTCAGCCTTCGAATCGAGGGAAGATGGTAGACAGCCCTCCTGAGTAAAGTTTTGGCTGAAGACTTTTTATGGTAAATAAAGGACAATGAATCTTTTCAAAATGTTTGAAGGGTTGAACATTGCAGTGTTGTACAACCTTTTCATTCACTTGGTTTGAATCAAGGAAAAAGGACGATAGGTCTTTTCAAAATGTTTAAAGGGCAGAACATTGCAGTGTTGTACAACCTTTTCATTTGACGACAAAGAAGTCTTGAGCAGTTTTGGTGATGTCAAATCACTATCATTCTCAGTGATTCTTTCTCCACCGATTCAGTTACATGTTTACCCCTCAAACTCCTGGAAATCAGGAATGCAGTCACGAGGAGAGACACAGTGGTAACGGTGCATGTAAACGATAGTTTTTGCTATGCATTGTTGCATAGCACGTCACAAGAAAAACTTATATGTTTCGCCATGGCCTGATTCAAACTATGACTTCATTGAAAAGTAAAGTTTATAACTAATTGTAGTCTTACCTTTTAATCTGGTTTTTGGTTTCATTGTCGTCTGTGGATTCACTATGGAAGGCTAACAAGGAGAAACAAATAAATTATTAGATTTGTACTCGAACATCTATTTGTATCGAGTAAAAACATTTACTTTGACGTCGTTAGATATTTTCTGTTACCTCTGTAAGCGATCGGCTGTAGGATGTTTAGTTTCTCCGTTAGTTCTTCTCTAATCTCTTTTATACTTTTCTAATAATAAGAAAATATGACAAAAACCAAAAGGATTCGAACATAATGTTTCTATTAAACCCAATAAGACATCCATTACTTTTACACCTATCTCCCGAGTTCTTGTTGGATCAATTTTACCAGATTTTGGGTGGGGTCGATGTTGATTCAACTTGTTAAAGGTTTTTCGGCGAGATTTGAAATACCTTTAGGTATTTAATGTTTAATTAAATGCTGGGACTCTGTCGACTCGCACAGTTTTAAAATACCGTGTAAGCCGACAGAATCCCAACATTTCTTTTGCTTTCATGATCGCAACCCTTTGCTTTGCAGTGTCATACAAATGTCGACCTCGTGGTTCTGAAAACTCTGACGCCTCCAAAACACTTAAACCATCATTGTAATCAATAACGCATGAATCAAAGAAAAGGACGATAGTTCTTTTCAAAATGTTTAGAGGGTAGAATATTGCAGTATTGTACAACCTTTTCATTTGACGACAAAGAAGTCTTGAGCAGTTTTGGTGATGTCAAATCACTATCATTCTCAGTGATTCCTTTCTCCACCGATTCGGTTACATGTTTATCCTTCAAACTCCTGAAAATCAGGAATGCAGTCATAAAGAGAGACACAGTGGTAACGGTGCATATAAACGTAAACAAGCTTATCTCCAGTGGCGTACTGAATACAAAAGTTCGGGTTATGGCTTGGTGAATAACCTTGCAGTAGGCGATATCTGATTTTCCTTGCTGTGTCAATATTGCTTCTACGTATATTTTGAATAAAAACATTTCCTTTAACGCTAAGGCTTGAAAAGAAAAACTCTATTTCGTTTAAGGGTAGTTACCGAAATTACGAAAAGTTTATCGCTGTCGATCTGCGACAAAACTTTCTGGGAAGCTCAACATCTTTCACTGAGGTGTTTGTTTCCTAGCGTATTAGTAGAATATCCTCACAAACCAAACTTAAACTCATATCTAGTGTAGAGGAAGTTAAAATGGTTCATATATCCTGATTGCTAGCCCAATTAAGACTTGAGACCTATAATGATACAGTTTCTAATGAGATGTGTTATCAGAGTAAGATCTATTCTACTCACTCTTGGCTATAACTCGATGATGTGCTCAGCGGCGACACTGCAACACATTAACATGATAAACTAAGGATACTGTCAAGTGTAGATAAATGTGCGTTCGATCGTTAACTGTATCACTGAAAAGGACTGCTTATTACAAGGGTGTTCAAAATCTTCGATCTTCTGCTTTTCAAATCTGAGAGTTAATGTAAAAAGTTTCTAAAACAGAGTCCATTGCAGTGTTTTGTAGATTCTTGCTTGGAGGTGAGTGGGTGTATTTGCATTTAGAGTGAGAATTCAAAATTGAATTAAACTAATAACTTACCCGTTCTTCTGCGATAAAACAGAATATATGCTTTAGCAAAAGATAGGTGATTTGGCAATTCCTAGGAAATAAATCATAAAGCAGGAATAATTATTTAAATCTAGATCGTAAGCTTTTGTGCGGGTTAAATACAACACCATTTCGGTGTGAGGGTAAAAACTAGAGGTGCCTTTCACACAAGAATCTGTTGACCGCCGATCTGAAGCAACATGCAAGAGTTCAAAGGACAGTTCAGATTGACATTAATCACCTTGGTAACACAACTATCATCATATCGGTACCATACTCCATTATTGCTGGTGTAGGCCGTGTAATGTCCGCTGCTGTAACCTGTGGTTTAACAATATGTTACCTTTTAAGTACTCGCTGATCTAAAAATTGAGAAATTAAAACTCATGGTAAGTATGATTTACAGAAACTAACGTGGAACTCCAGTGAAAAAGGGGTGCTTTTTAAAACATTTGGTATTCATTAATACTGCTATAGCTTGGGAGCAGGGAAAGCGCAGTCCTGAAAGCTATGGCTTTTCACTGTAGGCTGGATTACCGATCCTATGTGAGTCGAGTTTTTTGTTAGTTCTTGTTTATGCGCCCAGGGTTTTTCTACGGGTTGTTCGGTTTTCCTTTCTCTCCAAACAGTAACACTCCTAATTCCGCTTTGACCCGGATACCGATGACGATAAGCCACTTAACTCTCAAAACATAGGTTAGCAGAGACCGGGTTTTTGTAAGTTAATTGATTCTGCCATTGTCTTTACAGTTGTTAGTTTTTGTTTACTTACTCCCTTCGTGGCAGACACATGCAATGAGATCGTAAATGAAGTCTCCTGCCCCATGTTTCTCTGCACTGTTATGTTCTAGCTGAGTGTATTCGCCCATGTCTAGCTCATCCATAGGAAACGCAACAGGTGCTGTTATCTTTACGCCGCTCTGACTGTACCTGGTATGAAAAAATGCACGTTCAAACAGATTCGCAGAAAACTGGTAGTCATGAATTAAAGATTGATTGCAGTTTAAAAAACTGGTGGCGAAGGACTTTGTCCTGCGTTTAAATATAAAATTTAATATAAGGACATTTTTTTGCCAACTAGTAGGATGAAGTTATTCGACTCCAATTTTATGTTAGTTTATTAGCTAATAAACTAACGTAAAATTAATTAAGTGTGTGGTCTACCGTAACCACTACCTGGTCAAGTCTCCATTTCGGTTTTTGCTTAATTTTGGTCAAGTCTAGCCTAGTCTAGTGTAGTTTGATAATATCTATTCTCTTCTCCTATTCAAATCTGGTAGTTCATAAATATATGTGGTCGAATATCTCCTTTAGTTTAGTGTAGCAACTGGTCTTATCATCATTATATCCTAGCTGGTTTCTTTTCTAGGCTTTCCTCTAGTCTTAGTCTTGTCCGCATATATTCTAGTCTGGTCTCCAGTCTTTGTCTCGTTTATCGCCTGCTTTACTTCGTAACATATATGTAGTCTAGTATCTGGTCTAGTCTAGTTGCTAGTTTACCAGAGTAGGTATGTTTCTGGTCTACATATATAACTTTCGGCTAATATCGTTCCCAGTCGCATTCTAACCATGTTCAATCAAGTCATCTGGAAACCAAGGAACTGTAGCCCACGAAATGAATTGACTAAAGAACTGTCTATACTGCCCTTACACCAAACATACCTTGAAAAGAACACATGTCTCCATAATCAACAAATTGCATTTCAGTAAAATAACAATGAGATTCTAATATCTCAAACTATTCTACATCCATGTTCAATATAATGTGATTTATCATTAATGCACGCAGATTAAAACCGATGAAACTTCTCAGTTTTTGTTTGTTCATCCCCCTCTGATAACATCAAGGTGTTTGCATTCGTTTTCTTAAAGAGTAGTTTCAATGAGCTTTTTTTTTAAATAAAGTAACTGGATCTGGATTCTGAGACAGTACTCATAATTAGACGATACATTACTTGCCTTTTAAGATGGATAATAAGAATATCTGGCAGACGAACTAAACACAAACACTTGGAAGCATTTCTCTCCTCGTGACACTTTTGACAATACCACGTGTCTGGCAACTGCTCGCTTTAAACCAAAAGACAGCTGAGTTAACAGGAGGTACTGGGCTCGGTAGAGCAAAGCGCTATTAACAGTGATGGAGATTTTCCTCCATACTCATTTAAAAGTTACCCCGGGTTGACATGTGTGCTTGACGTCGAAAACATGACAATTTCGCAAATTCAGCTGGTACACATAAGGACGTTAAGCCCATCGATAACGCATATCCTTACTGCCCAGACTTGTCATTCATCACGGGCACATAACGACATAAAGACATAGTTAAACAATTGTCCCAGTTTTGCTCTATTACGAACAATGGATCCATTTCATTTATAGTAAAAGAACTTGACTTGTCTACCTTTGTACAAATGTCCTCAAGCAGTCCTGAAGTTGCACAAGATCTTCTGTATTGCGAGGCTTCCATATAGAGTCGTGCTCGACACAGCGGCCCATCTTATAAATTTAATTGTCAAGGAGTTTAATTCCAATAGTTTTATCGATAAATGTAAGTATTTTCTTTAGCTTTTATCAAGAATTCCTCATGTAAGACGGGTGTCCTCGGAAACTGAATTTGGTTAATTATACGCATTCCTTCTACACATTATTTCCGCGCGTGAGTACCGCCGTGTCCGTAGACATAAACAAAATGACGACTTTCATGTGTGGCCGGCACTCTCTCGTACGATAATCTGTCAATTATTTTTGCAGACGAGCAAGGTGACTCTTTTTCATTTATTGGTAGTATTTTTTTCTTAACAAGTACACGAAAAATCTATTTCAAGGAAAAGAAATTTTATTTTCTAATGAGTAAAAGGTCGACGTTTACGGCAAACGGCAAAAGGGAAAAAATTGAACTTCTTGCTTTGCCGTCTGCTCACACTAGATTAAGATATTTACAACACCAGTGAACAAGAAATTTCAGCTGTTGAAGAATTGGGTGATATATGAGTTAAATTTGGTTTGTAACGTTTGCCAATTTACAATTTTCTTCTTGCTCCATTTTAATTTTATTCCAGGGTTATGAACATCTTCACCGGCTGCTCATATTTTAGGTAGAATGACGAAATTTCTTACCCTCTCCGCCTCCCAGCGGCTGATGTTGCCCAGTTGGACTGCTAAATTGTCACATGGTTGCAGATTCAAGATCACGTCTTCACTGTTGACTTCGCAGCCTGTGCAGCCGGTGATTTTGGTACAGCGGGAACAGTGGAGTCCCTTTATTACAAAGAATAACAAGAAGAACATTCCATCACGAATCTTGCCAATTGTTGAATCAAAACAGAATAAATTATAATTTTTTAACGAGGGGTGTCATGAGATCTCCGTCCGAAAGATTGGGTACACAGCCCCTTTTTATAGAAGACAATGAATCAATACGAAGACTGCGTGGTGTTTGAGTACTCAACCAGGCATTCCCATGTATAGCGTTAGAAGGTCTCTTATCTTACTTGCTATCGCAGCCCCGCAGCCTTGCAGCCTTCCCACCCCTGACAAACTCACTGTTTTGCTTTTCTTAGCAAGAAATTTTTCCCCAAAGAGCCCATCTCAAACCAAAAATGCAAAAGGTTACCAGCGAGCTGTCGGGGAAATCTGAAAGGACTAGGAATGCTCGGGGTAAAACGCGATGGACCGGCATTCTATAAAATAAGAGTGTCTAAGATATGTCTAGTGGCCTCGTGTTGAGAAAACCAGGATTAACTCCTGCTGGATGGGCCGCTTGGCTGGAAAGTAGACACCATTTTACTTACCTGTTGGTCAACCAGATGTAAAGTGAACGGGAGTGCAGTCACAGCGTCAGGTAACAGCTTTGATATGAAAGAATACACGTCTTTGCCAAGAATGTTCTTGGGAAAGACGACTAAACTGGGATGTCCAAATAACCTTTTCGTCTAAAAAGACCCGAAAAAGTGTGATAATTGAAAATGAGATGAGTTATTAGATACGAGAGAAAAATGAGACCAGTTCTTGGTGAAAGATACTGGTGTGAGAAGATTGGAAAACCACATGACTCTAAAATTTGAGGGCATCTTAACAACTAAGATTAATTTCAAGCTTAATACTTTAAGACTTCTATAATAGTTCTGACTACTGACCTTAGAATCCTCCTCGAATCTTCGCAAAACTATTGGAACCATAATCTTCCTGTGAGGTAATGCAAGTAAAGCCTTTTTTATTTAAGTACAAACCGTTAGTTTGATTGCAAATAGACGATTTTCATGATAATAACAACAATAAAGTTCTCATCTGCTTTGGATCTCTATATAGCTTACACTTGGTTCCTTCTTTTTGTATGATGTTTTTACATAAGCGCTCAATTTTTTCCCGGCATGATCAAGTTACGTCCAGACGTGTCATCAATAAGTAAAAGTGACTTTTTCCGACCTATTAACCCTTTCATCCCTGAAAGTGACGTGCATCTAATTTATTCACTCAGTATCACTGCTGAATCACACCTTAAGTTCATGAGAATAAAGAAAATGGTGGTCATAGAAAGAAGCTCTTGACTGATAAATGAATTCTCTTTTCAGTTTCATCTGAAATGCAAAGATGCAAACTGGAGAAAATGCAGAGTTGTGTCAGTTTGCAAAGGGTTTACCAACATAAATTGAAAGACAGGTTTATTGTTCCCTTTGAATGCTTTGATGAGCAGGGTGTTGTACTAGAAATTCGCTGAAAGGGCCATTGCCATTAATAAATTGAAAGTTTTTCAATCATTCAGAAATTCTGCAGCAGCTCACTGGAAAATGACCATTAAAGCAGTTATGAAATATTTAAACAATACCCTGATTTCTGAGTGATTCCGTGGGACTGTATGACTATCTCTGTTTCGCACCGCTGTTGAAATCGAATATTACTATCAGTTATAATAGAGCAATTTTAGATAGGTTCTGTGTGAAGGCAACTTGTTACGACGTATTTTGGTACCTTTGATGATGAGGCAACATGACTCTGAGAAAGTGGCAACAGTGTGCCATGATCGTAACCAAAACCGAGAGAATTCGTCAGAAATTGAGGGGCCAGCTTTTGGAATGACTCTTAAGTGATGGCTATCATAATATCATTATTTCACCAGGACTGAGGTCAAATTAAAACTAAAAGTAACCTGGAAAATAAGAGACTCTCTCGCAATGCTGACATTTGATTTCGTAATACTCACCGGACAGGACAGTTGACACTCAAAAACTCCTCCAGCTGCATTCTGCATGTGAGTAAACATACATTTCTGGAATTATTTCTCATCATAAATAGAGTCAATTTGGCAGCCAGGCGCAAAGCAAAGTATTCATAGAGTTTTAAGCGTCAGAGGATATATCGATGGTATTTACTATGTTTTATTGCCATATACAGAATTTTTTCTCGAAAGGAAATAAAAAAGACGCCACAGACGAAGTGCATGGATAACTAAGCTATTTGCGTATAACGACCTTTTACAAGAAATAGAAAAAGTTCCTCATTTACTAGAGGGTCTAATCCTCGATTATCATCCTTTGATTCAGGAATAAAGTAATAACTATCATTGGGAACTATGTAAAAGATGTTACTTACCTGAAGGCATTGGCGACAATACAGTCTTCCGCATTTATCATGTGAAACAAGTTGGTTATCTGCTCTCTCCTGCAGACAAATACAGCACGTGGAGCTCAAGCGATACATATTAGACAACGATACACGCTTTGCTGTTTGCGCTGCCTGAGTCTCTGGGGTACTGGTATTGGGACTTGCTAGTCTATACTGGTGGAGTTTATCAATTGGAGATTTATCAGTTGTATAAGATTCAGTGTGAAGCTGATCGAGTGCTGACATGAATTCTCCTGGGGCACTAGCAGCGTCAGGGGAGTAGAACATAGTTGATTCAAAAGCCTGAGTCGAGGATCGTCCCGAGGGATACGTCAGGGATGTCCTTCTTGACTGATTGCAATCTTCACGCAGCTGACCCTCGGTAAACAGTATAGATTCTCGCTGTGAATGACTGGAATCTTCAACAAGTAAAGATTCTGGAGCTTTTGAAGGGTTGAACATGTACAGCTTGCTTCGGCGATCAGTGAATAATGTTAATTGCTTCTCATCACTCTGCAATGAAACAAAACCGATTCGCTTGCACACTGATTTAGTTATACCAGGCGCTGACTGAATGCATTTTAATCTTTGGAACGAGGGTTCTCAGAAATTCAGTTCTTAGAAGAAATCGATCAAAATTGTAACCAAGCAGCGTTCTAAACCTCAAGCATTCTAAATCCTAAAAGGCTTTCTGAAACAAATAGCACAAAAAGTATTGAAGGTTGATAAGGCGGTCAACAGAAACGTTTTTTTCTGTACCATTATTGAAACGATCTGACTGTTTCGCACCACAGACACCTTGATGTCCTCCAACTGTGGTTGTGCGTCTTCGGGTAGCAAGGAAACAAAATTGGCTTTTAGTTTAGATACAGTACTTGGTTTCGTCACGTGTACTTTGTACCTAGGCGAGAGAGAAAAAAGAACAAACGAAATCGTCGAATGAAACGAGTGAAATAGAGCAGAAGAGAATCATAACTCAAAACAAAAATATTCAAATGGCTATCACTATGCCTATCAACATGAAGTCTTTGATAATTACCTGACTGCCCGTATTTTCCCATCACTTTCCTCCTTTAGATCACAGGAAACCCACGTCACAACTGTTTGTAGAATAATGTAATTTGCGATAATCTTAATTAGAATAAATTAATATTTTGCCGGCAGGTATAAGAGGACTGGAGGCGGGTGCGAGGTGCGAGGTGCGAGGAGAGTTATGGGATCACAGTTTGTAATTTGAGTACAGTCAGCCTTCGACGTGTTAAGTTGTTAGGTTTCGTTTTCGTTTAAAATATTATCATGTTCACATAAGGTTTTACTTAGAGCTGTACTCGCATGGTTCCTTAAGTAACTGTTATCTACTTGTGTATGTCATCATATTCATAGGATACCCTAAACCTCCCAAGGCATCACTGCCTTGGTTGAGGGCACACTTTCCCCTTTTCCCCACCTGCTGATTTTTAGGGGTTTTCGTTTACGGCTTTGATGCATTTAGTTTCCATCAGTCGTAATTATAAGCATATTGGTAAGCGTATTGGTGTTAAATGAGCGGTACGGTGGCCTGGCCGGCCAACGCACTCTTTGTGTGACCGGTTGAGTCGTGGAGGCAAAATAAAAAGGAAAGATAGTTATCTTAATCGTCGTCTCGGTTAAGTTTGAAATTGATACAAATCTTACTCTAAAAGAAGTGTTTAAATAGATGGAAAGCTAATAGTTTAATCATATGAGACTTACCAAAAGTGTTATATGATTCACTTAGCAGTGGCACGGAGAGAAATGTAAATGGCTGGTATTTGAATGATTTATGACTGCAGCTGCAACATGTGATCTGAGGATAAAACGAATTAAGATTCTTCGTCTTCAAAGATCTTGCGACCAATAATGCTTCAAGAAGAGCACTTCTATTAGTTGTAGTAGTATTATTCTGACTGACTGAATATCTCAGCTGATATAACATATTTACACATCATTAGAGTACACCATCCCTCATAATTGTGAGAATATCACATCAAACGCAATTGTCTTGATACAGCAGTAAACCAGCAATTAGTTTTACCTCGCTTTGCAGTTGTCCTTGAAAAGTATCAACGATAAGGGATTCATTACTCCTGGTGTATTCTCTGAAAAATATCAATAGCAACATAGAATAGCCCTAAAGTATCCGATTGTCATGTGATGTTATTGAGGGGAAAACAGTCAAGACCGAGTAAACTGGTTAAAACAAAACAGATAAGAACAGAAAAGTTAAGTTGATTTTCTAGTTTGTTTAGGCTTTAGGGTGGCCTTTATGTGTCCAAAGCTAAGTGACCTGAGACTGCATTTACCTCCATCTCTGCTCCGCACAGTCATTTTTATCAAGCTGATATGGTGACGAGTCATTGGAACTGTCGGTAACACAGTTAAGTTCGTGATGAAGTCCATCCAGAAACAGCGCGAGAAATTCGTGACAGTCATGCTTACCGAAAGGAAACGAAAGAAGAACGAGATGGTGACGTATATTAAGAGATGATCTGTATGTTTAACATTTCTGCGTTGCAGAGCTTACATGCGACGTCTATTTGTACAGCAGGCAGACTAAAGACGAAACGAAAAAAAGTCTTCAGGTAGATTTTTGTCGGCTTAAAGGGTTTACATGGAAATCTCACACTCTTCACGTGAGTTTCTCTTAGTATTAGTCATTAAATTCCCCGTTTACAGGCTTAACCTGAATCGCTGTCAAGAATTTTTTATCACTTGCTAATTGTTCATGAATAGTGCGTGCTGTAACATGTGAGGCAAGCCATAACTTCTTTATGCTAGCTGATCCAGCTGGATGCTAATTTCTTGGAGTTGGGACCAGCTCCTCCTTTAAAGGGGACTACCTTGACATGGCGTGAATTGAATATGAAGAAATTATGATAGAGAGGAATACGAGTAGAATCATGCTGTAGCAAGATGTCTTTGTGTCAGCTTACCTGTCTGTGAGGTGTAAGTTGATGACAGAAGTGTGTAGTGATTGCTGTGTACAGCTCTGTTGGATCACAATCTATGTAACAACCACTCCAGACTTTCGTCACCAGCTCACCTAAGACTTTGCATAATGATTGCTGCAAACAGATAACTTCTCGTTAAACACTCAATAAATTACTGTATTACACATTTTAAAATTGTCGGTCGATTCTATTTTTTAAAACATTGTGTTGTTGCGTAAGTAACTTCGAGTTGTTTCCGATGTTTAAGAGTTGTTTAAAGCAAATCCTAACCTGACTTTTATTTGGTTTTTCCCCTTGCAAACTCTTGGGGTTCCTCTGAGACACATTTTTGTGCCCACCACCTACAAACAAAAAAGAACATTCGTTATCTTTGCTTGAGATGACCCACCCTGTGGAAAAGGGATTAAACACGTATAAACTCGATAGTCATTACATGAGATGCCATGATAGACCTTGAAAGATTGTGCATTCCTGTATCTCCCATTGTTCACCTTTATCGCGTGAAAATATCTCTATATCATACCTAAAAAGAATCTGCAGAATGGTGTCACACTGAAGAGGCACTGTAAGCCTGCATTCACAAAACACGTGTTGCCGAGATTCTGCAGTCCACATACACCAGCCACATGAACCTGAGGCTCTGCAACATGTATTCATGGAACAATAGACATCAATTCGACTTGGCGTATGCATCAGGGCTGGGTTATTTAAAGCTAAGTTAAGATAACCGAGGGTTGATGTGAAATCTGACCTCAGGTATGAAAGCTTTGAAAGAACATTGTGATGCTTAGACGCTCCAAAAATAATAAAGAAAATTATCTGGAAAAGGCCTTTGAAGAAAGAAATAAAGAAACCCAGATTAAATCTTAACCCTGGGTTAGCGCTAATCAGCCTTCGAACAACTGGGCCCAGACCTCTAAATTGATCAAAGCTGTAAAGGCCTTACCTTTAAAACTATCGGCCGATCTTTCTGATAGTTTTTCCTCTGCGAGGGGTACACAATGCATACTAAAAGAAAATGAAGATACGAACTCAAGAAGAGCAGAGGATTCTGAAAGGAACCTCCCCACTGACCTATGATCTACAATACATAAGATTGGTAACAGTTGTAATCACCGATAATAATTAGATAATTAGAATATTTATTACAATCATTATGAAATCGCTGGTGATTCTTGCAATCCGAGTGGCTCTCACTGGTGCGATTCTTTAACGAATCGCACCATTTTCGTTCTAAATCGTATCTCTTCCCAGCTTACGAGAAAACTGTACTATAACACAACAAACAATCAGACTTCTAGACTTGTTTAAGAAAACCAGTATCATCAGAGGAAAATGTGAGACAACTTATGTAGTTTTTCACAAACCATCCGGCTCAGAACTGGATTAATAAACTGTTTGTACACACTTGAAACACCTGTAATTGAGCGACTGAAACTTGCGATTTTAAAATGGATGTAATGAAGTGGTAATTGAACTCTGTGTCGTGCAGTTTTGGCCTCCGGCAACAGGTTAAAGGCAAGCGACCGAACCGGAGAGCCATGACACGAAATAAAAGCAACTAAAAAGTAAAACAAAGTCGTAATTTTGCTTGTATATCATTGACTAGTAATTACATGATTGTTCTCGTGCAGTTTGGGCTAAATTAACGATTTTTAAATAAAATAAGTAAAGATTTTTCCAAAGATCTTTTTATTTTTGGGGGTTGTAAAAAGAAGCTGTGACATTTCTTATATTCGGATGCCATGCAGAGAAAAGATAGCAGTAAGATTCTTTAACCTGTTTTTCCTTCCTAAAAAAAAGTCCTCTGCGATGTCTAAAATTAACTGACTCTTAACTTGCAGCCACCCAAAGGCCACAAGTTTTTTAGCTGTAGATGTTTGATGTAACCCCTTTGAAGAAGGTCTTTAGCATTTTCAATGATATTGTTATTATGATAATGTGAGCAAAAACTTTTGCTTCGGTTTAAGAAGCGACGGGTATCTTTGGGACTGATCCCGACTAAGTGAATACCTCATTATACTAAATGCATTGCTTTTAAGTTGTACATTACAGAATATGCCAAAAGTCAACTGTATTTTCTTAACATGCATACGAACCTTTAAGCTTGAAAAGAGCTAAAAAAACTCTAACAATATGTCACATCCTGTAACTCAAAGCTTCGTTATGCACTACTGAACCACAATTTGCCAAGCCTTAATTCCAACACGCTTACAAGCTAAATAATAAAAGGCTCTATATTCACTAAAAGTTCCTGTTTGCTTGGAAGGGAAATGCGTAAACATAATTCTATTGATGAGCCCGGAAATAGGCTGTTACTGACGACAAAAACAAAACCACTTCTGGTTTTTTGCGAAAGAACCTGGCAGCTGAATGGTGCCTTCCTGTGTGACTGAGAGATGGTGCATGTGCCAAAATGTCATCGTCAAAAACTGAAATAACCTAAATTCCCTGAGCGAAAAAAAGGGTTTTTGTGAACTCGATCACACTGTAGTTGTTTGACTGTACTTTTTATGGCATGGTATGAAAATTCATTTTCGACTGGGTTTTCGTACACTTTCATCTTTCATATTTGACCTTGGTCTGCATGTTAGTCGAGAACACTTTTGGTTCTGAACATAACATCAGAAAAGTAATACACAGTTTCGCTTTGTCATTTTCGTTTTCGGTTTTGTTGACAGAGAGCTAAATTGCATTTACAAGAACCCTTACGTCTCGTTGAAACTAAGCTCAAAGGTCGCGATTTAGAGTTACAAGATTATTTGTCATTGATAGAGTTTGAAAAATACCCTAGTAGGCGCGCATTCACCAAAACCCAACTTAATACTATCTGACAGGGTATCACAATGATCATATAAAGACAAGTATCAATGAATGATCGATGAAACTATTACCTTGTATCTACCGGGACTTGTGCTGATTTCTTGATATAATTTGAAGGACTCAGAGGCGATATACTATCTTTATTTTCTTTTCCCTGTAAAAGAGATTACCCACCATAAAAGTAAACAACGATAAAATATCAATAAAAAGTCAAGTTTCAATGATAAGAGCATCGCAAATCTCGCTCTATGCAGATGAAATTGAATTTTTACGAATTTTTTATTACAATGTCGATTATCAATAGAATCCATTAAATAAAGCAGCCAGTTATGACCGTGACTTGACAAGATAACTAGTTATTACTAATTAGTTAATTAAAACATTATGCGTTTCTAAGCCGACAGTATTAACGACTGTCCGGGAATAGTCATAAATATCGAGATCGTTTTTACGATATTAGCAGTAGCCCCTTAAAAATTACTGGGATTTGTGGAAGACTCGAGCGATGTTAGCAAAGTACAAGTCAAGTACCAGGCTGATATGATGGTTCATTATCAGATTTACTATAAAGCCAAAAAAGAGGACTCGACTAAGTAAGCGGAGTTTCTCTCTACAGAGCTTTTCGTGCTCTCGCGTCCTGTCAGTTCATGCACAATACAACAGAGTTTTTAAATCGTTTTCTGAAGACACCACCTACCGTTGCTTGTTTGTCTTTTACTCCACAAGTTACAGCGGTTAAAACTTTATTGAGCTCATCTGTAATTTGAAATGTGATCAATTCATGACTTATTTTTCTTACTAACACTCGACAAATAATTTTATTTCTTCCTCTTACCTCTAATTTTGTTCATATTGCTTTCGTTGCTGTTATCTTTCTGGATATGCGTAAGCTTGTCTTTCGCATTTTGAGTTTCGTTGGGTTTTATTTGAGTTCTAAAGATCAAATTAAAAAGAGTCGGAAGAAATAATCTTTTTTGCATTTTTAACGAACTCAATATTTAGCTATGTCAAGAAAATGACATATTAATGAAAATGATGACGACTTGAATTGACTAGTTTACCTTGTAAAACTTAAATTGTAAATTTCTTAATCGTTGAATGTTGTCCTTCAGTAGTATTTTAGAGAATAAAACTGACAAAAGATCAAATGAGGCCTTAAAATACTGTAAAATTGATGTTAAAAAGTTAATAAATCAAAGCTTTCGCCGATCCACGGCGTCATTGTGGATCGGCGAGACTATAGGATTTTTAAAATATTTTAACATCAATTTTACAGTAGTTTAAGGACACATTTGAACTTTGAAAACCGTGTTAGAGATCGCTAGCCTCAATTCATTTCTATGCTAAAGCTTACCTTTTGCAATTTCCAGCTCCATCTTTTCCACCAGTGAGGTTGCTGTTTTGTGCTGTGAGCTTTTGAACTTGACTCTAACATTTAGAGAAAAATGATTTTGTGCAGTTGGCAAACTTTAAAACGAGAACAACAACAATAGAGATATAAGCTTGACTTAAGAGATGAACGTTTATTTGCTGTTTTACCTCAAGTAATCCTTTTTCCTTCTTCAGAGCTGCAATTATTTTCCACGCATCTGTTGCCAACCTGTCCTGAAAAGTAATTTATTTCCTGATATCAAAGCTATCATCAGTATGAAGCTTACATGTTCAATAAAAGCTCAAAGCAAACCTTTTCAAGCGCCTTCAACTGAGCGAGGAGGCGAGTTTGTTTTTCATTCAGCGCCTCTTGTTGAAACATTTCTATAAGAGAACTAGCTTGTTTCTGCCTCTCCACCAGTCCTTCAGTTACACCGGACTCAGGTTTACGATCTTTGTCTTGGAGCTGATTCTCAACGGATGTTTGGGGCTCTTTTTTGCGAAGACGATGTGAAAGAGATAAACAAGTAACAAACTTTGAAAGAACTATGAAAACTGAAACTAAACAACCGCAAACTAGAAAACTTACCTTTAGCAATGACAGGAAACTTGTCAGTCTTTCCACCATTCATTTTCTTTTGTGTATCGAGAGTTACTTATTTTAAACGGCAATATAAAAGTCAAACCGAGTACAAAGCAATTTTCAAACAGACGTTTTAATGTTGTGGCGAACTCCATTGACGCGAACAGTCCACGAGATTTGTGACGTTGCATGCCACATTTTCCCCGCGCGCTAAGTACTACCCTCGTTATCATAACGAGGGCCACGTAAGTGTTTCGCGACAAATCTGGCCTCGATTGTCCGAAGGTCGTGTAACACTATCCACAAAACAAATCTCTATACAGTGGATAACGGTAAACGCTTTGCCATCACATATCCGCTGGGTACCTATTTATCCGTTGGATGGCTTTATCAGCTCTTTATACAATTACGACTGGACCCCGGTATTTTTTTTTTGAAAAAGAGTTTAAGGTTTGATAGATCTAAAAAAGATTATTCTATATCAAAAACAGGAGACGAATGCCTTTCAGAAAACAATTATCAACCTGCAGTAGTGCGCTGCAGACATTACCAAAAGCAAGTGGTCCCGGGAAAATTGATGTCATGTTTACATTAAGTTTAATTTCCACGAGATTATCTCATCTAAATATAGACAAGCTGTTTTAGTGAAAGATTTGCCATCTCGTTTACTCACTATGAGAATTTATCGTCAACTGCTAATCAGGAGAATATAGAAAGGTCAGGCCTTCACGGCAAATCTCTCTCTGAAGTGTCTGATGATTCATGGATTTCTTGACGGGAAATCAAGGTCACTGAAGCGGGCAACAGGTGCCGGTAAGGTAAGGTAAGGTTTCAAGGTTAATTTAATATTTGGGTTAATCATTGAACCCTGATTTTGTAGTTTAAAAAATGCGGTAACGTTTTGTGGTACAGTATATTTTAGAGATAAAATCTTTTACGAAATCTTTTAATGTTTTTTAAACGCTCGATGATAATTTCGTTCGAAATAGCCAGTTTCCTAGAGTTTGTTTACGTTAATCAGTCGTATGTACTACGTTTTAAGTCGTGGCACACAAGCAGTTTTCGAAACAAACTGCCTTGATTCGAAAGATAACAACTCAGTTTACAGTAATTTTTCCGACAGAAGGAAAGCCATAAATTTTCAAGTTTATCGTACAGGGATAAATATTCTCTCATGTCATGTTAATGTGGTGTAATTGATAGACGGGTAGTGAGTTCAAACAGCTTAAAACCGTTAAGAACAAGACCGTTACAATCTACCATTTTTCCTCGCTCACATATATCTTTGTCAGCAGTACCTGACATGTTGAAACAAAGATGTTCGACGAATAGACACTATGAACTTTTTAGTTTACTTCATGTAACATGCAACAACAAAAAAGAAGAAAACTGATCAAATGAAGGAGCCAAAAAATTATATGTTCTTTCTGTTAGGTTCATATCATTGGTTTATGTATTTAACCTTTCTCCTGGTGACGGTCCAATTCCAGGTTGTTTACTTAGAAAAACTGGCCGAAACAAAGAAAATTTTAAATCTCGCAGGCAAATTGATAATTCGACCGTAATTTGATGCGGACATTGGTGGTTCATTTTCTTGACAAAAATGATTAGTAAAATGTTATTTAGGTGGCCTAGTCAATAGTAGTTTAATAATGAGTACTGAAATATCGTGAAAATGTTCGGTTACATTTTTGTTACTAACCCAGGACTCTGTGAAAATGGAGAGAGGAGTGGCCCCACCTGGTAATTTTCATGGATTCAGGTCTCACATTTACAAGAGAAAGTTTCCATTGACAGCTTATAATATCCTCACATTAGGGGGTCCTCTGTAAGAAGTGTTACATTTAGTCATGTTATAGCGATCTACATCTAAAACCGACACACTCATTTTGCTCTTAATAAAGAGTGTGAGGCGCAAAAATGCGGCAGTGTAGTACATTATAATCTAGCTGACTGTATACTGTTCTGAAGTATATATAAAACCGAACGAAATAGTCCTAATTCAGCCCAGATAGTTCACGGCGATAAGATACAAGGGAACAACCAATTAAGTGGTGTAAGTTTGTTTTAATTTCAAATTAGTTCCGAAATTTTAGGTTGAGAATGCGAGCGGTTATTCCCATACAAATCCTCATATTTCGCCCATTACGCAACATAAACATACAGTGTTTGCTTATTTAAGGAGGCTCATTTTGCGAGCTTGGGCTACCTGTGGCGAGAGGTCAGCCAGAGCCCCGTCAAACGTCTCCTCGACTTGTGTCAAATCTTCCCGCGGGCGGAGAAACGCGCGATCCGCAACATTAAGAATAAGGACCTACTCGCTCGCTATCCAAATAAATACACTTACTCAATAACTTGTCAATAGCTTGTTTGTCAGTCACTTATTGAGACGTAGTATTTTTCTGTCGGTGAATCTCCGTTTTCTTTTATTTTCACAAGCAAAAACTCAGGCGTATGACAGATTGTATTAGTTTGAAACAGAATTTAGGATTTTTATGGGAAATCCCATCGCGGCGTGGGGTGTTGCTTAAATGTAATTTTTTTCGGCCGCTGTGGCGCCATCCATGCATGCTGGCTTGGATTTGTGTAGTGTAGAAATTAAAAGCAGTTGTAGTTTTAAGTTTACGTAAAAAAAAAAGAGAGGATAGGGTACTAAGGTAAACATCAATTCCAGACAAGGGGATCATTAATCACATAACGAACTTAGCGCTTCCCTGTAACCTTTGTGTATTTCTTGCTGAAAAATCCCTAATAGCAGTGGTCTATGCTCGCGTTGACGCTCCTTTTCGAGACGAAGAATTGAGGAGGATTTTAACAGGCTACTTAGCACAGGACTTAAGTTCGTGATATTTCTCTCCGAAGACAGGAAACAGTAGCGATAACACTTCATTGATTGTGGCTGCTTTCGCCAGAAATAACAAGCCACGATCTTTAAAACAATGAATAGAGGTTTCTAGATGCCATTGTTCTCCAGGAGTTGAAGAGATTTGGCGGTTTTGCGGTTTGAGATCTACCGGAAGTGATTTAACAGAAAACCGATCAAATCACAGAGTGTGTGTTGTTGAATAGTTCGTGAACCAGACCTTCCTTTCCAGTTGCGATTTTGAGGTGTCGAACACGTTTCCGATCCTGTAGTTCATATCGGTCTTGGATGAATTTGTCTGTACAGTTTGGGAAGGACGCATCTTGTCAAAGTCTACTATTCTGCCGGTGGTAAAGAAAAGAATTCCCTTAAGCAAGCTGCTGCGAGCAGACGAGGTGAGTCAGAGGCCACAAAGTTGTTGAATGAATAATTGTTTGAGAGCTAAGTGGTCACGCTTCCTGAAGTTCTTAGCGCTTGTCCTCAAGATTTAGACACGAAGTTGACAGTACAAATGAATGATGTCTCCTCATTTTTTTTTTTTGCATTATTCTTTCAATGTTTTCGGAAAGACTTTGGAACCCTATTATTCACAAATAGTCGTGAAATTTAATCCACGAGAGCCGCCCAAGACTAGCCAAACCTCGTGCTTATTGGGAAACCTCCTTTATCCGGTTCCCGCTTTCCTTTCCAAGTCCACAACAAAGACAATGGATATTATTATTTCAGGCTAGCGGCCGTAAAACGTCCTGAAGCATTGAACTATGCTAGAAGATTTATTTGTGCCTACTGTTAGAAAGAGTCTATTGATATAGCAGCAGCCACCTGCGACTTTCAAACGCATCTGAAATGTAATCTTGGTGGTATCTCTCAGCACCCTGTGTAATTGTGTCCGCTAACTATTCGCCGTTACACGGCGGCGCTATGCTTTGTATGTGCCTTGAAACCAACGAATGTCCCAATCGATAATATTATGAAATACATTACCCAATATTTAGCAAATGGAGCAGAATGGAGAGGAACAAAAAAAATACTGAATAGCCGGGAATGAGTTTTGGATCTTAAGCATCTGAAATATTTCGGGAAAGGCTAATACAACAACAATAATCTTTGTAACTGCTTAAGAGTTCTCAAAACACAATGTTGTAATGTGTTGCCAACACGTGACATTTCGATGTTATTCTTGAAGCACTTAAAAGGGTTAAGATCCGACAAACCAAGTATCCGGTGATGATGGCAAGAATTCGAAATTGTTCCGCAACAACTGGTGAAACATCATGTCCAAAATTTCTTTTCATTAAATCTTGTTAGCCATGATGAGTTGAATGCACCTCCCTCCAATCATCAATCAAAGAAATGGTGAAAAAAGAAATCAGATTAAGCGTTTTAATTAAGAGTAGCAAAAAGGAAATCCCCAAGGGATCTAAAAGCTAATTCTCATTTAAGAAAAAGACGATTTAAGATTTAAGAAGAGGACATAGCTACACTCAAAATAATAATATTCGCTCAAAAGTAACAAGCGAAATGTTTCTAGAATCGAAATAAAAGAAATTATCTCTGTGGTTCAACCAGAGAGCGGTTGCGAATTGTCAGTCGAGCCCTCCTAACCGCATGCAGCAACACGGGATACCCTGGGACTTGGCTTTGAGAACAGGCATAGTTTTATTATCAATTTATTAAACTACGTTTTGGCTTGCAAAGCGCTGAACGTAAGAACAGCGTTGTCCTTTTAGCAAGTCAAATATGAGTATCAACCTCGGCTTTCCCTTCATTTAAACATGTCATCAACTGAACCGTTTAGACCTTGGACGGTCACATTGTACAAAGGCGCTGTGACCGCTGTCTTCATAAACCAGTAGGTGAGCGTAACCAGCGTCATTTGGGCGCAAAGAAAGGGTCAGTGTGAGCTCTTACGAAATGGCGTTGTAGAGAAAAACAAATCTCTAACAGGCCGACAATTGCAAGATCTTTCTTGAAGGATAGTGTCAATTCGAAATAACTGTGCAAACTTTATTTTTGTGAAGAGAATAAAGTATTTTTAGGGAATAGTATGCTACTATTTCGCTCTAAGCTCGAGATAGTAATTTCTTTCAAGGATAAATCATTAATACGCTTTATTTGTTTATTTATTTGTTTATTTATTTTTTAAAAGCAGGAGTGATGGAAAGTAAGTTACCAGCAACAAAATGGCGGACTCTCTGGCTAGCGATTCTTGTGTACTATGTTTACGGAGTGAATGAGGCCCACTGTGATATCCTGCCTGTGCGACCCATCCACCATAACAACACGGCATTACGTCAGGTATTGGAGGCGCTGACAGCCAAGTATCCAAACATCACACGGCTGTATTCCATTGGTAAATCCTACCAGGGCAAGAGCTTATGGGTAATCGAGATCACAAAGAATCCTGGGAAACATATGCCCGGCAAACCTGAGTTCAAGTACGTGGCAAATATGCATGGAAACGAGGTTGTGGGACGCGAGTTGCTTTTGCTGTTAGCTGACCATTTGTGTTCAAACTACGGGCGCGACCAGAGGATAACGAAACTAATTGATACAACTCGAATACATCTGTTACCATCAATGAACCCTGATGGATGGGAGAGTTCTCATGTGGGCTGCACGGGGATTAAAGGTAGATTCAACGCAAACGGGGTGGATTTAAATAGAAATTTTCCAGACCCTTATGAAGGACAAACTAATGAACTGCAGCCGGAGACACAAGCTATTATGAACTGGATTCATCGGGAACCATTTGTTCTGTCAGCAAACTTACACGGTGGGACATTAGTTGCCAACTATCCATTTGACAACCTCCCAAGTGAGCTCAAGAGGTCCGCTACTAGAGTATACTACAGCTCCCCGGATGACGACATTTTTGTCAATATCGCCAAACTTTATTCTTATACACATCCCACAATGCACAACGGTAATCCTCTATGTCCGATCCAGAGAACAGAGAAGTTTCCTGACGGGATCACAAACGGTGCAGCTTGGTATCCAATTTCTGGAGGAATGCAGGACTACAATTATTATAAAACGTACGGTACTAAAGTAAGCAGTAAGCAGCTTGTAAGCAGTCTACCTTAATCTTCATAAATAAGATCTATACTTTTGGTATGGTCGGAGACCGAGGTTAAAATATACTCCAATTCCAAACTGAAGGCTTTCTGTTGCTGATCTAAGCGGTGTTTAGAGCGCTAATCAAATAAGAACCTAGTATATGGCCGATTTCGTCAACGACTTCTTCTGTAAGTTAAGCATAAGATCGCGAATTTGGAACTGGTTGGATTTGTATCCCTTTCCTTCTTTGCTCTACATTCATGTCCAATGTTTAACTTCTCTCTTTACTAGATATTCCAGGATGTTGTTTGCTTACATCGTGAGCCCGAGACAACCTGTAATGACACTGATAACTAGAAAACGGCAAACTGTCGTGTGAATTTGCTTCTAATCAAAACAATGACACAGTGTCCTTATTTTGCGTTCAGTTGAGGATAATCAAGCTATCATGGTAATTCACCTTTATTATTACCCTTTTTTTTAACAGAAACTGCTTCGAGATCACTCTGGAACTTGGTTGCTGTAAGTACCCCCCAGCTCGTTACCTCTACTCCTACTGGCGCGCAAACCGAGAAGCCTTGCTCAAGTACATCGAATTGGTGCATAACACAGGAATAAGGGGCTTTGTTTTTGACGAAAAGGGCCGTCCGATTGAAGGCGCGAAAATCATCATCGAGAACCGCGCCAAAAAGGTAAAGACCTATAAGGATGGGGACTATTGGCGTTTATTAGTGCCTGGAAGTTACATCGTCCGAGTGGCTAAAAAAAAATACAAAAATTCAAGAAAGACAATCACGATTGATCCAGATGCCATCGCATATGCTAACTTTACTCTTGTAAGGAAGAGATCGAAGAATTTGAACAGGCGTCGACCAGTTACGAAGATGAATCCTGTGGCTCAGCCGTTCAAGTCACCCAATAACGTGTCTTTCCACAAGATTGTCACTCACAGGGATAAACTACGGCTATCAGCAAAGTCTCCAGGAAAGTCTGCTTCTACTGTGTCGCGTCTTTCCATCATGGCTAGTCTTGTTTGCTTTGTTTTAGTCGCTCTATTGAAATAAGCTACGTTTTTTTTATTGTAACATTTCTGCATTACATTTCATTTTGTAAAATGGCCATTGACTTGCAGTACATTTCTTTTATTTTCAGAATTCATTTCTAAAATTTCGAATTGAGTATCGAAGCCAAAGTGGTAATCAATCGTTTTGCTGCTCTACGCCCCTTGACTAGGCGAAAAATATCTTGCCATTATCTCGTACTTTCCGATGCAGATAGAAAGCCAATTCCACACAGCGGCCAAAGGTCTGTGGGTGTGCGATCGTTGTAATGACTAGGTAAAGTGCTTTCAGGCTGTCAAAACCAAATTGTCTCACACGAGTTACGAACAACCACAAAAGCCAATAAGTTACTTGAATAAGATTGGTGTGCGAAAAGTCTCGAGTTTTCCTTTTCCACATTTTTGTTTCCTTTTACAGACTTACAGGACCGTTTCTATTTTCTTTCGCTGATTTTGTGAGACAGCAGTTGTTTCTTATCTTTCCTTAAAAGGTTTTCGCGGGAATCGGCGCACGGCCAGTCAGAATTGATCCTTTAGCGCATGGCGGACCTTTGACCGCTGTGTTAACCAGCTCAGTTGCGTTTTCCCGCGTTTGAGGTCAAATATGAGTGTTTACTATGAGTTCTCATTTACTCTTGAAATATTGACTTTTGTACTGGTCGGCCATTGTGATTATTTTGGTTTTGGCTATGATATTCAATTGAGAAATGCTCTTACATTTTCAAACTTTTTATTTTACTATGTATAAAGGTCATTCACTCCCTAGAACTTTACAGAATATATCAAGTCTTCTGTTTGTTTTAATTTGTAAAACTAAGTCGTATTTTTCACGCGAGTTTGACAATTGTTAAACTGAAGGTATGTGCAAATTTCAAGGCAGGTGACAAGAGGTCACACAGATTAAGTTGCTTTATTTCTTCTGATTTAATCACTACGAGGATTGGAATGATAATCACGACGAGGATTGGAACGATTAAAGAATATTCCCAAAGAAAAATTTGAAAGATTTCCTTACCGCAAGCAAGACAGCTTCTTCTGAACAAGCTTTAATTTCTATATTCCTTTTTACTTGCATACGTTTTGTTCACGGATTTTAGGTTTATTGTTTATTTTATGCTTACATTGGACTGTATAATGTAACGAAACATTTATAATAAATCAGTAATTTCGATAGTTTTAACCATGAAGAGGCAATGTTTATCAACCCAGCTGGATAAATAAAAGAAAGTTTTAGTTACCTATTAGAAATTAAGAGTTTTCTCCAGACATCGAGACAAGAGCTGACGAACTGGACTTCGGATCTCCTGTTCCTTGGCCGGGTCAGCCCGTTATGCTCTTAGGCAGGACTCTTTATTGGCAAGGCCCCTCTTCAAACAGAACTGTATGTTATTAGCGGTTACTCACGCGGAATGGCAAGGTGACCGCTTAACACAGGTTGGGCGCACAACAAAGGTTCCACAGAAGAGGGGCAGTATATGACAGAAAAAGATAAGATCAAAAACGCCATTTCATGCTATAATTTATCATTTAATGCACAAACGCTCGCTCAAAAATGTTAATAACATTAATTTTGTGTAAGAAACATGGATTAAATTTTACTTGAAAGATTATTCCTAGTTCTGTTTGGGTGGTTCTACTTTAAGTGACCGGTCAATAGAGGAGAAAATTAAAGTGATGAAGGGGAAACAAATTCGGGACCGTGGCAACCTATCGCTTAATACAGGGTGCCTGCTTTAACACAGGTCTGACCCTATCATCTCATTGAAGGGAGAGGCATTACTGGCAGGACACCGGTACAAGCTACAGCAATACTGGGTCGCTAGTTTCGTCATACCAAACCCTGAAATTCAAGGTACACTTATGGAGAAACCTCGAGTATTGTAATTTCATTTCTTAACCCTCTACATCGTACGTTTCGGGTTTTGCTATACATGGAATAAGTCTAGATCCTACATTACTTGTAAAAACGACTTATTAGATGACACTTAACAAACTGGGCTTTTCAATCTTCTGTTGGTCTGGACATCTGGACAAGAAACTGAATATTGGAAGGGTATCAACACAACAATAACATCAAAAATAACAGCACACAAAAAAAACTGTCACAGGATCGTGAAGCGTGCATAAGTCTTGGATGTTTTTGCAGATCAACAAAATTAGACAGATATCTTCGACTACGAGGATGTAATTTTATTCAGCATTTCCATTTCAAGCATGTACACATATTTCACGAGGTTTGCTAAAAAATCTATTCTAATACTTGTTGTATGTGTGAGTGCAACTTGGGAGGGTTCCTTTGGGTACATGATATGCGGTTAGAGACGCACAACGGAACACATGCTCGAATTTTAAACATGAAGGAGAGAAAATAGATCACAAGCACTCTACTTCTTTCTCCGTCCAGATTTTTTCCTGACCTCGTTTGGATTCCGTCTATTCTGATAATCTTGAGCACCTTTCAAGTGATAACCGAGTTGCGAGGCGCGGCTTGTTACATCTTTCGCGGCGAATGGTGAGCTGCGCGCGATGTAATTAGGATCAAACACATTCATGTTATCTTTCTTCCGCGGGAGACGATGCTGACCACGGGGTTGGTCCTCAGTGAGGACTGGGTTGTTACTGTGGCGACCGCCTTGGGGCCGAGGGAGGGGGAACTGAAAAAAATTAAGAGAAAAAGGGAACAAGTCAAGTAAATTTTAGAAACACAGAAATCAATCTCTTTAGTTGCATAAAAGATGACGTTTTGCGAGAGTTTTTATGTTTCACAGGAACAAAGATCCACCGTTCGAGTTTGGGCAGGAAGCTGATGAATGCCATGTCATGTACATGCAGCAAAACAATAGCAAGAAAGATATTAATCACATAAACACCAGTGAAATACCAGGTGAACTTTCGCCCGAACACGTGATATGTTCATACGTGAAAATAAGGTTATAGCGGGTTTCGCCCATAACGAGTTTCGCACATATCGTTTCGCCCAGAACGAGAATGGTTTCGCCCAGAACAATAAAGGTTTCGCCCATGAGTAAAACTTCTACACTCTCACTCGGAAAACGTCAACCTTATAAACGTTTGTATGCACAGAATGAAGAAAAGTGACTTGACCTGAGATCATGAAATTTTGAAACGAACAAGTTACTGTTGAAACGAACAAGGCAATTATAGCTTTCACTGTGGAGCGGGGATTGTTAAGGTAATTCGCGCACGAAATACTGCAGAGACGTCCGTTTGTCGTAAAAGCATTGCTATGATTTTTTTGCATCACTTTTCTTCTCGAGAATTAAATTAAACGCTTTTGAAAACACTTGCGCGTGGAACATATCATCGTTGCAAATCTTTTGTACACGGAAGATAAGTTCCGCACGCCAGCTTATGAATACATGTGAATACGGTTTCGTGAATACTAAAACAAAGGAATCGAGAGTTAAAGATTGTATTTCTGACATAGGTAACGGCAACATATAATTGGAAAAGATAGAAACTAGTCAAGTTCATGAGTGCGCGCGCGTGGAATAGCTTTACTACTCCGACGAAGCGTGCGGTACGAAAGCTTTAACTTAAATCGAATTTATGCCTGGGCGAAACCATTCTCGTTATGGGCGAAACGCTTCTTGGGCGAAACTCGTTATGGGCGAAACCCGCGGATACCGAAAATAACATCTTATCTTCACAAGTGAAAATAACACCGTTGGTTGCATAATAAATCGCGCCTTTCGCTGAAATAGTAAAATGATTATGTTTTTCATTGGTGTTTATAAAATAAACAGAATGATGCATGGCCGCTTGAACAAGCAAAATTTATCTTCAAGACCCGAAGAAGAATTTCAAAATGTTATATCCTTTACGAAACACCATCACTTCTCTAACTTGTGGTAGACAGAAGACAGTTACAGGGTAACTGATGCACAGATGGACATTCAAGTGTGTCAAGACAGTAATATCAAAACCCGTTGAGTGTTAATGCTACAGTATACGGCGAGTGAAATGCAAATGAAAACATGGAACAGCTTGTTCACCGATACATGTACATGATTTGATTCTTACCTAAATTATACTAACATTAGAGGGGAGCTCGCCTGCTCGGGGAGGGGGAGATTAATGAGGGGGGACTGGGACAAAAAAACTTACATACGATGGAGCTTTAAGCCGGGATGTTGATGTGTGCAAAATGATCTTCACGAAAATATAAGCAAATGTAGTTTAACTGATGTATACAACATTATGAAATGAGAATATCATAGAAGCCTACAACAAATATTATAAGCCACCTACATACTTGACAAAGTTTGTGACAGTTAAAAGTTATGCTTATCAGAAACTACCTTTTTTCCTCTGATGTTAAACGGTTTCTTTCTGTTAGGCAGATGGTAATGGGTTATACCATCCTCATCAACACTAACAGACACCTTCACCAAAGTCCTATTACCACATGATGGGCAGAACTTTTTCTCCAGCTGACATGTCACTCTAAATTAACACAACAACAAGCAAATCCCACATTTGTAAGTGCCTCTGGACATTGACAAATATGCTGTTACAAATCCTGATCCCACCTTCCAATGTAGAGGATGTACAGAGTGCACACCAGGAGCTGCAGTGAGACAATATCTACTTTGGAATGTAAATTTAGTTTTTATTGGATTTCAAACATCTGATAATCAAACAATTCAGTGATGCCAGAAAATAAAGCAATCTGTTATCACTGTCTTTAAAACTGTATACAAAGATCTCTGCAGCTGGATTTGTAAAAAATTCAACACCAAAACTTATAACTCCATGTGTCTCCCTAAAAGAAGTCTCCCCTCTACCTTCAACACAATTCCTTGTAGATCAGTTGAGAGAATTTGATGTTTAATCAAGATAACCCCCTCCAGCTGATAATTAATTTTTGTCTTCTTTCCTCATCTGTAAATAACTGCAAGGGGGTTATGGAGTTCATACGTTTCCAATTTGTGTTTCATTTTAATCAACTTGTTTCTTCCTTTTTTCTGCATTTCTCCAGTAGCACAAATTCATAACACTTAATTAGTAAAATCTTCAAGTTTTCAACTAATCCGCAGTTAAAAATGAACTCACCTGAAACAAGCATAGCATTTCAACACATAACTGCGCGCTTCCCTGATTAGCATACCATCAAGCGATATCACATGAAGACCCATTTGAATCAATACATTCTGAAAGAGAATGACAAAAGTTGCAGCCAAACTCCTTTTAAAACTGTGCTTGTAACTCTTAGTGATGAACACTTCATTTCTCCCTATAATATCCATACATTATCCGGCCACCAGGTGATGAGAACCGGTTAGAATTTGTTATCTTGATCTAACACCAAACTCTTGAAACTAATTTACAAGGAAATGTGTAGCAGCTAGAGGGGAGAATTAACAATCAGATCTTGGGAGTTAAAGGGCTAACACAATTTTTTTGTCTCTCTGTTTAGCTTTGCCAACATTTTTTTCTGAACATCATTTCATAATTTCTCTGTCACTAAGGTATTGACAAAAAAAGGTGATGAAGTAAGTTGATTTTGTTATGTACGTTTTGCATTTAAAAATTTTAATACCCGTTTCTTTTAACTTAAAAATGTCTAAATGACTGTAAATACAGGAAATACAGGAAAATCATATTTGTGAACTGCAGTTCACATAATTATATGATTTTCATATATTTACAGCCATTTACTCATCACTTCACTGATTTACTACAAACCAACATCATGACCAGCTCCCAGTTGGCTTGTTAGCTCATTTGATAGAGCGCTGCACCACTATCCCTGAGGTCATGGGTTCAAATCCCATACAGGTCTAAATCTTTTTTTTCAGACCTTAGTTTCTCTATTGCTTAAGTAGTGTTTATTACTCTGAAGATCACTTCCAAATTCATTTAAAATGTCTAGCTATCAAAAAGTTATCTGCCATAACCTACAACAACAAATCAATGTAAAATACAGAGAGATATGGTATGATATGGTTAAATAACATGTGATTAGGCTTGAGGTGGCAATTGTGGAAATGCTTAACTGTAAGAATTCCTCAGTCACAACAGAATTACGGACAATCTCTATTACCTGCATTGCAAAATCAGTTGTAAGGCAGCCTACAGTCACATTAGCTGGCAAAGCATCCTGGCTTCCTTTTCCCATCTGATTCTTAATTTGCTTTATGTTATCAGGTGTAATCCAACCATCATCATCATCATCATCATCATCATCACCATTTTCAAGCTCACAATCCTCCTCAATATCACTGTCTAAATCATCCTCACCATCAACATTGTTATCATTTTCCTCAAATCCCTCATCATCATCTTTAGAATCATTTAATGTTGGATCATTTGCTGTCAGTGCCTCCAAACCAGTTGTAATTTCCTGAGCAGTAGAGTCATTGTTTTTATCAATTTCAGCAGCTGTGCTTATTTCAGTTCTTGATGTATCAATTGCATTTGTCTCACATTCATCACTTGTATTTGGTGTATTGTTCTGTTGTCCATCTGTTCCTGTAGTTTTATCACTGTCAACTGTACGGCACACTGTTCTTTCATCTCTTAGCTCAGTTTCTTCACTTTCCTCTTTTGGCTTCTAAGAGGAGAGAGAGACAATACATACACCTTCTTCAATGGTTTCATACAATATAATATGCACTGATGTTTTGCAAGTCATGTAGTACTTTTCCAAGCCCTGTATGGGCCAGGAAAAATACAAGCAATGGGTAAAATGGCTGTTCATATAGTGTGTGAACCATTGAATAAGGTATTTATAATTCCATTCTGATTTCATTTTTGAGTATTTAGACATCTAGTTTTCAAAGTACAGTCTATCTGACCACAGTATTGATCCATTGTGGCCTGTGTAAAAATTAAAAAGAACCCAAGTGAAATCATTAAAATGCTTTTAACATAGTGTGAGACCAAAAAAAAATTTGATGCACTTAAAAGTTGGGTCATTTAGTGCAGCTATTTTCTTGCTACACTTTCCAACCATATTTTTTTCCATTCTATAGCAATGCATCATACTTCAGTGTAATGGCACATTTTGTGTGTTCCACTGCCCTGATATGATAAAATGGTGTAACAGTGGAATAATCATTCTGAGCCAGGTGATCATAAAGGAATTGCATCACATAATATTTGAAAATCTTGGGTGATAGAAAGTTCTAATAGTGATTAAAAGATCACAGCAACATATCAGGAAAAGAGAATGAAGCCTTAGTGTTAGAAATGAAAATATACAATAGTTTAATATATGATGGTACACTCACTTTTTCCACAAAGAAGCCGGGGACTGTCTTTCCTGCAAATCCTTGAGTTATTTCTACCTGGATTTGGTAATGTGTTGATATCAATAACATTTTCAAAAAACATTTTATGGCACACTGTACAAGGTGAGTTGTCAGAGACACTTATTAGAGGGAGGGGAGGGGGGCATTTGGTTAATTTTTCTAACATCAGTGCTACAGTACATAAAAGTGATGCAGTTTGGTCTCTAAGCAATTTTTCCAGATCAAATATGTGCATCTTTGGTTTAGTGATCATGACCACTCATCCATAATGGTCAGGGGAGGAGAAAGGGGCACTTCTCTAAGGAAATGAGACACATTTTAAAGTATTTCTGATTTCAAAGAGACCCTTTCTTGAAGGGCAAGTGGTAGTTTGAAGATTTGCAGTGTGGTTATCTTGGTTGGTAACTTGGGTGAAGACTGCATCATACAGAGTACAACAGATACTTTTCCTAAGGAAATGTAGATGAATGGGTTTTACTTAATTAGATTCCATAAGGGAGGTAATAGAAGAGGGTGGAGGGGTGGGGAACTACTCCTTTGGTAATCCACCTCACACACAGTCAACATGATCATGCAAATCAGAGAAACTGTACAAAAGCACTCATTCTAAGTATTCTGCCTTTGATTACCAAATGGACTGACTATATCTAAGTAGGACTTTAGTACATTGAATCTTATAAGTTCTAACCTGTTTGGTGGGTTTGGTCTTAATGTGATCAATGCCACAATGTTCCTTTTCTAGTTGATATGTGAGAGCCAGGACCTTTAGGTCAATGACAGAAAGACTTCGAAAATCTCCTGTCTGCTTTGCAAATTCAGTCACTAAGAAAATTAACACAGTTTCAATGACAGCAAGAAGGAAGAAAAGTTTACAAAATAAATGACAACAACTGTGAATTGATCCCCATGTATGAGCAGAATTCTGAAGTTTTTGCCACTGAGTTGCTATCTCCTCTCATTTCTAAAACCCATGCACCCTTAACCCCACAATGCACCTACCATGTTAGACATTTTCCGATATCTTCAATAAGATCAGTATGGCCTGCTGATAATACCTCCGGGAAAACTTAAATATTTTGTGTACATGTACCATCACTGATGTTAAGTCAACTCAATAGTCCTTAACCTTTGGTCTGATACAGTCTTATTATAATTTTATCTCACTGCACACTATTTCAATTGTTCTGTGCCTCTTTCTTTCTGTGCGTCTTCTGGACACGATATTAGAACTTTATAGACTACTTAAATGTAACAAATCTATTCTAATACATCTTCAATTTGGGTTTTCATAAACGGGGCTTGATTCTAGCGTTATGGTCTTCCTTATAGAGAAGTCCGTCAAAAACACGTTTGTTTTAGAGTAAATATGAGAAAGAAGTAAGGAATTTGTTCGATGTCCAAAAAGCAAGGGGTCCATTTGATATGGGATCCGCATAATATAGATTTCATCGCTCCTAACTCACCCGCATGTAGTGCTTCTGTTGACGGCTCTCTGAAGTTGATTTTGTATGGCAACACAGCCAAACGCTGTCTAGTTGCTGCGTCTCTGATCTCATTAACAACATCCTCAACTGTATGCACATTTTCACACATTTCATGAAGCGGTGCATTTTTCAAAAAAGCGGCCGAATCCGCCACAATGTGCTTTACTTTACCACTGTCGTCATTAGCCATCTGATCCGCCATCTTGGTTCCTCGTGTTTTCGATTAGTAGCCGCTGACCAATATTTAAAAATTTTAAATTGCGCAACTAAACGCAACTTGACTCAACTTTGAGAAAGCCTCACCAATCGATAATTGATTGATTTCGGAAATCGATCAGTCTACAGACGTTTTTCATCGATTTCTCTTTATGGACAAATGTTCCCATATACATAAACGTGGAAGGTTCTGAAGATGACGATTATTTTTCATAAAACATTTTATTTATCATTATGATCGATGATCCTAGTTTGGTAAAATTTACCAGTGGGCTGGTACGTACCAGAGTAAGCAATCGTATCTTAGGTAGTTTGAAGCCGTTATGGATATAGGATTTCCATAGTCTCACTTCATGAATTAAGGTTGAGTGTTTTTTGTCATATATCATCATGTCGACACTAGGTTAATACTCTTCTAAGATTTACGTTTTGTGAATGGTTACATTTACTTATCACTATAGGTGATTGTTTTTACCTAAGGTTCCTACAGTCCCTAAGGGTGGGACCACTGCTCTACTACGTGGTACATGTTCCCCGTTTTTCCCACCAGCTCAATACTGTTACAAATCAAGTACCGATCTGAAATCACAACGCAGCCGTCGTAAATACAGCTGCGCATTAAGCAAATGGAACTCATTCGGGAAGGAAAGTAGGGTGAAGTCTGTTGACGAAAATGACGATAGAACGGTAATCATCTCAGTCTGGATCTAGACTCCTCGAAGGTAAACAGGTCGAATAAGTGAGGGAAGGGAGGAAAAAAGCACGGGAAGTTATCCACCTGCGAAAATGTCCATTGGGATAGCCTCGACTCTAGTGACCAACCAGCTCGCTCAAAGCAGAATTTTCTTCTTTACACCGGTCCTGACAAACGTGTAGGCGAGGTCTCTTGCCTATCATTTCACCTTTTAGAAAGAACCTACCAGAAAGGAGGTATGATGGTAAACGGAATGAAACTGAAACTGAGGCTCCGTCAGACTCCTATGACGAAAAGTCTATCATTCTGACAGAATGCAGTTAGTCGCAAGTAACGCAATTTTTAACGTTTGTGTATGAACTTGAGTGATATCTGAGAGGCATTTTAAGTAAACTTCACAGTAAAACTGTTACCGCCATGAGTCAAAAGAGGTCAGGAGTTACCTCTTTTTGAAAAGTTGGAAAGGGCACTGACTATATAACTGGTACGAAAGGTAGACATCCACTTTACACATCGTCACTATGGACCAACAAGTCACAAAGGCCGCACCTATCTGGAATTCACTTTCACTAGAAAACTTAAGATATCTGTAGATAGAGTCGAGATAGGACTTATATCTCCACGCAAGTCAAAACAATATATGTTTTATATAGCTTTCGATTTATTTTCTCGTTAAACCCATTGTACACAATTTATTCAGGTCTCTTTAGAGCCATTTGGCGAGCCTCAATTGCAAGCAACAATCCTCAGTAAACGATTGACCTTCACTTGAATATCACAAAAAGAATATAAATTTGATTCCAGCAGACTGATCAGTTATGCGGCATTTGCAATTCAAATACATACATCTCCCTCGTCTAATACAACAATTAGTTATTGTGATAAACTTGCCGAGAAAGCAGTCGGTATTCTTCAATAACAAAGTTTGTGTAGGCCTCTAGGTCGGCGCCTGCATCAATCAGCCATTCACAGCAGTCAAAGTTTCCAGTTGTAACAGCAGCGTGTAAAACTGGCCAACCAAATTCGTCCAAAGCATTGACGTCATCTCCCTCCTCCACCAATAGTTTAATGCTGTCTAAATCTCCCTTTGCGGCTGCTCGATGAAGGCAAGAAGAGGAGCTGGCAAATTCCAATTGCTGCATTCGAGAGAAAGTCTCAGTAACTAGTTTGTCGAAGAGTTCTAAGTTATGTTCAAAAATGATATGTTGTCGGTTTTCTTCTGTTTTGCTTTCAAAAGAGCTGCTTTCATTGACATCCGACTCAGTGAGATGATCTTCAGCTTGCTCCGATACGCCTGAGTTATCGTTAAGTGGCGTGGAATCTATTGTTTGGTTAGAATGATTTTCACAAAGATAATTTGTCACATCTTCAGTATCTCCTCCGTCACAGCTTGCAACTTCATCGCAGTTTTCAGACTCATTTGGTTCCTCAGGAATTTTTTCCATTTTGAAAGAACAGGGTATAGAGAATCCTCGAGGTCTTGGAACAGGTGGCAAATCAAAACAGTATGCCGAGGTTGAAATTCGCAACTCAAGTTCATCACCTTCTGAACTTACGTCACTTTTTGTTTCTTCGTTTGTTATTGTTTCTTCATCTGAACAGCTCTGTATACTTTCATCTCCCACACCGCTAACTGCATCATAAACCTGCCTTCCCTCTGCAGTGGCAGCTTCTGGAATGTTCATTACTGGAGGTTTCTCAAAGTTAAGATTTTTTTTCCCTTCAAAGACATTCGGGAGTGATTTCGACCTTTTCCCCCGACCCACATGGAATCCATCACCAGCTTTCTGCGAGAAAAACATATCTAAAGCTTTCTTTATTTGTTTTTGAATACTGTCTGTTTGTTTCTGTTGCCCATCTGTTCCACAGATAGGAAACGAACTCGCTCTTTCTAACAATGCCTTTTGTTTGATCTTTCTGGATCCTTCGTTGAGCAGTTGTTTCCGTTCGGTCACAACTTTGCTATTTTCGATAGAATCGCTACATTTTAATCCAGTGTGTGTGGTTTGAGTATAACTTGGAAGTTCAGACTCTGTCAAACCTTCGTAGATAAAAGGCAAAGATTTCACTCTTCTAGTTTTTTCTTTGAGCTGGGGTACCCTTTCGTGACTTTGTAAATTCCTTTGTTGAACACGTTTGATTAAGTTAAATGACGTGTTAGTTGGTAGAGATTGTGAGCGATTTTTGCGTGATAATTTTCCTTGTCGTGACTGTTCATTCGTGTTCTCGATTTCACCGACTGCGTGGCGGAGACCATGTTTGCCATCCTGGTGCTTAGAATATTTATCATTTGAAGAAATTTTGGCTTTACCAACAAACCGTGAACTTGTCATAGGCGATGATTGACTTCTTCGCGTTTTAGCTTTCAAGCCTTTTGGAGCAGCTGAGTGTAAGTCGGTTATAACTTCTTTAACAAAATTATCACTTTTTTCAATGAAAGCCGGTTTTCTTTGTTGTAAAAAGGAGGGCAACGAATTCCTTCTTCTTCCAAAGTTTGAAAATAATTCATTCTCCTTGCCCTGTTCAGTGCGATGCAACTCAATCATAGTCAGCCTGTCAAAGTCGCTAATCAAACTGCCAAACTTGTCCGAATGTGAAGAATCAATACTGGATGAATTTGTCAAGTCTGGTGTTTGTTCTTCTCCAAGGTCGCCAATCTCATATGGTAATGAGATCTCAGTGGATGATCCCGAATGTAAAGAATCCTCTTTATTACAGGAATCTATATTGGCTGTCTCTTGCGCCTGATCTGTTACTGTATAATCACCCGGTGTATCTTTACTGTAAATTATACCAGATGCCTGTTCAATGAAGGCATCTTCTCTTTTCGTCATCATCGAAAAGGATTCACAACGTTCTTGTTCAGCGTGAACATCATGACGTTGCGGATATTCGTCCACTTTAAGAAGTGAGTGAGATATTGTCGTTCCTGTTGGTGAAGATTCTAAGGCATCGTTTGTAATGTCTACCTCACTGGTTGAAAAAGCCCTCGGCGTTGCCTTTTCGAGGATCGCATCTTGTTCTTGTTCACACGGCTGTGTCGAGCCGGTTTGTGTATTTCCCATAGTTCTTGATCGCCTTCTTTTCTGATTTCGTATTAAGCCACCACTTGAGAGTCTAACCTTCGGCCGAGCTGTGTCTTCAGGCGATCGAGTTTCACAAAATCTTGAAAATATTTCACTCGATCGTCTTTCAATCAATCCAAGATCTTCTTTTTGATCCAATACTTTCTCTATCTGCGACAAAATTGGAACACTATTAGATCGCTTTCTTGTAAAGCCTTCCATTTTGAACGGGAAAGAATTATTCCCTCATCAATTTGGAATTAAACTTATCAAATCCTGTGAGCGGCAGCAGTGACAGAATTGTGTATTTTAAGAAGTTATTTCAGGGCTTTGTTATCACGGCTGGTCCACGTCACATGCATGTGAAATGAAGCGTTGAGCCGCAATACCCGTTCGGGTCAGACTTATCATTGTCTTTTATTATGACACGTTAAGAGGATATATTCAAAGGCTTTTATCTAGAATATTGGAGCTGAATTACAAATAAAGAGCAGGGTACAAAAGTCGCTTTTGGCATGAAAGGGAGAACAGAAGTAAAAGCCTCTCTGTAATGGCAAATAAATTTGACACTAATAACAAAACATCATTAAAAAAAACGTCTACCCCATTCTAGAGCGATTATAAGTCAGGAATATAAAACTGTCGCAATTTATTTGCGACATCATGGACTTACCAGTCAGAATTTTGCGGTTTTTAGGTTAATCACGTTGATGTACCGTTGGCAGTTTTAACGTCTCGCTAACAATCATTATTCAATATCCAAAAAACCTGTTTTCAGTGCAATTGTTCCAGTTAAGACATCGCGCTCTCATTGGTACACGGCAAATAACAGCTGTTGAACACTTAGAGATAGCTATCTCCTAGGTAACTAACCTTGTAAGAAAAATCGAGTCGGCAACGTTCACATTTCTTAATTCGTTTTTTTGTTACAGAAAAATTAATAATGACAAATACGCTCTTTTAAGGAGAATGTCATGTTGTCTTGTGTCGGAAAAATTTCTTTAAAGAGAAGGAAAACCTTATGACAATTCCTTGGCGCGTAGGATCTTCCAAAGAATGATATGAGAAATTATTTTTAAGGTGAAAGGATATGGAAAAGTGGTTGGGTTGGTTTAAAGCAACAAATATCCTTAAAAGGAAGAATCTTAGTTCGTTTTCTTAATGTCATTTCGCCGATTAATAAGGGTGTCCCACTTCCTGATTAAGGTAACCAAGGAGGGCACGTCACGCGTGTCACATTCACCTCCCACGATTGACGGCTCACAATGCTTGTCCGGTCTCTTTTCACTGACTAATGGAGCGAAAAGAACTCTAGATCTGACTTAATCATGAGAAACCGAATCGAAATGTGCTCTCAAAAGCCCCACTAGCAATCAAACTTTACTTTTGAAGGTATCTGAAGGAGACGAACTCCCTGTACGCATCAGAAACTCTAATCGAACTTTCATCAATCAGTGAGGAAGAATCGTTAAGTTAACCCTCTCGTAAGCCCCAACGGATGATCTAAAATATGCAAGTTCCTCTCGTTGCCATGAGAGCTGTTAGACGGTGTTACCCCCTGCCAACCTGGTGTGCACCGCGCTTTCTATCAAAAACATTACGAGCTCTGGATCTCCATCGCATGGTAGTTTATTACAGCGCCGCCCAAATAGACAATCATGCAATAGACTAGACCACTAGTCGTTCCGCGGAACTTAACAACAAGAGAGTCTCCTGTTTTTGATTCATTTTGCTTAAAACCGTGCACAGATAGGCTGCCCACTTTTCCAAATATCTATCACGGAGTAGGTTGCGAGTAGCGTGTAAAAAAGATTGCAGCGTCCGAAGATGTTTTAGTAATGGGCGTTACTCTGAATTTCATTGCAAGCATTGAAAACGCGGAATGGGTTGTCTCTATGGAGAAAACGAAAGGTCTTAGGGGGTTTGCTGAACATGAACTTCTGTTACAAAATTTAGCTAAGTAAATAAAAGCTTGAAAAATAACCTCCTTAACATCGTGAAAACGATCAACACACAAAGCAATTACGAAAGAAAAAAAGGATGCAAGCAAATGACCAAGATTAAAAACAAAGATTTCTCACCACGGAGGCATTTTAAAACTATTCAGCCTGTTCTTAAACCAGCGAAAGTGACGCTATTTAAAAATGTTCATACGTTATAAATATGTCAATTTCCTGCCAACGTTCAATTTTATGGCGAATTATTAGCAAAACCTTAAACAAAGTTAATTTAACTGGCATGACACAATCCACTTAATCAAGCGTCAAAAGATACCCTCCCCTGTAATGATCGATCAGTGTTTTGCCATGTACGTACTCAGGGACACTGAATATTTCTTTTAAAATAAGGTGAAGCCGTGACGAGACATTCTTCAATTCTATATTCTTTACTCACTGTTTCTGTAGCTAGTAAATGCCTTCAAATGGTACAAGAGAGACGGGAGATCAAATTGTGAGATTTGGGGAAAGCGAAAAAGTAATTATTGATCAGATGTTTCGTTCAACGACTTAATTTACCACTAGAACTTTTAAAAGTAAAATTTCTCTGTGCGTTACAGTGTCAACTGCATATTTAAACACTTGAAATCTGTTTCATGATGGTAACTTTTTCGTCTGTTCATTTTGCTCTATAACGCGTTAAAATATTTTCGAGATCCACTGTCTCTTACAGGATAAATTTGCCAATGACGACACCGAATATCAAGGCTAAGACGATGTAGGCAATAACCGATGGCGGTAAATTGACGCTGTCGTCTGGTGCAAGGAGTGTAGATACCTTGGGCGATGAACCCTGTGTTGTTGCGGAAGACTGGGAAGCCACATTCTTCCTGTACCGAACTTGATCCATTTCAGCCTGCTAAGACAAAACATCACTGTTACTACACGTACCAGCAATGGGAAAAAAAAGGACACAAGTCTTTTATACATGAAAGAAATCTTAGTTGGATAAATAACTTAAGTTGCCATACTGAGCAAATCTCCATGTCCAAAGGGGGAGGATTTTCTAGCCTTGAGGACTCGACAGGGAGGCCTCTAAAACAAAATACAAAAGGTAACGGGAAATTTTATTCTCCACCGGGTTTCCTTTGGCAAGTACTGTTGACAATTTTTTTTCATTACGTCCTAATCAAACCGAGACAAGAAATGAGCTTATCAGGGAAAACTTTGCACGAAAGAGCAGTTTGACAATGGTAAATTTTAGTTGCATAAACTATAGGGTTAGGATGTCATTGTACAATACATACCCTAAGATCACTGTTTTCTTTTCTCAGCTTTTCTAACTCATCGCTGTAGCCTCTTCCTTCATCCACACCCTACCAAAAAATTCACAAAATCATAATCAGACAAAAATCGAGAATGAAACAGCATCGATGGAATGTTTCAGTGATAAAATTGAAGAATCATCTTTTCCTCAATAAGCGTTGATTCTTAAGTTTATTTCAAAGACATTTTCAAAACAAATACTCCTTCAATAAATTAAACAGAACATAAAAGTGTAAATAAATATAAAGATTACTCTAGCAAGGATGGTGGACTGAACAAGGTGTTCTTTGGACATTTAACATGAACACAGCTACAAACTCTTTCTATTGCTTAAACAGAAACGTTTCCCTCTCTTTAAATTGGTAGGAGGAAGGTGGGCACTTATTTAAGAGGGGTGCTTGGCTTATTTGGGGGAGGGCACTTATTAGAGTATGGGCGCTTGTGTGAGGAAATAGAGTACTTTAAGAACTTGCTTACCCATCCACCCTGCTGTCAACATTGAGAGCCAATGCTAAATACTCCCATATTGTCATTTAAAAAAAAAAAAAATACACCTTGTAAATAGTAGGACCTCCCCCCCCCCCAACACAAAAAAAAAAAAAAAAAAAAAAAAAAAATCCCAAGACCATTGGTTTCTCCATGCACATCCATTGGACAGGATTACCAGTTTTTCAGTTACATCTACTTTCGTCAGTTCATAGAACTTTAATTTATTGCATGAATAGAAATGGAATCATCATGCTGTTAGTGTAGCAAACTAATTCATGCAATCAAAATCTTCTTGCACCATACTCTTAAAGGATGGTACCTGCAATGATCTTGTTGATGTTGTAACCTCCACTCCTTGCTCCTTATAAGGGCTACCTGGAATGTTAGTAGAACTAGGGGCTGGGGTCTCGAACTCAGCCATAGTCTCTGTCTTGTGAACCTTGAGCTGCTCTTTGTTTGCAACCTCATTTTCCTGCCATGCCACAAGAGATCCAGTAGTAGAGGAAATTAAAAAGTGTAAGCACAAGGTAAAAAATGTATACAACAATTGCTGACTGGCTATGAGTTGATGTCAAATTTCTCATATCCACTGTAAGAATCAAGAAGCATAGATATAAGCTGAAAAAGCTGACAATCACCAGTTATTTTTAGCTATGAACTGTGGTGCATTGTGCAAAATAGTTACCATTTAAAACTGTGAACATTTTTCACCCTAAGTAGTTTCAAGTGATGCTTAATGCATATGAAGGCTGTCTCTCTCAACGATAAAGCATGTTAATTTTTTTAATTTTGCCTGTCTGTAACAAGAATTTAAAAATCATTAAAAGCTAAGACTTACACATGTTATCAGAAAAGTGAAAAACAGAAACAACATAGAAAAGCCGTATTAATTACAGTTCCGAAAGTTTATGGACAAGATTAGTACATTTTTGTAAGAATCGTCTTAAGACAGGTGATTTGACGAGCTCAATGTCTTGAAAAAAGACCACAAAGACTGACAACTGGAAAAAAAGGAATCCCAAAAGTTATTAAGCAAGTGGATTCTTTGTATGTGAGTGATGGGCAAGCCCATTTAAACCAGGAGAACTTCTATTATTTGAACATGATACAGGTACATGTAAACATATCTTTTAAAGTACTCAAAGAAAAGACAGAGAGCTCCTTCAAAACAACTTTCCCATAGAAACAATGGATAAGCTACTGATAGCCCTGTGTGAAGGAACTTTCACTAAATCCAAGTTGACCATGTTGTCATTAACTTTTACCCTCTGCCAATTTTTACAGCATTAGACATCTGGCCATCAAGCAAGAATCTCTCAAACCATCCCATGGTAGAGACCTTGCATAACAGCACTTACATTTCCTCCTACAGAAGTCTCTGTATTGCCTTCTCCATCATCTACATACTCAAAGACACATTTCAGTTTAGAATCCATAAATTGACTCTGGTCAGCGTCTTTCCACTGTCAAAAATAAAAAAAGTAAAATACTTAACACAAAAGTGTGATATAAACATGTACTACATTGTTGTTTTATTAAAGAATTGATCTGAATGCCACGGGATTTCATGTGAGGATACCATTTTGGACTCACTAGCACCCACTGCCTATGTTGGGTGATTATCCTGTGGTAAAGTGACCAGTCTGCATAAAATTTCACAAAGTACACACATCTCCATTCAGTTAGAATTGTATTACACAGATTAAAAAAACTTGATAAGCATTTGTTTAAGGTATGAAATAGAATATTCATTCTATGTACAAGTTGCCATTCAGAAGGCAGCTGTTGTTGACCTTACAAACTTCTTTTTCATCATTGGGCAGAAAGATTACCCAAAAGGTTTCTTGAAAAGTTTGTGAACAGTGAATTTTTGTGTTCATTCCCATGTCCCTGGACAAGATTCAGCATTTTTACCAACTGAGGAGAAATAGCTAACTTCTAATTTGATGCTACACATAGAGAGAATGCTGTAAGCTAAGAAGAACTGCTAGTTAGGGATAGGTTAATTGACAGTGGAATGATATTTTGTTGGTTGAGAAAACACTTCTCTAAGGCACTTCATTACACTTTGATTATTGCTGTTTATTAATAAACAATTACCTCCAGGTACTCCTTTAGTGCGCTTTGGATACGAGATGGTATATATCAAATGAGGCATATGGCACTGAGTTAGCAATAACAAATCTCACATCCAAAAAACACAAATGGAACAAATGTTTTATTAAATTTCATTACGTCCTAAATGTTTGGATATTTCGAGCTTTTTCAGCCTTGCAATATTTGGTGCAATGCATTTCCATATCAGTTGACTCGCGATATGAGCTGATAACCAGAGTAGAGTGAAATAATTTTAACACTAGAAATGCAATATTTGTCATTAGAAATTTTATAATCCAGATATTTTTCTAAGAAAGGGGCTGAAAGGATCCCTGTTCCTGGTTCTGAGATGGAAGATGTATATTTTCCATAATGTATCAGAAAATAACATGCTTAGAAGGGACCAACTAATCAACCTCATCAATATATACTTGCAGTTGAGAAATGTGTAATGTGCAACAACCCACCAAAGTTTCATGATCTGCATCTCCTTCGGGAGCAAACATTGTCTGCACCATGAACTTGTGCTTGCTTTTTTCCTTGGGGTCATACTCAAATGGCTGTAGCATCACTGTAAGATCACAATTCAAACATCATAAAAATTATATCACATACACTGTAGGCTACAGGCATAAATGTAAAGAGTGGCCTTACTGAAAATTGATAAATTACACAACCTCTACTTGGTAAAAACCTTGACATGATAACAATCATAAGTATATACTGAAACAGTAGATAGCATTGAAGGCTACTGATTGGCTATTCAACCTTTGAATATCCTTTGCTATTTACCTCAAAGAAACTTGCCAGGATTTGTGCCCAAAAATATTATAATTGTTCCAGGATTACACAAGTTAAAATCATCTCTTTTATGCAATATTATATCACTGTTTTAGTATATACTTAAACAACTATTCATCTCAGTGTTGGTGGTGAGTGGCAGATATTTTTACTCCTCCACTATGCAGCTTGATATAGATCCATCACTAGCCACCAATACTGAGATGAATGGTTGTCAAGTATACTCAAAAGTAACCAATCCTGCAGGTATATTAGTATATCTCAGGAAATATCCCTATCTGTTCCAAGTTGTATTAGAAATCACAAGTTGATTAATTTTTACACACTTCTGCATTACTGCCAAATTAACTGGGAAAAAGAACTATTTAAACCTCTTCAACAGATAACCACTTTGAATGAAGCAAAATGATCAAAATTATGAGGTAACTAGCAAGAAATTATTTTTACATATCAACCAAATTTGATAATTGATATCTCTGTAACTGAGCCATGTAAATGGCATTGTAAATGGCCATGATCATGTGAAGAGGCACTTGAAGATTAAATCAAAGTCACAAGGCATAATTCAGTAATAATAAGACATTTTGGGATGATAACAGAGTCAGGACTTAGTGTACATTAAAATTTTCATTCATCTGTCCCATACCTACATAGAGTTCACATGTTTTAACAAAATTCAATTAAATGTTCGGCTTGTTGCAAAATTCAGAACAAAAAGACAGAACAACTTGAAACTTCTGATTAGATTTTGAACTCAAATGAAAAAATACTTTTCAAATGTTAAATCTGCCAAATAATGTATTCTTAAAGGAAATCTTACTTGTCAAATAAATTTTACAATCACGTGGGGAAGCACGCGAGTGCAAGTTTCCACAGGATAACTTTTACCGCAAGTAACCAGGTTTATTCATCGTGCGAGCGAACATTGACATAGGGATGCAAAAAAAATTCTCCTAGGAAAAGATACTCAAGTTTACACCAGAATTTCCTTCTAAAGCAATAGAATTTGCAAATATTGAATCTAAACATTGGAGATGACTGGAGACTAGACATAATAATGATCTGCTTATCACCCGTTCTTTATTGCCTTTCACGCTAAAACAAGTATTGTTTGAAACAACAAGTCACGAGATTTGAAACCGCATCAACAGGTTTAATAAAAATACCATCAAGTACAAAAAAAACTCGTGTAACAAATTGAGTCATTATAACGAAGACAACAATCTTTCTTTTCATCAAGTGAAACCTTAACATAATTTGAAAGGTTATGAACATGCGTTCGGACAAATTTTCAATGTACAATTAAAGAGACCATTGTAAATTTTTTCAAATAAAGAACTAGGTAGTTTCAAAATCTTCTGAACAAAAAGGGACATCGTTATAAAATATGTATTACGATTTTATGAGGTGGGAAGTGAAATTGTTAAACTTACCGGCCACTTCCACCACGCCACCAGCTTCGACAAATCCACTGTTAGGGCGAACACAGTAACGCTTTGGAGCCGTAGTTTTTACTTTAAAACAGACCTTCCTTTCGGAGGGGTTTGTGAGTTTAAGGTTTGCTGTGACGACTTCGGTGAAATTTCCTAGACGTAAAATTGACCAGGTGAATGCATAGTTAAACATAAGCTGTACTTGACTCAAGTCTGAAACGACTAACGATGCAATTTAAAATGACACTACAGAATTACCCCGAAAGCGTAGTTCTGAAGTTGGTTCAAGCCTCAGCACTTGTTCTGACTTCGATTTCGCCATTACTAATCATGGACCACACAGAGGAGGGAAGTCTAAAAATCCACGGTGATTTTCCCGAAAAATTACTCCTCCAAATCTAAACAATATGGCAGCCAACTCGACGATGACGAATGTTGTTGATACTGAGCATGCGTTAAAGTTTGAGTTCGATGACCAAAAGTATGACTAACTCCAGTTCATGCCCAGTCTTGCTCATTCTTGCGAAGATACGTCGAGTTCAAAGGAAGCTTCGCTGAAAGCTGAAAATACTTTCTTTTCCTTCTGAGATTTAACTGCAACCTAACCACGCTATGTGCTTATGGGTGGACCGCGACGTTTCTTTTATTTTGGTTGTAGATCAAAGCAAAATAAATAGAATACAACAATTCCTATTCACTACGCAGGATTTTTTTCCGCGCTATCTATTTTGCGAGCAATTTTTTTGTAATTATTGCCCGAAGCCCTCACCTATTCCCCACTCTGTCTTCAGCTTCCCAGTCGTAGTATTTTAGCAGCGATATAAACAAAACTTCACGTAATGCTTTATATCAACTTTTTAGCAAAAAGGGGCGGCTGGTATTGATTTGTTGAGGGAACTTAAAGAGATAAAGGTCAGAAAAACTATTTGATTTTTGTTCTGTCAATCAATAAGTTACAGTATTTGGTGGAAAGTCTGCTGATGTCAAAGGGACATGACGGGATTTTTCGTTCGATAACAGATTATTTTGAATTTTTTTAAAATAAAGAATGTATCGATAAAGTTAGAAACCCTACACGATGTATGACCTCTACCATAAAAATCAACACTCGTTTCCAGAAAAATAAAACGGCTGAAAAACCACACCTTTTGCGGCGGTTCACACTTATATAGTAAACCTACCGATATACAAAGGTAATAAATAAGACTCTCTGAGTTCCGGATTTTTATAACAGCTTTGGAGATGTCCAGGTGACCTGTTCATAATCGAGCATGTTTTCGTAACACTACCACAGGTACTTCTGCTTTAAATGGGTTCGACAAAGGTTTTGATCCTTGAAAATTCGACCCCTGTTCCGCTCCATTCTTCTGACAGTCCAAGTTATTCCTACAGAAAAGTTTCCAATAATTTCGGAACGTCTTTAAAAGTATTCCCTATCTCCAAAGTGTATCTCTTGGCATGGTGACGAGTCTGAACCAAAGCAAACACGAGTCAATATAATGACCAATCGCAACCTTGAAAAATATCGCAAGGGGCCATGGGAACTCAAGTAAACACATGTAAGTAGCCTCAAAGACGGGAACACGCTCATTTTGAGCCGCATATCTGAAAAGAGTAGATAAAGAGACCGACATTTGTTTCCAAATGAATGAATTTACTGATTCAATTAATATAGGCTCGATATTATAACTTCAAGTATCATTAACATCATTAAACGTCCTCAGCCTAACCCCTTCTAATTCAATTTTAATCACGTTACAGTTTTTAATTATGTCGATGATGCCACTTCGGGTTTGAAGATCCTCGTCCTCCAGTTTTTATTATTTTTCAACGTCCCAGCCTCGCGTTGGGATCGCCTCTCTCCTTAGGGCAGTTCTTACACCAGGACAAAGAGGTCTTTTTGTAATGTTTCCCTCCAAAGAGGAGAACTGCATTGTAGTAGTGAACCGAAAAAGCTCTACAGAGTTTCTTAGTGATATTGAGCCCTTGACACAAGTCGTCCATATCACGTTTAAACGCGCGGTCACACTGATATCGACTCCATTTGTTGCTTTCACCCTACGGGGAAAAAAAACACAAACAGCCGGTTTATTTGTTCTTACGACCACTGAAACTACTAGGTCAAGCGTAATTGTGACTCAGCTCTAAAAGAATCATAGCGGCTTGTAATAAGTGAAACGGTTTTGCCTATTGATTGGCTGAAATTGTGAAGTCGCGACACATTTGAAAGGTTTTTGGTCAGCTTTTCATGCTAATAAACCGTTCAGAAAAGAACCACTGGATTTTGCATATCGTTTGTGTGCAAAGTAGAAGAGATATATCTTACGCAAGCGTAGCAGACATCATGCTTGTTGCAAGCCGGGGTGAAACGTTTCTTGTAGAAGTAAGGAAGATTAAACGGAATGCTGCATCCATTGGGGTGACAAAGAGCTTGAATTTCTTCATAGAACGACATAACCAGTAAGATGCCGAACACCAGAAAGGTACCAACTTTCATATTTCAATACTGAGGGAAGAATAAATATCATGAAATTTAATTGATGTCATCATATTTTTCTAATATTTTGCTTTTATCTCCGACACTATAGTCGAATCAGTCTGCAAGATCAGAACTGAGCAACGTGTGCATGTTATAGACTTTATTGAACGAGATTGTAAGACAGAACATATTCTAGAATGCATTAAGAAAACAAAAACAACTGCCAAAGCAACAAATGCAATTAATCTATTTTTGTAAACTACGGATATGACTATCAACTATAGCTACGAATAATGTTTACTTACAGAACTTTTGAGTCAGCCCGCACCCAGAGATCTTCAAGAAGGCTCTTCCGTCGGGACCCGCAAATTCTAAAATGAGATTAGTGTTGGTGTTAGTCTATTGTAAGCTTTTATACGTCACTCTTGACTCAATATCGTTGCTTTTTTTTCCCATTGATCAGCTGCATGGTTCAACATCACAAATTAAGCTGCAATCTATGATCAAACATCGCCTGGTATGAGTGAATTTTCAAGTCATCATAAAAGATGAAACTCTCCTCAAATACCAGGCCAGACAAATTTGAGGGTATTGAGAAATTTCCGTTGAGAAAATTTACATTAAGAAAAATTTTAAGGTAGTGGGTTTGCTTTGTTGTAGGTTATATAATCATTGTGTTCAGACTTTTCTTGAAAAACTTGTGATAAACGAAGAGATCAGACAATCAGTGAGAGAATATTAAACTTTTTTTAATATCATGAAGAGCAAAATCTCCCACTCATTTTTTAACTCCCACGAGTGATAAAATTGGCTTAGGTGAATCAAAATCGCTTTGTTTTGGAAACAAAATGAAAATATATTTGGTCACTAGGAATGTGAAATAGTCTCTTCAGTGATAGTGGCACCAGAAAAGAGGTGTTTTGACGGCAAGTTCCGCTGCTAATCCAGGTGTGTTCCATGTTGCCATCCGTCTGATAAAAAAGAATGGCACTCAAGTGTGTCACTTATAGTCTTACCACATTTTGATGTCATCAGTGACCATTACTGAATAACAAAGAAGGAAAACGTTTTTAATAGTGATGTCATCTATTCATCTATAATACATCGTAAGTAAGAACCACACAAAATCGGTGTGCATTTCAGCCTATCATATAATAAAAAATTTTAGAGAATTTGATACAGCCTTTGCACGAGATAAATGACTGGGATTCTCGCCAACAAGGAGATATATCACAAAAAAATTTGTAACAAGGGAATATGGATTTCAAAAGAACCCGACATTTAACTGAGATACCATATGAATTTTCCAATCCCACGCATTGCATGACATCGATATTGGAAAAAAAAAATAGGATGCTTGGAAGATTCCAGTTATTCCAAGTGTGAATGGTATTGTCGTCTTCGCTGTATATTTTCTCGCAAGTCACGAAGAAGAATAGGTGAAGAACTGATTCGCGCAGCTCAGCTGCAATTTTAGCAATTTCAGAAAAGAAGCTTGAAAAAAAAAATCATGCTTAGACGGGAATCAAACCCGTGTGCAACGAAGCATTTTGTATTAGCGGTTACGGCATTTGTAAAGGTGAGCTACGCATTTGGTAGTATGTACTAATAGAAGCTTCAGCGTCTTGAAATAATTGTCGGTCTACGCCTTGTGCAGCAACATCCTGACACAAATTGTAATAATCTCAACTTCGCCACATAAATATACAAAATAAGAAAATAAAAGCGGTGGTTTTGAATTATTGACGAGAATACTGTACTTCCCGAAGACAAGTTGAGCACTGCAACCAACTCTGTTGCAAAGTCACTCGTTTGGAGTTTGGCAAATTTTAAAGGACTCTTCTTTCGTACTCTTTCCTGTGGAGGAATCTGATCACAATTTTAATGAAATCAATTTCGAATCCCGTTGAAGCCAGCTCACGCAGCTGGCAGTATTGTGCGTGCTTTAAAGTGTTAAGCTGAAAGCCCAAAGAAGCTTGGGACGAAGTCCCGTTTCTCGTCTTTGCGGCTCCGCTGTTTTTATATTTCAATGATGTTTCACGTTTCCAAGCTACCATATTGCCCGCGTCTCTCTCTTTATCTACTGACAGACAGCCCAGTATTTACGTTAGCAGGAGTTTTTCAGTAGCGCGGTAACTTTGATGAGAGATAAATCTTTGATTAGTGTAAGCCTTCTCTTAAGCTGCAGCATTGTTGTCGAGTTGTGTCATTACGTATGGGCTTCTCAACAGTTCACAGTCAACTTTCAATTTGCTCATCATAGTTCAGGGAAATTAAAATGGAAAAGACAATACCACTTTTGAGGTAGTATCTTGAAAGTCCCACCCCTCTTATAGAATAGAAATGAAATATGCCGAATGGTTTCAATAATTTTTTAAGAGGTCTCACTTCTTTCATGAAGACATAGCGTCATGTCTGTTTAAACAAAGCGATGAACTTTACTATCGATTGTAGAGGTATTAAGGAAACTGCAGTGGCATTTGTAGCGAGCGGATCTCGGGGGATTTGATTCTCGCTGGAGTCATTTTAGCTCGGGTGAATTAAACTGTGCAACATATATTAAACCTCAAATAGAAAAGAGAGAGTTGTCCCTAACGAAGCTCTGAAATGCTGCAGTTTTGAGTGGATGGAACAAGTTATGTATGGAACTAAGTAACCAAGGTATGTAAAGCGGGAATAACAAACTCTTCCGCTGAATGGGCATGGGACGTTTTGGTCAAGGAATACGCATTAGCTTGCCTCGGAGAATTTTCGAAGAATGGATTAGCGAGTAGTAATGCCTTAAATAAGTTGTAGAATCAGTGCAGAAAGTTGAAACTGAGTGCAGAAAGTTGAAATTTGCAAACAAAAGCTTGCACACATGAGACTTACTGTCCAATTACAAGCATTACGTATACACTGCCTGGCGTTAACCAATCACGTTTGATTTTCGTACAGTTTTGATGAAGCAAACACTAGAAAAAAGTGCGCAACATACCACTGTAAAAATCAAACAAAAAAGTTAACAAACACAACGCGTTATTCTGCCATGACAACCAAAGTGAACAAACATTGTGAGATCATAAGCAACCATTTATTTGGAATTATAAAGCAAAAAGTCTTGCGTGTAATGTCAGCTAATACTTGAAGAAAGAAGCTGAAAACGATTGAAAAAATGCGCGGCAAATATTTGTTATCATCTGGCTTGGGCTCCAAAGGTAAAGCTTGTGCGTTATAAAAGGGATAATAATAATGATAGTAATGAGAGTGGTATAGCGAATATCGTTTTCCTTTTCTTTGAAAAAACAGGGCTGCAAGGAAAATTAATTTCTCAACTTTATTGATTCTTTGGCATTTTATTCAGTTACTGTAATTACTTTAGAGATTTCGAGAATTCTCCTTTCCCTATTCAAGCAGCTACTTTCTGTTCCATCAGAATCAAGCTGCTTTGGGATCTACTCCTGAGGTTTTGGCACTTCCTCAACGTAGACGCGGGAAGCCGAATTCCAGCCACTGTAAGCGTCTGCATCTCCATAACCGGGGCAATTACCGACCCAGAACCCCACGCGCACCTTGCCCTTATGGACGTTAGTACAGTGTCCCTCAATATGGCGGACACGATGGGGATCTGCGCTCCTTGACACTCCACCCAAGTACACAAGACCATCAATTGGCGAGGGACCTGAACATTCAGCACCGTTGAAAGTGAAATACCAACGCTTGCAACATCCAGTGCAGCCATGCACGCGAAGGGCTCCATTCCAGAAAACACGGAGAGCTGTATCATCCCGATGCTTGGTGAATAAACACTCCTGAAATTGTTATTTTATGTCAACAATTTTAATTGAAAAGCAAGTGATATGGCAAAATTTATCAGAGTCTTTGTCATAGTGCATGAAAACCATGACAAATAAAATCTTCTAGATCACTGCAGTGAACATGAGAAATAAAGAAAAAAAAAATGAACACATGACCAGTACGGCCCCGTTTGCGCAATCCCACAGAAAAACTTATTGAAAGTTGACGTTTGTGGAGCCGAACGGGTTGAAGTGAGGACCTAATGTAATTATACGGCTTTGTTGCCGAAAAAAGAAAAGCATTGTTTGATGCTGTTGCAAAAAAATGAATGAAAGCAGTGAGCAAAAACGGGAAAATTAGTCACGTTTTTTCGATGAATGTGAGTTTCTTGTTCTGACGTGAAAAAATAAAGGAAAATTTTTAATCGCGTCCAATTTTCAATTTAAAAAATACACTTTTCGAATTTTTCGAGGTTGGTCAGAAGTCATATGATATACTGTTTATTGACTGAGTTTCGGTCCTCCAACTCAGTCAATAAGTATGTTTGATTGAGTCCAGCATTCACCATCGTACAATAAACCAGTGATGTCATGACAAACAGAGATAACAGAGCTCCTTTATTCGCCATTTCGTCTGTAAATGATTCAGGAAGCACATTAATACTTGTTTCTTTATCACTTCTTTCATCGTGTAAAAAAAACTTTTTTCAATGATAAACTTGCGGGAACAAATTAGTAAAAAGATGGTATTTTGTTCAAACTACAAAAGTTTGTAGACTGCTCACTGTTATATTACATTTGCTCCTCGGTTTTTTATTGATTATATATTTGGTGAAAATATACGCCATAAAATATACTAGAAATAACTTCTCTTAATTACACGGAAAGAGAAATTATGTTTTCATTAAACTCAGCCCTTCTATTTGTCCTACAGCAAATTTTTTTCTTACCAATCCAAGTGCGAAAACGGGAATGAATGTCTTTTATAAGATTTAGATAGAGCACGTTATCTAACAGTACCTGTTTGTGCTCTAACTACTTCAAGGAACGAAACCGATTAGATTTTTGTGGAAACATATGGAAGATTTACCAAACTGATTTACACTTACCTTCTTCCTCTTCTCAATGACGTTTTTTCTGTCTTTCGTTTTCGTAAAGGTCTCTATAATTTCCAAAGGGAAAGTTAAACCAACTAATCTTATGTCGATTATTATATACTATATCAAGCACTTAGAGGTGTTTACTTTTCTCCTATTTGTGTCTTCATTCTCTCAGGAGCGTATTTTTGAGTCAAAATGGTTTAAACATATTAAGATCAGCTTGTCAAACACTGCTGAAAGGTTTTTTAGATAAAACTGCTCAATCACTTTCAAATGTTCAATTAAATTAACTCAAGTTATTTGACCTCACAGCATGGATTAGTTATCCAGAATCTTCTTGGCTTTGTTACTTGTCGTCTTTAGCAGCCGTCAAAGATTCCACCCTTATGGTACTCTATCGGGTTCCTTAGAGGGAGCTGGCGGGCAAGAGAAGCATCTAATTCGAAATTTAATCCGTGGACTTTGGATTGTGAGTTACGTCACCTCTAAATCTTGCGTTTGACATTCGACAAAAAAAAAAAAAACGTGATTGAATTTTATACTAGTATTAGCATCAGTCAGGCACGCTTTCTTGGTTTACAAAATTATAGATCTCGACCTTTGAAAGTCATGACTGAAACAAATTTGATATCACCAGCTTCATTGACGGAAAGTCATTACAAATCAATAACTGATATTTTTTCTGGTCAGGGATTCACAATTTGTAAGCCAGCTGAGCAAAGACTTCCCACAATCACGTTTACCTTTTCTCTATGTTTAACATTGTGTGGTAAATCTGAACTACAAACAAGACTGACAGAAACTGACACCACAAGGTGTTTCTTTCCCAAGCCACTCAACAATAACCACTCCTGCATTATCAGTTTGACATCCAAATCCAAACATTGTGCAAAAGTCGCACGTATCTCAGAGATTTTAAAACAGGCGCTGTTACGGTGAGTCCCGTGTCTCCTCATTTGTTCGACTCGCCTAAGCACTTCTCCAAATTTTATTTGTACCTGTGTCTCAGATTGAAAAAAAGGATTATAATGTTTCGCAACATTAATTTCGTTCGACACTTAATTCGTTTTATCCTCTGTTTCGATAGGAGAAATGGACTAATGGATTCACAGTTCAAACGTTATGCAATACGTTGATTACGTAATGATATTTTCCAGAACAATTGTTCAACTAGTTTCATAAGATGAAAGTTGGAGAGTGATGGTACATCAGGAAATCATTTCCCTTGGTGAAAGTTTTAACCTCTCAGGAAGTTTAATGATACAAATGACCTTTCAATACAGGTGGAAGACAATAGAGACAGGCCCTTGGGACTCACTCAGGCGCTTTAACAGTAGAGGTAAAAAGTACAATAATTATGGGGAAAAAACTCGGCCCTTTCCAAACTGACCGCTTAATACTGGTTCGAATGTGGTCAGATTGGTTTTTTCACCAAAAAACTTAAGAAGGAATACTTGTTTTTCGACAGTAGTTGAATTTGTTTGTTTTTCGACAGTAGTTGAATTTGTTTGTTTTTGCGCGTATTGAACTTTCAGCAAAAATGACTCGAACTCTTTCTTATTAAAATAACTACCCATAGACAAACTTACAACTGGCCTCCTGAACATCTGCGTATTTATTGAACTGCTACAAAGGTTAATTGAGTTCAAAATTCATAGAGCATAGAAATTTTTGCTTGGTAGGGAATTTTCGATGGTCACAATGATTACACATGTGGGTATTATGATGATCGTGGCGATTAAAAAAGACCGCCGGACTACCTTGTTGATATCGTATCTTCATTGACATATTCATCCTACGAGAGGAGATCATTCGCTCCGACGAAGGGGTAACGCTCGAAACGTTCGCTTTGAAACTTTACGGTGGCCAATTTAAGTTATGAACTCAGTTGATAATACCGAATTACTTTAATCAGAACACTGTATAATGAATCTTCTCTCTTCTCTTACATTGTTTCACCTTTGTGCTTTGAAATGAAAACTTTCAGCACTTTTGACAAAGACAATGACATAAATATTGATCAGTTTTGATCAATGGCACAGTTTTGATCAATGGCACAGTTTTCTCCGGCTGTTATCCTGATCTATTTGACCCTCAAAATTGTGTGCCCAACTCTTCTCCTTTCCCACTGAACGCACAAGAGGAAAAATCAAGAGAGAGAATTTTTATCAAATTGAACTCGAGTCAGCTCGAACTTTTTTATCTTGTTGAATAAGAGTGACTCGATGACCTTGAAGACGAATGGAGATCAAGGTATTTTGCTAGAGTAGTAGCAGTTAAGCTTACTCTGTTGGAAACACTCGATATAGAATTGATACATTATTGATATATTAAATAAAATCCTTCATTTCATTCGTGTGTTGTCATGACACCATTCCTACTCTGCGCAGTTCAAAAGCGAGAGGCGCAATCTCAAAATTTTTTTAGGGTTTTTAATTTCATGATCTAAATTGCGATTTCTCAGCTTACGGCGCTGCGTAGAAAAGCTCGATCAAATCATTTTTAATATTAGAATACATGGCTTCATGGGAAATCCTTCGAAATCTTAATAAAAAGTCTGATTTTGATGTCAGAAAAATTCCATCCGCATGTTCGCATTTTCATTTTCTGTCCGCATTTATGGAACTGGCATTTATTTATTGGAAATCGATGTGATAAAATGTCTCATCTCGGGGTAACATGAGTATATTTCTAGCCCGTCTGAAGGTTATGCGCCCTTTCTGACTGAACGTTTAAAGCAATGATTGATAAATATGAAACGAAAAATAGAGGCAAAAAAAAGATTGTGTTACTAGTGAAATCACAGAATTCAAAATTCAACGAACTCTTCAGAACTTCCAATTTGATTATAGGCTCGTTTTTTTTTCTTTGCTGTAAGGGAATAATTCGATAAACATGATTATTTTGAATATAGGACGAGTGAGGAGTACGGTACCACCTCGGAGTGAAAACGGTTCAATGCGTTCTGCCTAAAACATTCGGCCATGTCCACTTTTGATTTGAAGCCTAACATTTTTGGTATATAAAGGACTTCAATATCTTCTTTACATGAATCTCAGTATTTCGGAAAATATTCCGTCAGGAGAGCAGTTTGTGGCAAGACTGGCTCACGGGTGTCTTTTTCAACTTTGAAATAACCAGACAAATGTAAACATCTCAAAATCTTTTACAAAGAAAATAAATGATCGAAGCCTACGAAAAAAAAACTCACACCACTCATTCCTGGATATTTCGTGAAAACCTTCTTTTCATTTGCGCGTTGTCATGACAACATCCCCTCCCTACGTTGCTCAAATGCAAGAGGTGCGACCTTAAAATGCCTGATTCACAATTTTAATCAATTTATCCAGACTGTTTTAAAATCTAAGGCTATTTATCCGGATTGTTAAATCGTGCTATCGTTTGTATTTTGATGTTAGACATAGAGCAATAATGCGCGTTATTTCAAACTTTCCACTATGCAACCATGGTAGTATTAGACATTATGCCTGTGGGGGTGGTACTTCTTCCACGTAGATCCTGGACACTGAGTTCCAGCCTGTGCGTGCGTCAGCAGATCCGTAACCATTACAGTTACCGACCCAGAATCCCAAGCGCACGACACCTTTCTGGACTTTCTCGCACACACCCTCGATATGACGAGGGCGGTATGAAAACTTTTTGCCGCCATTTCCATGTACCATGTAGACTATGCCATCAATTGCAGCAGGAGCTGAGCACTCTGCGCCGTTTAAGGTGAAATACCATCGTCTGCAGCAAGCATGGCAGTTACCGAGGCGGAGGTTGCCATTCCAAAAAACACGCAAGGCTGTTTTGGCCGAGTTTTTGATGAAAAGGCATTCCTGGAGAAAGAAATGATGGTACATATGAGCAGCATGGATTCAAAATACCCCTGAGAGAAATAAGTCCTAAATTAATTTCCTAAAGTCCAGTCAAAGGAATCTTTGGTTACATGTAGGTTTAACTTCACAGTTTCTGTTTTTGGCTTACTGCACAACTCGATCTTCTTTCAGTAAAAATTTTGTAGGAATCGTCTATTAAGCATCATTGTCAAATACGGTTTTGTAAAATTGCAATTAATTAAATGGAAAAAAAATACCTTTATTAACCCAGTGTCCTTTCCTTCATTCAAATTTTTGAAAACACACTGTTTCCAATTAGTTCCCAAAGCTCCTGGAGGTCCCTGGAGGCCTGGGGCTCCCTGGCTTCCTTTATCCCCTGCGTCACCTTTGGTTCCTCGTGGACCCTGTCGGCCCGTGGACCCTTGAGGTCCCATTTTTCCTGAGTGCCCCTGTTGACCCGGGAGGCCTTGGTTTCCAGGCTTTCCCGCGTTGCCTTTGTCCCCTTGTGGTCCCGTAGAACCTCGAGGACCGGGTGGTCCTGCGATGCCCGTTGGTCCCGCGGGTCCTGGGCTCCCAGGAATACCTGGTATACCCGGTGCGCCAAAGGGAGCACCATAGGCACAGAGTCCATATGGCGGATATGGGTGAGTGCCCTGTGTCAGGAGAAAAAAAAAACACAGAGCACGCAACTTTATTTATATGCTGTCAGAAATATGACTATTTTTCCTGTGAACAATCATTGTGACTAATTCATCTTTCTAAGAGTCGAAGTATTCGGTCATGAAATCATCGTTCTGTTCCAATTTTTCCGGAATATCTCCTTTTCTGTCCCCTTTTAGAGTAACAGTGACGGAGAATGATGATGAATACAATGTTGTGATGTTTTGGAAAAAATAAACTTACCATGTTACCATTCGGCTTGCCGCCGCTGCTGTTGTCTTTTGCTGCATAGCAAAGAGCAATCAGCGGAAAAATCAGCCAAAATATTTTGGTTTTGGGCGATATGTTCACACAATCTTGCATGTTGTTTATTCCTCAGCTGTTTTTAGCTTGATGGAGAGACCTCTTATCTTATTCTTCGGCTATTACAGAGATAAAATAATACAAAAGTTAAGGAACATCCTTCTTTTATTGATGTTGCTGACGAAGTTTCGTGAAAACACGTTCTGGACATGATAAACTGACGGACGTATAAAATAAGACATGAATTGTGATTGGTTGATTACTATCAAGTTGACCAATTACATCGCTTCATATATGTTGTGCTTAAGTGCGCTAACATTCTCAAAAATGCTTTCAAGAACCATTAAATAAATACATGACAAGCAGTATTGCCACGTTGAAAATTTGAAAGAAAATATATAATGTTAGTTGCTAGAGTGTTCGTCTTGGAAAGGGAATGAACTTGATATTTTATGTTACGATTGATTTGATCTTTTCATCTTTCTTTGATATGTTTTAGGCTTTAAAGTCAGTTTTGATTAATGTTCTTTGAGTGATCGTATATCTGCGCTGTGAAACGATTGATTGATTGGAGGGGCATAATTGTGAAATCCATATCTTAATCTCCATAAAACATAATCTCTATTTATTGAGTGTTCTGGTTTTGAAATAAACGACATATTTTCCTCTTTTTTTCCCTTAATACATCCTGTTCTTCTTTCCAAAATATGTTCAAATAAGGAAATTGTATTGTTCGAAAGAGGTGAACACAAAAAGTTCTGCCGAATAGATTAGCTGCTCAGATGATATCAATATCAAACAAATGGCCTTCAACGCTCACAGTTTCGCTAACAATAAGCCTAAATCTGCCATATAGAGCTAAAAAAAATTGTAATTCTTGGAAAGTAACTCCTTATAAAAAGCAGCATTATCAAGTCAAAAGCGCTGTTTTTATGACCTCTTGTAAAATTGATTTAGTGAAGGCAATAGAATTGTTTTTTCGTTGTTGTTGTTTTTACTATCTTTGTTGTGCGGCTAAATCACAGGTAGAGAATCAACTTAGAGAAGAAAAATTGGTTAATTAAATTCCTACCGAGAAAAAGCTTGATTGGATTAAGATCAACGTTTAGTTAATTTCATCGACATGGAATTTGATGGAGTATAAAACTACATTCCCATTGCGCTGTTTAGTGAAAGAGTTATGTGGAAAATTGAACGAACAGACTTGTTATTGCTCGTGAATTTATTTACCTTGAAGTATTTCAGCCCTTGTGTTGCCTGACAGGAAACTGGAGGAAGCTAAACGAAATGAGAAAGTGAGATCAAGTTTAACTTTGTTGAAGACAGGAAAAGATGATAAAAAAAAATAAAAAACTTATTTACCAGATCCTTCTAAACCCCTAATTTGTGCTCAGAGCTCTTTTACGTCCCACATTGCATGCCGATTTCTTTCCTTGTTTGTTTAGAGCCGATTCCTGTCAGAACAAGATCAAGAAACAAAACACAAACGATACGGGAGAGTTTTCATTCTCTTAAGCACAGCTGTTTGTTAAATTATATTGTATGGTCGTAGCTTGTTTTGGGAGATCCCTGATAAAACCGAGCTGTTGATCAAAGCAAACTCATCTTTTAACTAAAAAACTGCTCTCGCTATGAACTCGAACGAAAGTGGAAAACTTCTCAATCCTCCTGCAGCGAGACGAGGAAATTAGGTTGATATTACTATGAAATCCATTTAGGAATTCTGCGTGAAAAAAATATTGATTTTCTAAACGGCATATCCTCCTATAGGGCCAGTGAAAGACAAAAAAAAGCAAACTAAAACCAGGAGAAAATTAGCCAGCTTTTTTGAACTAACTCTCTAGAGTGTAGTTTTATGAAGATATACTTAATAGGACTGAAATAGAAATACTTACTTTTCAATTTCAAACCCTTTTCCTAATGGTTTATTTATTTTTTTCTTTTCTTCTTGGGGCAATCACATTTCTCAGCCTTCAGCTCTATCAAGTAAACCTCAGTCAGACCATTTTAAATTGAAATACATGTCTTCTCATAAACAATTTCTATGATCTTTCATAAATCCTACCTATTAAAGTCGATTTTTTCCTTGGTAGAGCTCTTCAAAATTTCTTGAAAATGCGACAAAGAACTCGATGTGAGGAGGCGAAATATATTTTTTAAAACAAAGAGAATTTTTCTTTCGCCATTCGAAGATTTCAAAATTTGACCTTACTTTAAATAAACTCCGCTACGCAATATGCGGGATTTAGACACATGATTTTTTCCTTTGAAGAACATATGCCTCCCCCGAGATGGGGTAAGCTGGGAAGTTCACGAGACCGTGACCACAAAAGAATTCGATTCAAATATGTGTTAACCGCAAAATTAAAGAGCGTAAGTATTCTTTCTTTCGTGTCCAGTATGTACCGCTACCGTATAAATAATTGTACAGCATTCAGCTTCTCTCGTTCAAGAAATGTTTCCGTTCAAAACGAAGCTAAAACGAATTATTCAGACCCAAAATGATTAATTTCCTTGGGTGCAGTGTAAATCAGTTTTCTCTTGTCTCTCGCTTTCTTATCACCAATAAATTTCTGAGTGTCAGTAAAATGTCTCTAAAAAGTGATTTAGAAATTAAAGTCATTAATTCAGTTCGTGCCATTAAAATTTGACAAGTACACTCTACGTCGTTCCTCTGATAGTACGATCTGAAAAACGAAGTTAAATGATTAGATCAGACATGTTTTGAGTCTAGTTTTTTTCAAAAGGAAAAGCAAGAAATTCTGTGGCTGGCAGACTGATAAAAGACTTGGTTCAGGCAAATCAATTTCAAAAGCGAAATAATTCCTGTTAACAAACTGTCAAACTGAAGCTAATTTGAATGTGTCGTCGTTTACTATACAAATAAAATACACTACTGTAGTAAACACTTAGAGTATTCTTTCTTCTTAATTCTTCTTGATTACACATGGCACGTAATCTGACAAACAAATTTGATCAATCACTTTAGTTCAACGAACATATTTGAAAAGAATGTTTCAAGTAATCCAGAGAAATAAATGCAATAGTTGGACTTTGACGAGGCCTTGTTTTTTTTAACCGGATCAGGAAAAGAGCGAGAGAGAGAAATTTATTCATATTGCATAGCTATGTGGTCAACTTTGATAAATATTTCGATCATTTTCGTAGTTTTGTTGTCAGATGATAATAAAGTATACACGCTTGAAGACAGAACTGCATAAATTAAACTAAAGAGGCCTTAAACGAAAAAACGCGGTTACTACGTAGGAAAGAATTGATAAAGTCGTCCTCGATGCGACAAGAAGAGTACTAAGTCTGAAGCGATTTTTGCGGAGTTCATCAAAACGTATTTGAAAATATTTTGGTCTATCGGTGCGCAGATCTCATCTTTGAGCAATTGGCCTTGCGTCAGTGAGGAACATGTAGAGATTGACTGTCAAAAAATCAGTCTAAACTCTTACAAAACGTGTGAGATTTCATCGGAAAATCAACATCAGATAAAAGTTTGTTTCACATGTGCGACAAGCTTGTGCATAAACAAACCGTGCGAACATTATGGAGGAAATTCTCTTACCTATGTAACGTGCGGCTGAATTCCATACTTTTAACGTTTCTCATCGTTGAGGTGCATCCCTCATACCCCAGTCAGGAATGTTTCCCACTCTTACCAGAGCGAAAAACTGTCGGCTATTTTTTCATAACTGTTCTGGGAATAGCAGAGCAGTGTTGAAGTTCACTTATCGAGTAAATTGAGAGCTGAATGATTGAGAATATCAAAACCGGTGAAAATCTTTCAATACAATGAACACTACCCAACACTACTACTTGTGAGACGATTTGTTTTTCACAATATTTTCATAAGCCCAGGTTCTTGTTCCTACCAGTTCGTTTATAACATTGTTGTTAATCGCTTTATGTTGATCAAAACTGACATATCTGCCACAAAAGTTTACTTTGGGTCTTTCTGCAATTCATGTTGGTAGCTTCTCTCCTTTTGAATGCAAATGTTCTCTGACTCGGATCTGCAGCAATCAACTCTTTTTGCAATAAAGATAAATAAGATTAAACGTGAAGAAATTTATATTTAAATCTATCGTACAGTGAGGCAGCCCTTTTTGAAAAATTGATTTCCATCCGTCTGTTTTAAGTCTTTAACTCTGTTTCAAGAATGATGCGAATAATCTTATCGCAAATCAACGTACACATGAATGATGTATCCGGATGTATCGTTAATGGTTACATTGGTTGTTGATAAAACTGTTACAACGAAAGTGACCGAGATATCCTGAGGTTTTAAATGGAAAAATAAATCCTCTCTGGTCACCCTCTCCTTACCTAGTCTACCTTCCAAGACTGCCATGGATTGTGCTAGCAGCCTTTGCCATGTCATAAAGATTGCACTAAATAGTCTTACAACCAGTGGGCTGTCATGTGACGCAAAAAATGTTTGGATACCTTGGTCCGTGTAAATAGAAAATGGGGTTTCAGGCACATTTTGGAGACAACCTTGATTTTAAAGGCAACTCATGAATTCAACTTTGATTTTAAGGTTGATTTCAGAGTTGACTTCAAGTCAACCTTGATTTCAAAATACAGTTCTTGCACATTTTGAAATCAAGGTTGATTTCAAAGACAACTCTGGAATCAACCTTGATTTTAAAAGACCACGTAAACTTTTAACAGGTGAATAATTCCACATCCTCTTCACAATGTCTCACTCGTGAGTTCTGAAGAGGAAGTATCCGATTACAGCCAACTGTCCGATTACAACTCTACAGAATAGTTAGAGAAAAATAAAGCAACTAAGGCACTAATCACATCTGAGAAAATTCTAGTGGTGATGATTTAGCCTGATAAGTTTCGTTACTATGATGACGTCTCCACCGGATGACTGTTACTGGAGCGATTTACATTCTCGAGGAAAGAGGAGAGGGTTATACTTTTGGTCAAACAAGACGACTATTATCGGATGATGAGCTTATGGCTTTGAAACGAATGAAATCTATTAAAATTAACCTGATTTTTTTCCCTTTAAAGGTGTTAAAAGGAGAGTAAGAGATTCCGAGCGCGCTTCTCTCGCAGTTATAGGTTACTTGCTAATTTGGTTATCAGCTTGAATGTT